GAAGGTTTTCGGGAATGTGAAACGAGCAGCAACAAATGAAAGGTTTCCGGGAATGTGAAACGAGCAGCAACAAATGGAAGGCCAGCTAAACTGGATGAGCGTGATGAGAGGGCACTTGTGCTTCCATTTAAGAAGAATCCTCAATTCAGCTGATCTACGTCGAGACGCCGAGTCAAGCTATGGAGTTTTGCTCTCCAGAAACGACGGCTAAGAGAATTTAACGCAAGCTACATCGAGTTAAAGTTGCCGGAAAGTGATTGTTCCAAACTTTTGGACCCTACTGTATAATCTAATAATAATTCCAATATTTCTTTATAATATTCAATCAAAAGGCTATAATAAATGATCTTTCATAGACCACTTTATATCATTTTTTCTCATAAATTTCCCCACCCACAATTTTATGAAAGAAATACTTCCGACAGAGGGTTTCCGTCGAAGAAACAATTTGAGGAGACGTTCAAAAAAAAGTAATATTTCCATTCCGCTCCATTTCCTTAGCTTTCTTAGCTAAGTCGTATAGTCTTGAATTTAAAAAAAATGAGTCACCAGTAAAGTTGCGCTAAATAGAGATATTAAAATTGAAATTGAAATTGAAACTGAAATTAAACGCTGTTATTCTGGATTTCTGGATATCTGGATTTCTGGATATCTGGATTTCTGGATATCTGGATATCTGGATATCTGGATATCTGGATATCTGGATATCTGGATTTCTGGATATCTGGATATCTGGATTTCTGGATATCTGGATATCTGGATTTCTGGATATCTGGATATCTGGATATCTGGATATCTGGATTTCTGGATATCTGGATATCTGGATTTCTGGATATCTGGATATCTGGATATCTGGATTTCTGGATATCTGGATATCTGGATTTCTGGATATCTGGATATCTGGATATCTGGATATCTGGATATCTGGATTTCTATTACTAGATTTCTCAGTGTTTCTGAGCTTTTTCAGTGAATTTCTTGTTTTTAATGAATGTAAATTGATTTAGAAATAGTTAAAACTTAAAGTTTTCGATAAAAACAGTGATTCGATAAAAAAAGAGACAGATTACGGTAAAAAGAGAAAATGGAAACGTTTTAGGAAACGAATTAGAAGAAATGTTTACGTTTACGATTAATAAGGTTTACGATTAATTAGGTTTACGCTTAATTACAGGGATTACGGTATTAAAGGGTTATCACTTTAGGTCCAAGTCAGGGATATGGTATAACTGTAAAGTCTAGACATCTATAGGTACACAATATTAAATCTATAAACACCTGTAAAGAAAGATATCTAAATTTAAAGATATTCAAATTTAAAGATATTCAAATTTAAAGATATTCAAATTTAAAGATATTCAAATTTAAAGATATTCAAATTTAAAGATATCTAAAGATATTTAAAGATCTCTAAATTTAAAGATCTCTATTTATCTAAAGATTTGAGTGTTATGGAAGAATATATATGTCGTAACCGTTTACGAAATTCAACCGCTAACGTATCATTTGTTAACGGCTGAATTTCGTAAACGCCTACAACATATGAACTTCTTTTTCTGTGGTGTGCTTAAAAGAAACCCGTGGGTGGACGTCTAGAAAAGCTCTTCTACTAATGAAATAGTTTTTGAAAGAAAGAAAGAAAGGAAGAAAGAAAGAAAGGAAGAAAGAAAGAAAGAAAGATCAAAAGTTCTAAAAGATATTCAGTTTAGACAATTGGTGAACTTATTTCTTAATTCAAAGAATTTCAATCGAGAATGGACCGAGTTTCGGAGAAAAAACAGCTGAGAGAGTTTTGATGTTTTTGCGGTAATCCAAGTGGGTCACCTGGGTAAAATGCATGAATAACTTCCTTGTGTAAAGATATTTATCCATCTAGATGACTACTAGACTTGCTTACCAAAATTATCGACACAAACGACAAGCTCATTTTTGACCGTTCAGATCTAGCTTTCTAAAACAGCTATCAATCTGCTAAATTGTTTCGTTGGAAAGCCAAGAATGTCAGCTTTTCATTGCTATCACAAATTCTCATAGATGATTTAGAAACTTTATCAATACTTGTCAATACTTATCAATACTTATCAATACTCAAATATTGATAAGCTTATCAATAATCAATACTCTTGATATCGATAAGGTTTATGAGATGCTTAAAAGTCGCTATGTATAAAATAGCGCAATTGAAAGCTGACAATTGAAAGCTGACAATTGAAAGCAATTGAAAGCTTGACTTTCCAATGAAACAATTTTCAGATTGATAGCTATTCTAGAAACTGATATCTGAACGGTCAAGTAGACATGGTTTCGGATCAGGTCTTAGTCGGATCAGCTCTGAAACAGTCGACCATTGGATCAGATCGGATCGGATCAGATCAGATCTGAAACAGTGGGCCATTGGATCAGATCTGAAACAGCCGACCATTGGATCAGATCGGATCAGATCTGAAACAGTGGGCAATTGGATAGGATCAGATCCAAAACAGTGGGCCATTGGATCAGATCGGATCTGAAACAGTCGACCATTGGATCAGATCCAAAACCATCGAATCAGATCTGGTCGGATAGCATCGATCGCAAACGCATTTTATGTCTCTTTATAACTGGTCGCATTTGAACGACTTTAATAATATCGGCTGATATGGAATAGTAATCTAAAGTTAAATTTTGTGTTACAGAGAGGGATGCCAATATTATTAAAAACCTTGCCTTCTAGAAACAATTTATCGAAATAACAATACTGTCTTGGATAGGATTTGATTTGATCCGAGAGTCACATTCTCGGATCGGATGGGATTGGATTAGATAGGTTTGGATCGGATCTGATCGGAATTGATTTGATCCGATCCGATCCAATCCGAAATCCGATCCGATCCAATCCGATCCAATCCGAAAAACCATGTCTACAGTGAAGCATGCCATTTGTAGCATACCATGCCATACAAGCATGCCAACGATCTCTACAGTCAAGCATGTCATTTGTATCAATAATATCAATGATATCAATAAGCACCGCGAGTTTTCCCACTTCTGGTTTGCCCAGTTTTCCCACTTCTGACATTGCATAAATTGTGTTTTCTAAAAAGTACCCTTTGGATAAAGCAACTTTTTAAGGCTTAATCTAATGCAGGGATTACGGTACTTTTTAGAACATCTAAATACATATAAATGATAAGTAGATAGACTAAATCGGGAAAAAAGGAAGTTAAATAGGAAATCTCTGAAGTGAATGGGTGAAAAAGTGGTAAAAAGTGGTAAAAAAGGGTTTCCAACAATGCCCAGCTTGCTTACCTCATCGTTGAACTCAGGAATTCTGTTTTTGACTTACTTTGAGAAAGCAAAGAAAAAAAACCTTAGAAAAACCTTAGAAATTAGCTATTCTGCTTAAACTTTAAAGAATTCTTTTGAAAGTTCTTAGAAATTTTGAGAGTTTTTGTTTGAAAAAAGACAAAAGTCACAATAGAGATTTGAGAATATTTATAAGGAAGGTGGGTGGGGGAGAAGGAGAAGGAGAAGGAGAAGGAGAAGGAGAAGGAGAAGGAGAAGGAGGAGGAGGAGGAGAAGGAGAAGGAGAAGGAGGAGGAGAAGGAGAAGGAGAAGGAGAAGGAGAAGGAGAAGGAGAAGGAAAAGGAAAAGGAAAAAGGTAGAAAAAGGAAAACAACGTCACTCTGGAAGAACTATCTAAGCTAAAGCTTTTTTAAATGTCTTTTTGTCTTATTTTTATCTGATAGATAGAAAAAGCAGAATTGAAAGCAAGAGAAAGAGGAACAACTTCGGTGGTTGACAAAGTTCAGAAAGTTTACACGTTAGAAACGGCAGAGAAGGGAAAGCTTTAGGCGATAGGTGTACTTTAACTTAGAGTAGAGAAAGATTACGGTAGTTGGGAAAGTTTATATGTTTTAGGAACGGCAACTAGCATTAACCTGATAGGCAGAGGGTCGACAAGAAGCTCGACATTCTGGTCGATGATTCAATTCCCCTTGGTACCAAATTCTTTGTTTTTTATTCCTTTTACTTTAAAAGGAAAGAGCTGCTTCTTTCCTTCTCGACTTGGTTCAATTTTGATTTGATTTGATTTGATTTGATCAATTTTGACTTGGTTGAATTAGCTGGATTAAGGTATTTAGTCTAGATTAGGGTATTCAGTTTAGAATAGGGTATTCAGTCTAGACTGTCTGGACTACGGTACTCAGTCTAGACTATCTGGGCTACGGTACTCAGTCTAGACTGTCTGGGCTACGGTGCTCAGTCTAGATTAGGCAATTCAGTTTAGATTAGCTGGATTGGGTAGATGGGTAAATATTGGATAGATGGGTAGAAATTGCCCATTTCCCAGCTAGAGAAAAGCGGCCATCAGCCAAGAGATGGCCAAAATCTGATGAGAGATGCCGACTGTCATTCAAACACTTGTTTTATGAGTTCTATAAGTCGAATGGGAAAGTTTTTGGTCGATAAATGGTCGATAAAACTAGATCTACCCAATATTTACGAAATCTTTTACATTTCTAACATTAAGATACTTTTATAGCAAAGAAAATAATGAAAAAAAAGGAATTATTAGCAAAATTAAGCGAAATTAAGCAAAACTAAGCAAAAATAAGCAAAACTAAGCAAAACTAAGCGAAATTAGGCAAAATTAAACAAAACTAAGCAAAACTAAACAAACAAACCACTCTACGATCCACTTCGACTCTACGATCAAATAGAAAATCGTCTATCATACTTTGTGTCCAAATTCGAAACGCATCCTTTCTAGCGCACTGGATTCTTCATTTTCTTGTAATATCAAAGAATAGCTGCAAGAAAAACGAAGCTTTCAGTGCGCCAGAGAGTGGGTGTTTCGAATTTTTTGCAAAAGTCTCCAGAATGATTAATCAGAATGATTTTTGGCGCTTTTTTTGACTTTATCGATAAATTTATCGATTTCGATAATAAAAAAAGCTTTTAAATTGAAAAGCAATGTAAATTTTGTGAATTTTGTGAATTAAAATTTAAAAACCAACCTATTATTCGCGGATGGGCCATGAAAATAGGCGAAAATCGACGAGAAAAGTCCCCTCGCTTTCTCCAGTGATGGCATTGAGCTGGAAAATTGTTGAGAATTGTCAAAAATCGTCAAAAATCGTCAAAAACCGTCAAAAATCGTCAAAAATCTTCGAAAATCATCGAAAATCTTCGAAAATCGTCGAAAATTCCAAATTTCCATTGAAAAATCAATGTCCAAGGGTTAATTTTTCAAATCGAAAATGCCCAGGGGATTAATTCCTTTATGGAAACTTCATTTTTCTTTTTATTGAAATTTTTCAGCAAATTAATTGGGAAAAGGGAGGTTGAACTGAAGAAAATTAAGTTCCAATTTCGACTTCTGAATAGAATTCATTTTAAAATAGAATGTCTGCAAACGTTTTTTGCATCTTTCATCGAATTGATGAAGTTTTTGAAAAAAACTAAAGACTTTGGCGTCTAGCGGGATCGAACCCGCGAGCAAGCACGCCTTTTAGTTTTAGAGTCTAGCACACTATCCCCTAGGCCACCGCTGCTTTGATCGCCCTTTGGTGTAACGCCCCCTTATAGGTCAAGGTTTGACAAAACTCGTTTGTTAAAAAAACTTGGTGAAAAACGTTCAAAAAGCCCTTTCAGAGGGAGGCGTCGCACGCCCTCATAGCTCAGTCGGTTAAAGTATTGGTTTCGAGGCGGTCCCCTTCGAAGGGTCGCAGGTTCGACCCCTGCTCGCCGCATTTTTGCAAATTAAAGCTGCAAACACACCCTTTCTAGCAGACTTTCAATGCAAACACACCCTTTCTAGCAGACTCAATTGATTTCCCAGAAAATATCACAATTTTGAGCTTCTTAGGGTAGAAATCTTTCCGAATTCTCAAGAAGATTTATAGAAGACAAGAAAATATTTAAAAACTTAGTCAACTAAAAGAAATAATTGAAAGGTATTTTCAATTAGGATTATTGATTTCTTAAGTAGAAGTAAGAATGAGGATAAAAATAGACTTATTGATGAAAAGGGAAAGGGGAAAGAGGAAGGAGAAGAAGAAAGGGAAGCGGGGACAAATGAGTGAACAACATTTTTCTTCGTAGACGTTTTCTGATGGAAATTCGAGACCTAGAGGGTCCAAGGAGGGGGGCTCTCGGGCTCAGACGTGACCTGGAGTCCTGGGAGAGGGGAACGAATAAGGTAGATCTTAGGGAAGGGAGGGAAGGGAAGGGAGGGAAGGGAAGGGAGGGAAGGGAAGGAAGGGAAGCGTTCTTATGACTTTTCATCTACTTTTTCAGCTATAGTAGCTTTGTAGAAGAGTTTAAGAGATCATTGGACTAAGGGAAGGATAGACTTTGGAAAGAAAGAGAGTCTGGAAGGCTTTGAGCTGAGAATCAGACCTTGCACTATAAGTCTAAAATCGATTCTCTAAAAATGTAAAATCTTTCTAATCTGATTAATACAAATTTTTAGGAGGATATTTTGCAGGCTCCCAACTGACTCACTTCAAATGATTTGACTGGAAATTGACTTAAAATAATCATTAAGATTTGTGGAATTAAATAAAGCCTAAAGATTAGCAATTAGAAGATAAATTTAAAGAAATCTAATTTCAAAAAGCTGTGCTTAACCTGTAAAAGTTGATGAAAATCAAAGAAAAATTTCTGGACTTAAATGAAGATTGGCCTTTTTTTTGAGTTGAATGAGTTGAATGAGTTGAATGAGTTGAATGAAGTTCTCAAAAATTCCCACGATTCAATTGAGAGCTTGTAAAAGAGTTCTTTTTGAATCTGAAAAAGATTCGAGCTCATGAAAAAGATTCGAAAAGGCTTCAAGAAAACGAATCTCATCTCAGAGATCATTTTGATTTTTTTGCCAAATTGCACGTATTTTTTAAAATGAAAGATATTGGATTGGGATAATTGAGGAGTGAGGATTTTATTCAGAGATTCATCTGGATTAGTGCAGTGGGCATTTTCAGAGATAAAAGTGCAGAATTGGGGGGGGGGATTTGGGTAAATCTCTCCTAAATATCGGGGTTGAAGAACGATTGGGGAAATGGAAATTTTCTTACGAAACCCGACTCTGCCCAGGGTTAAGACCAGGAATTCGCCACGAAATCAGTCAAAATGGCTGAAAATCTTTACATTTGAAGTGGATTTGTCAAAAAAAACCAGTTAAAATGGCTGAATGGCTGAATCTCTTTAAAAGGCGATGCCAATAAGGCGGCGTATATAAGGCGTGTATAAGGCGTATATAAGACGACCGTATATAAGACGGCGTATATAAGACGACCGTATATAAGACGGCGTATATAAGACGACCGTATATAAGACAGCGTATATAAGACAGCGTATATAAGACAGCGTATATAAGACAGCGTATATAAGACAGCGTATATAAGACGACCGTATATAAGACGGCGTATATAAGACGGCGTATATAAGACGGCGTATATAAGACGACCGTATATAAGACGGCGTATATAAGACGGCGTATGTAAACGGCGTATATAAGGCTAGGGTTTTTATGCGTCAATTTTTTGCAATAATTTTCGCTAAGAGTACGGTAATTTTCCGCAAGTATGCTTTTTAAAAAGCGCATTACTCGCAAAGATTGGATTAAAGGCTAAGGCTTGCTTTAGCAAAAATTTTATCAAGAAAACTTTAAGCATAACTGATTTTCTAACATCACGAATTGTTTGGAAGCTTGTAAGCTGAAAGCTAGACATCAATTTCACACTATTATAGTTAGATCAGCGGATCAGCTAGATCAGCTAGATCAGCTAGATCAGCTAGATCAGTTAGATCAGCTAGGTCAGCTAGGTCAGCTAGATCAGCTAGATCAGTTAGGTCAGCTAGGTCAGCTAGGTCAGCTAGGTCAGCTAGATCAGTTAGATCAGCTAGGTCAGCTAGACCAGCTAGATCAGTTAGATCAGCTAGATCAGCTAGATCAGTTAGATCAGCTAGATCAGCTAGATCAGCTAGATCAGCTAGATCAGTTAGGTCAGCTAGGTCAGCTAGATCAGCTAGATCAGTTAGATCAGCTAGGTCAGCTAGACCAGCTAGATCAGTTAGATCAGCTAGGTCAGCTAGACCAGCTAGATCAGTTAGATCAGCTAGATCAGCTAGATCTAACCAGTCGCGGTTAAATCTAGCTGTCTAGAGAAGAAGCTTCAAAATTTTATTTACAAATTCAAGAAAAAAGATGAAATAACAAATTCTAGCCGAAAAATAGTGAAAAAAGGGATTTTCTCAGCTCAAAAATGATCGATTTTCTTGCATCGATCATTTCTTTAAATGAAATCTATTGAAAGAGAGAAACTCAAATGAATAAATAGTTCAATTTTGTTCAATTGTTTGTTTGTTTGTTTGTTTGTCTGTCTGTCTGTCTGTTTGTTTGTTTGTTTGTTTGTTTGTTTGTTTGTTTGTTTGTTTGTTTGTTTGTTTGTTTGTTTGTCTGTCTGTCTGTTTGTTTGTTTGTTTGTCTGTTTATTCAATTCAATCAATTCTTTTTTAAAAAAAAATACCGACTGGGGCTACCAGTGGTGAATTTATCGCATACACGAAATATATCAATCACAATACAACGACACACACAATACTAGGCTATATCTTAACTTAACCCACGTCATGACAGACGGCTCCCTAACCCTAAGCTCAATGGGGAACTAAATAGCTTTTTTGGTGGTGAAGGGAAGATGACGATAAAGGAGTGGCTTGTCACTTTAAAGAACTGGGGCCACAACCACCAGACTGCCCTCCAGAAAACCTCTCAACCCGAAGGGAAAGGAAATCCGAAGGGGGTGACCATGTCGCATGTGGGGTTCGAACCCTCGACCTTCCGATTAAGATAAAAGACACTTAACCAGTCAGCCACACGTGCTATTTTGCCAATTCAATCCAATTTTCTCCAGAATTAGCTCAAAAAGTGTTGAATTTTGATTGATTTTCATTTTTCAATTGGTACAAAATGAGCGCAAAGCATTCAGCGAAAGAAATCTCTTTTGAAAAAGGGATTTTTGAATTTTTTGAATTTCTGAAGGCTTAATTATGGTTTCAGTATTGAAATTTTCAAAAAAAACTATATTTTGAAGGGTTTCTTTTGAGGGAAAACATGATTTTTCAAATGGAAATCGTTGAAAAATTGAAAAAATTGAAAAATTTGAAAATTTTACGGTTTCTTTAATTTAAATCTTTAAATTTGAATGTTTTCTTGAATAATTGAATATCTTTTAAAGCTTTATAATAGTCTTTTCATGCTATAAAGCATCTAGAAATTAGATTTTTTTGGAAAATTTGTGTTTCCTTTTGGTGAAAGATAATTTTTTCTATCGAAATTTCTTGGATTGGCTAATTTTCGCTAAATTTTTTTTTTGCGAAACTGGGTCAACAAGCGATAACTTTCTTCTAATTCGGCTAATCTTTATAATTTTGGTGTCATTTTGTTGCAGTTGTTGAGATCTACAAAATGAGACCAAAATCGTAAAGATTGGCCCGACTTAGAAAAAAGTTATGTCAAACTGCAAATGACCCTGTTGCGCAAAAAAAAAATTAGCCTACCCCAAAATTAAATTAGCCTAGCCCAAAATTCGACAAGTTCGTGCTCGGAGACTTCAACGCGATCATCGGTCACAACGGCACCGGAAGTTCGGGCCCGGCACACGCAACAACACCGGCGACCGTCTGGAAGAGCTACTATGGTCAGCAAGACTCACTTACGGGAACTCTCAGTTCAAGAAGAAGACCTCAAGACGATGGACCTGGTGCTCATCCAATCCAAAGGAGAAGAAGCTCGCCCACCATTTCTCGATACTGCCACAACTCCTCAGGGATAAGGATTGGATAAATTGGGGTTAGCTACTTTGCGCCAAATTTTTTGGGCAACTCGCTATAACTTTCTTCTAATTCGGCCAATCTTTACGATTTTGGTTTCATTTTGTAGATCTCAATAAGTGCAATAAGATGACACCAAAATCATAAAGATTGCTTTACTTAGAAGAAAGTTATGGCGAGTTGGGCAAAAAAAAAAGGCGGAAATTAGCCAACCCCAATTTATCCAATCCTTATCCCTGAGGAGTTATGGCTAGAGAGAATACGGTTATATTTGGTGTCATATTAGAGTTAATATCTAAACTATCGTATTTTCTGTACTAGCAGTGCACAGTGTTGCTTAAATTCCTCGAAATCTCGAGAAGCGCTTATCAGAATCTATCGATGTGAGGTCGGAAAATGTAGCTGACAATGAGATCTAGTGGATGATTTGAGTGTTGAGCTTCTGGGAAAGCTTGGAAGCTGTAAAATGTCTATGAACTCGGCTACTATTAGGAAAAATATCGGCTCTTGCGTAGTTTACGGATACTTTGAAAGAATTCGAGTATTTCGAACGGATCGTCACACTTTGAAGGCCTATAACTTTGTCCAGAGATTAGATTCTTGTTAACTTTTTATATCATTGAATAGAGGACATTTTAGGCTTTCAAATGATATCAAATAGAGCTTGATTGGATAATCGAGTCCAACAAAATCAGAGCCAACTCTGAGCAAATAAGGCCGGTGCAACTCTGGTGTTTTGTCGGCTGATTTTTATGGGAATGAAAAATCCAATCGAGCTTTATTTGGTATTATTTAAAAGCCTAAAATCTCCTCTTTACAATGATTACAATGATTCGTGAAAAACTGATCTCTAGACAAAGTTATAGGCCTTCAAAGTGTGACGACTGGTTCAAAATCCACACCCAAGTCGAATAGACCATTTGCTCAGAGTTGGCTCTGATTTTCTTGGACTCGATTATCCAATCAATCTTTATTCCTCGAAATCTCGAGAAGCGCTTATCAGAATCGATCGATGTGAGGATGAAAATGTAGCTGACACTGAGATCTAGTAAGGGATTTGAGTGTTGAGCTTCTGGGAAAGCTTGGAAGCCGTAAATAGTCATCAACTTGCACTACAATTAAAGAGTACAGTAATATTTATATAATATTTTAAAAAAATAACTCACAAATTCTCCATTTTTATCGTTTCATTGATGGAAAAGTGAATGGGCAAAAATGGCAGCAAATTTTTCGCCTTTTCCTCAGTTTTTTCCACTCCAAATTTTGAATTTTCAAGCTCGTCCGGCATTTTTTTTTGGTTTTCTTAAGAAAAAAAACTATTGAATATTCAAAAAACGGCAAAAAAACGGCAAAAGAAAAGAAAAAGCAAAATTTCAATAAAATTTCAGTAAAAAATCGATGTTTTAACGGATTTTTGTGAAGAAAAATGTTTAAATTTTTGAATTTTTTTAGAAAAATTTGGATTTTTTGAAGTTTTGTTTTGAAATTCAAGGAAGTTGGATGGATTTTTTTCTGGAAATTCTTTTCCCTGCGTCTTTTTCGATGGAGAGAATTCGATTACACTTGTCAATGGAGAAAAGATGTTGGGGGAAAAATGGAGAAAAGATGAGTTAAAGTTTGGTTTCTTTTTGAGGTAAATATGTCTAAAAAAGGTTTAGACTTTGGTTTTGTCTAAGACTCGTCAAATATCGTCAAAGACTCAAGCGCTTTAGAGCTTAGAGCTTAGAGCTTTTCTCGAGATCAGCTCTATTATTTGAAAGTAACAACAACTCACCAACAGCATCCGCCGCTCGTTGGCGCCACTTCCTCCTTGTCGGTGCTCATTTTTGAATTGAAGTTCTGTAAAAACTGATATTAAAAGAGATTTCAGATAACAGGAAAATAGATAAACAGAAAAAAACAGAAGAAAGAAAAACAAGGATAAGAATTGTTGTTGGCAGTCTTTGGTGGGCCTCGTCCTTTACAATCTTCATTGGAGTCCAAAGATTTTCATCTTTGAAACGCTTCAGAGTGCGAAAAACATTCTTTCCTGCAAGATTCGAGATATCTTTGCAAGTGTGCTGCTGATGAAGAGTAATAATGGCTGGCTGGCTAGCTGGCTGGCTAGCTGGCTGGCTAGCTGGCTGGCTGGCTAGCTGGCTGGCTGGCTAGCTGGCTGGCTGGCTAGCTGGCTGGCTGGCTAGCTGGCTGGCTGGCTAGCTGGCTGGCTGGCTAGCTGGCTGGCTAGCTGGCTGGCTGGCTGGCTAGCTGGCTGGCTAGCTGGCTGGCTAGCTGGCTGGCTAGCTGGCTGGCTAGCTGGCTGGCTAGCTGGCTGGCTAGCTGGCTGGCTAGCTGGCTGGCTAGCTGGCTAGCTAGCTGGCTGGCTGGCTCAAAAAGTCAAAATCGATCACAAATAGAAAAAAATCTAATCTTCAAAAGATCGAAAGATCTAAAGATCTAATTGTCTAAAGATCTAAAGCGCTGAAGGCGTGGAAGAGCTTCAGCCATTTCTGGTGAGGATTTGCTGGAAATTGATCAGATAGAGAGTCGATTTGATCTATTGATCAACAAATGTGTAAGCACACTCCATCTGGTGAACTGAGTCCTTGATTTTCTCACTTAAAAGACTCGATTTCGCGAGAAAATGCGGAACTCAGTGCCCCAGAAAGGTGCGTTTATAAACTTTAAGCACAAAATACACGATGAAACAACCAGAAAAGCTTTAAAATCGTTTTTTGTACAAAAACAAGTTATCAAATTAGGTCCAATTCTCGGGAAAACACTTGAATTTCCTCATTTCCTTGAATTGTTTCCTTTGGAAATTCGATTTTGAATCTTTTTCTTTTCGAAATTCATGTGACTAAACGATTTTGAGTCAAAAAATCGGGGAAATTACATGTTTCCAAAAAAAAAACGGAGAAAATATCTAATTTGTGAAAGACGGGGAAGTCTGGAAAGGTTTTAAATTCGAAATTTTGTTCGAATCCATTCGGCTAATCACAAAAGTACAAAAGAAGCTAAAGAAAAACTAGAATCACGTAAATTTAAAAGAAACAGCATTGGATGTACTTTGTGACATTTGTAAATGCAAAAAACATTTTCGTAGGAAAAAGTAAAAGAATTGGCGGCAAGAGGAGTCGAACCTGTGACCCCTCTCTTCCGCTCGTTTGAGAGACGCGCGCGTTAACCACTCGGCCACTCGTGCGATGGAGGGCGATCCAGACGAGCCAGCTAAGCCTTAGCCTAAGCCTGAGCGAGGCGGACGAGCCAGTTCCAGCCAGACGAGCTAGCTCGAGCCCACTTATCTCTAGCCCAGACGACCCGTCATGCTTGGTAGATGGCGCAGTGCGAGTGCGCTTGTCTCTAGCCCAAAAGACCCGGGTTTGACTCCGGCCCGTGTCGGCATTTTTCTTTTTTAAAAATTAACAAAAAAATTTTTTATAAATACATGGAATTTTAAGGTAAACTAACTGTTAATAGAAGAAGAGAAGTAAAAGTAATTGAGAAATAATGTTAACTGAATAAGGAGGCCGAGCGTGGGAGCTTTTATACGGGCCCCGCCCCTTCGCCATTCGCAATCTAATCTCAAGTATGCACTCAGGTTGCCATTTTCTCGCAAACTGAAGGATTTAGTGCGCCAGAAAGGGTGTGTTTAGACTTTTTGAGAGAAAAGACGTTTCGAAAAAGGAGCAGCCAAAGTAAAACGCTTGTTTCGTTGAGATTTATTGTACTTTGTGCTCAAAACACAAGCCTTCTAGTGCACTGAGTTCTTCATTTTCTTTAAAACAACAATCAACAAGAATCTCAAGCACATTAAAGCTTTTGGAGATTTTAGAAAGCTCTGGAAATAATGAATTTGCAAAAAATTCGTTGAAATCGAGGAATTTCTCGGATTCTACACGGATTTATTTATTAAAAAAGATAGAAAGAAAAAGAGTTCGCTTAAAACGCCTAATTGCCTTATTTCGGGCGAATGTCTGATTGGTAGAAAAGCGGGAAAAGCGGGAAAAACGGAAAAAACGGCTATTTTTCTCGGAATTCTCAATCCTTGGTACATTTTTCGAATTTTCGCTTCTCGTACCTGTTATTTGGAAAAACAATTTTCTGAATAAAATAGGGAAAATATTAAGTTATTAATACTTTAGTAATTAATCTGACAAAAACGTGGCTAGATAGCTAGAGGCGATGAAGTCTACAATTTCATTTTTCATCTCTGTTTTGTTCTTGAAAATTTCCTCGATGACGAATGATCAGGATGCTTGAAAAAGTGATAATCTTTTGGAGAAAGATCGGGTGAATAAGGAAGAAGAAGAAGATAAGGAAGAAGGAGAAGATAAGGGAGAAGAAGAAGATATGGAAGAAGAGGAAGATATGGAAGAAGAAGAAGAAGATAAGGAAGAAGGAGAAGATATGGAAGAAGAGGAAGATATGGAAGAAGAGGAAGATATAGAAGAAGAGGAAGATATGGAAGAAGAAGAAGATATGGAAGAAGAGGAAGAAGATAAGGAAGAAGAAGAAGAAGATAAGGATGAAGATCGGTCAAATAAAAAAAGTTACTTTTTTAATCTCAAAACGTTCACATTCCATTTTTTGGCCATTTTGGCCATCACTTCTATAAAGAAAAAGTGTTTACGAAAAGTCACGCGGATTTGAATAATGAACGAAAGAAGAGCAAAGATTTCCGTTGAAATGAGAGGAAATTGTATCGAATTTCGTATTGAACTTGAAAATTGGATTATCTTTTGAAGGGAAACGAAAGAGGAAACTTTATTACATTAGCTCTTTTCTCTATTGTTCTTTTGGAGCTATTTTTTTAGAGAAAAGTCGGTTTTTAAAAAGGTTTCTGACGTCATTTCAATTAGGTGCTCACTTTTGTCAACGAGAACTTTAGAATTCGAATTATAATTCGAATTTGGCTCAGTCAAAATGGGTGAAATGGGTAAAAATGGGCTAAAATGGGCAAAAATGAGTTAAAATGGACAAAAATAGGCAAAAATGGACAAAAATGGACTAAAATAGACAAAAATAGACAAAAATGGGCTAAAATGGGTTAAAATAGACAAAAATAGACAAAAATAGACAAAAATAGACAAAAATAGACTAGAATAGACAAAAATAGACAAAAATGGGCAAAAATAGGTTAAAATAGGCAAAAAAGGACAAAAATGAACAAAAATAGACAAAAATGGGCCAAAATTGCTTCAAAATTGCTAATGAAAGAGTTAAAAATAGAGAAAATGACTGGAAAAAGAGTTCCTCGTTAGGTGGAGGCACAGAAAAGGCAAAGAAAATCAAATAGAGAAGAGAATCTAGTGGATTTTCTCTTTTTTTTTTTTTTTTTCTTGATTCCGGAATGGATTTAGACCCCTTTTTCTCTCAAGAAAGGCTCATTTAAAGCCAATTTTCATCCCGCAAAAACAACGAATGAGTGCAATTAAGGCAATTTTGCTAAAAACAGCTTTCTTATCCCGGAAACAACTGAGTTTAGCATCATAGTACGAAAAAAAGGTTTTTTTTTCAGTTACATCCGCAATATTTTATCAGTTAATAGTCAAAAATCGATTAATTTAATCAAAAATAGATAAACATCAAAATAAACATCAAAATATTCATCAAAATAAATAAACATCGTCCGGAAAGTGGTGGTAAAGCGATTGTTGTCACAAAAGCTAATATCAAGAAGCTTTGAAATCAGCTTCGAAATCAACTACGCTCGAAATCAGGTTCGAAAAAAGCTACGATCGAAATCGCTTCGAAATCAGCTACGATCGAAATCAGCTACGCTCGAAATTAGCTTCGAAATTAGCTTCGAAATCAGCTACGCTCGAAATCAACTACGCTCGAAATCAACTTCGAAATCAACTACGCTTGAAATCAGGTTCGAAATCAGCTTCGAAATCAGCTACGCTCGAAATCAACTACGCTCAAAATCAGCTTCGAAATCAGCTAATCAGTCACTCGTTCCCAGATGGAAGAATATAACCATTTCTCAAATTTCTATCGGTCGTTTTGTCAAAAATCGTCTTCGAATGAAAGCTTATAAGTTTTCCAAAAGCCAAAAGGCATCCAAAGCTCGTATCATTCAAGATTGATGCAAGCAGATTTCCCTTGATTTTTTTGATTTCCTTGATTTCCTTGATTTTATCGATTTTAACCAGTGACCATCATCAAGCCCGAACCTCAACCTCTCGATTATTTTGAATGGAGTGTATTGGAAGCAAAAGCATCCTCGAAACCTCATCGAAAAGTCGATTCGGTTCTTTTCTGTTATACTTCTGCAAGATTTTATCATTCAAGAATCAAAAATTGATCAATTTAATCAAAATCAAAAATAAATCAAAAGAATAAACATCAAAAAAAAAATCAATGAGGAAGCCATTCTTTAGCAATTTGTTGCATACACCCATTCGTAGAAATCGTCCTTTCCCATTTCTTGTCGAATCATGAATTCAGTAGCTGATTCAGTAGCTGATCTAGCTCGTTAGGAAATGACGTGCCTGTTCTTGTTTCTCCATTTGACAGATCCCCATAAGCTCTCGATCGTCTGCGAGTGAATGGCAGAGTCATCCGGATTCAGAAATTTGTACTTGTGGTTGACTTGAACATGGGTAAAGCCGACTTCCTTGCGTGTTTTATCCTCGTCAACAATTGGAGTAAATTTGTGTCAAGAAATAGCAAAAGAATGACATATCAAATGAATTTTCTATGGTTTTTCATGAAAATTTCATGAAAGGATTCAAATTTTTCAAATCAAAAGGTCTTTTTATCGTTAGATTCTCGAATACACTGCTGAATTCAGAAAAATATCGTTGACCAGACCCAAATTGGCTTCAATTTCAATCAAATCTTCAAAGATCAACAAAATTTCAATTCAATTTCAATTCAATTTCAAAACAATTTCAAAACAATTCAGTTATAGTGAAAGATTTAAGGAAAAAGAGAGACGATTACTTGAAGATTACTTGAAAAAAACATTAATAAAAGAAGACATTAAGGAAAAATCATCTATTAGGTTGATGCATAAGTGTTTTTGTTCCTTTTCGTCTGCCGTTTCAAGCCAACAAATGCACCAATTAAACTACGGTTGATTTCATTAGAAAAACCAATTATTTTTCTGCAAAATAACATTAAAACGGGTTTAAAAATATTTTATGCCTGGATTTTCTTGAGAGTATGAAGTCGGGTAGTCAAAAAGGGCTAACTCGATGATGCGGTTTAGACACCTTAGCTAAAGAAAACCTATCTTCGTGTCAATAGATAAAAGATAGAGAAAAAAAACGTTTGATATTTCGCCAAAATTTCAGAGAAATTCATTCAGCCAATTTTTCCGTAGAGTTTTTTATAGATTTTTACGAAAAAGGCGTTTTTCACTCTCGAATTTGCTTGAAAGTGAACCGAAATTGATTTAAAAAGATGCAAATTGAACAAAAAAACACTTTTTTTATAGATTAATTGGTGAATTTGTTACTTTTTAACAGAAGTACGAAAAAAACGAAAAGACTTATGCATCAACCTATTAGTTCTTTTGAGCGAAATTGATACGGGCGGCTTTATGGTCTTTTGTAAGTCGTGGAGCTTGCTTCATGAGTTTGTATTTGAATATTGTAGATCGTTTGACAACGTTGTCACAGTTTGGCGAGTGACCGGAAGCTTCATCTCCTTGCGAACCTCTTCGAGTGATGTCGTCGTGTTGGAAAGACGTCTCGTAATTGCGCGTTCGTCTTGATCGGTCAACTTTTTCTTCCGGCCCCGTGTTTCTTTCTTTTTCCGTAGAGTTTTTTTATAGATTTTTACGAAAAAGGCGTTTTTCACTCTCGAATTTGCTTGAAAGTGAACCGAAATTCATTTAAAAAGATGCAAATTGAACAAAAAAAAACACTTTTTTTATAGAGCAAACTATAGATTAATTCGTGAATTTGTTACTTTTTAACAGAAGTACGAAAAAAACGAAAAGACTTATGCATCAACCTAATACATCTATTAAACAGTTTTCGAGTTTTCTGAAAAAACTTTGAGGCACTTAAAAATGCATTGTAACTTAGGATTTAGGGCGCCACATTGTAATAATAGGGTACCTACTAATGTGCCAAGATAGTAAAGGGAGTTAGAATTTTAAAGCAAGTTGAAAAAACGCGAGCACACGTGGAGGACGAAAATTAACAAATGATTTTCTTGAGAAATGATCGGGGCAATTTTGCCTTAAAAGTAAAAGTATTCAGTCAAACAATTGAATATTTTTACGAAAAGAAAAGATTATATTAATCTGTCCAGAAAGTCTTTGCATTTCTTTTCATACTTCCTTTTGCAACCAACAAATGCACCAATTGAACTACAGTTTATTCCATTAGAAAGGCAAATTATTTTTCTGCAAAATAAGATTAGAACGGATTTTAAATGTCTTATGTCTGGATTTTTTGAGGACGTGAAGTCGGGTAGTCAAAAACGGCGACGGCTCGATGATGCGGTTTAGGCACTTTAGCTAAGGAGACCTATCTTGGTGTCAATAGATAAGAGATAGATCACAAAAAGTTAGGTATATAGATAAATTTTCAGAAAAATGGATTCAGCCAATTTTTCCGTAGAGTTTTTTTATAGATTTTTACGAAAAAGGCGTTTTTCACTCTCGAATTTGCTTGAAAGTGAACCGAAATTGATTTAAAAAGATGCAAATTGAACAAAAAAAACACTTTTTTTATAGAGCAAACTATAGATTAATTGGTGAATTTGTTACTTTTTAACAGAAGTACGAAAAAAACGAAAAGACTTATGCATCAACCTATTATTACTTTTGTGTTATAACTATTGTGTTATAACTATTGATTTTTATCTTAAGTTGTGAGGAAATTTGATGTTTTTATAGCTCTATTAAACATTTATTCAACATATTTTATTGAGCAATAGATATAATTTCATTTTTCTTTTTGTTTATAATCATTGCATCTTCATTTAAGGCATCAACTTATGTTCATAGAAACTTTTTGTGAAGGTGGGAAAATGATTGGTGACGTTGAAGTGAAAAAGGTTTTGATTGGGGTGTCATCTAGCGAGAGCTTGCTGTTTGAAAGCGAAGTTTGAGAATTTCGATAGAAATTTCGACGAAAGAACATTTGTAGTTCGTTCATTGTCTAAATGATTTACATAATTTTTTGGTAAAGTTTTAAAATCAAAGATTTGTGAAATTAGTACATCTAGTACATTTTTTACATCTAGAAGGCTTGATTCAAATTTGGTTGAAACTTGATTCAAACTTGGTTGAAACTTGATTCAAACTTGGTTGAAACTTGATTCAAACTTGACTCAAACTTGACTCAAACTTGGTTCAAACTTGATTCAAACTTGATACTCATTTCATTTACCGTTGGAAAGCAGAACAAAATGGCGATGGTGACCAAAATCCCATAGCCGACTGCTTGAAATTTGTTTTGCAAAAAGTAGAGACTCATGTTCATTGGTGGGAGTTGCAGTGATGGGAAGAAAATCCACAAATACCAGTAACTGGCAAAGCAGATTGAAATGTGTTTTGCTAAAAGAAAAATTAGCAATTGAGCTAACAGCTAACTATTAATTGTTAGCTGTTTGCTCAATTGTTAGCTGCTAGCTCTATTGTTAGCTGTTAGCTCTATTGTTAGCTGTTAGCTGTTAGCTTAATTGTTAGCTGTTAGCTGTTAGCTCAACTGTTAGTTGTTAGCTCAAAATGTCACTTACGAAAGAGGCTGACAATCTGTGTGATCACAATTCTCTTTGTTGTCACCGTCCACAAATTGCTTTTCTTCAGTCCACTCGATGTGCTCAATCTGTAAAGTGTTTGCATTGAGTTTTGTTTTGGTTTTTTCTTTGTTTGCGCATGACACCTAATACTTTCTTGAATGTTTAACGAATTTAAAGATTTAAACAAATTCAAACAAACAAACAAACAAAGATTTAAACAAATTCATTGTCTTCTCCCCACCTCCATAAAACAAAAGCCATCGCGAGATACAGAAGAGAAATGCTGATCACGAATGCTCCTCTCACATAAACGGCGCCAAGAGTATAGATGTAATTCGGTGTTACTGCTTTGAATGCCAAAGAGGTACTGTTCTAGATTTGCTTTAATCAAAAACTCCATTTTTTTTTTATTATAAACAACTCACAGCTCCATTTTGATTGTACGCAAAAGTGGGAACGAAAAAGACAACGTGTAGAGAGAAAAGAAAGCCGATAGCCCAGATTGTTATCGAGATGATTTGAGTGTTTCGTTTGCTCCAAAACTAAAAACCTTTTCTACTCTATTGTTAGATTCTTTTGAAAAAGTTTTATTATGAAATTTTCTCAAATTTTAATGACAAATGACAATACACAAGGCTTTTTCAGAGAATTTTTGCGCACCACACTAAAGTGCACTAAACTACCGTAACCCTCCAATTTTTCTTTTTTTGGCAACTAGCCAATTTCCTTGTTTTTTTTCTATTTTTCACCATTATTTTGGTGTTTTTTATCAACTCGACATTTGGAGCCAAAGTTAAACTTATTTTAGACATTTTTTGAACAAATTGCTTTGTTAAAGGGATTTTAACAGGGGAATGGACGACTGCTGATGTTGCTGTTGATGTTGCTGTTGCTGTTGCTGTTGCTGTTGATGTTGATGTTGATGTTGCTGTTGATGTTGCTGTTGCTGTTGCTGTTGATGTTGATGTTGATGTTGCTGTTGATGTCGGTGTCGATGTTGTGGTTGCTGTTGCTGTTGCTGTTGATGTCGGTGTCGATGTTGTGGTTGCTGTTGCTGTTGATGTTGCTGTTGCTGTTGATGTTGATGTTGCTGTTGATGTTGCTGTTGATGTTGCTGTTGATGTTGATGTTGCTGTTGATGTTGCTGTTGATGTCGGTGTCGATGTTGTGGTTGCTGTTGCTGTTGCTGTTGATGTTGCTGTTGCTGTTGCTGTTGCTGTTGATGTTGATGTTGCTGTTGATGTTGCTGTTGATGTCGGTGTCGATGTTGTGGTTGCTGTTGCTGTTGATGTTGCTGTTGCTGTTGATGTTGATGTTGCTGTTGATGTTGCTGTTGATGTTGATGTTGCTGTTGATGTTGCTGTTGATGTCGGTGTCGATGTTGTGGTTGCTGTTGCTGTTGCTGTTGATGTTGCTGTTGCTGTTGCTGTTGCTGTTGATGTTGATGTTGCTGTTGATGTTGCTGTTGATGTCGGTGTCGATGTTGTGGTTGCTGTTGCTGTTGATGTTGCTGTTGCTGTTGATGTTGATGTTGCTGTTGATGTTGCTGTTGATGTTGCTGTTGATGTTGATGTTGCTGTTGATGTTGCTGTTGATGTCGGTGTCGATGTTGTGGTTGCTGTTGCTGTTGCTGTTGATGTTGCTGTTGCTGTTGCTGTTGCTGTTGATGTTGGTGTTGCTGTTGATGTTGCTGTTGATGTCGGTGTCGATGTTGTGGTTGCTGTTGCTGTTGATGTTGCTGTTGCTGTTGCTGTTGATGTTGATGTTGCTGTTGATGTTGCTGTTGATGTCGGTGTCGATGTTGTGGTTGCTGTTGCTGTTGATGTTGCTGTTGATGTTGAGATTGATGAAAAATACATTAATACATGCATTAGTTGCCCTGTTAAAATCCCTTTAACAAAGCGATTTGTTCAAAAATTTCTTAAATAAACTTAACTTTGGTTCCAGACGGCGAGTTGATGAAAAAAATAATGAAATGAAAAATAGGACAACAAAGAAATCGGCATGTTCAAACATTTCCATTAATTCAAGTCAACTTTCTACTAGATAATATCAAAAGTGAGAGAGATCCATGGACAAATGAGTAAGCGCATCAAAGCTGCGGTCATCTCATATGCTCCAACTAATAATTCATTTTTTTTTACCAATATCCCATTGAAAAGTTAATGTTTATTACAAAATAATGTTTCTGTTAACTTTTGATTAGCAATAGTACGAAAATTTTGTTGTTAACTAACAAAAATCCCATACAAAATTAGATAAACACAGTTTTTTTTACGTATTTTTTTTTTCTCTGGGGACACTTTTACTCTGAAGAGAGAGAAAAAAGTTATTTCTTTGAGCCACTTTTACGTGCATTCCTTTCAAAACAAACATTTTCACGTACTCAGATAGACAAAAAGTCAAGAAATCATCTTGGTCACAAACTCTCTCAAACCTCAATTCTCAACCAAGATCACTCACTCTCTGATAGGAGATCGGTCTCCAGACGCACCAGAACCGAGAAACGGCAATCACCAACTGAAAACAGAGGACGATCGTTGGCCAGACTGGAAAATGCCAGTTTATAAGGAAATTTACAAACCAATAGAGCACAACTTGTAAGTTATTGATTTCTAAACAGACATAGAAAAATAGACTACGTTCTAGCAGCTTGTACTGCATTTTTAACTTCTTGTACTACATTCTTAACTTCTTGTACTACAATGACTTAATCAAACTTGGTTTCAGTTGGATAATTTAGTGTTTTTGCTCTTTCTGTGAAACGACTCATCAAATTCGAATCTTTAAAAACAGAAGGTACTTTGGAAACAGAAAAATCGAAAAATGATCTTCCAGCGAGATTGGGCTAGAGGAAAATCGACTCTGGCCTTTCTTGACTTCGAAATTTAAATTTGGGTATTCAAGGGCTTTGGGTCAATGGTCAACAAATAGTTCAGATCAAATCTGTTAGATTTTTTTGATTCGAGGATAGAGGAACGTCTAAAGACCAGGGAAATCACAAATTTGGACAATCTAAAGAAATTTTTTGATCAAGGAATGAAATGATTTAGATGTGGACTACTTTCGGCGCTTCTATTCAAGTCTATTCAACTCTGCATCGATGCCATTTTGAGGCCATTTGTTGTTGTGTTGAAAATTTGTTGTCTTATTTCAAAGTTTCAAATCAAAAAAACCTAGATCATCTTTTAGTGGTTTTATACGGGGAATCCGATGATTTAGTTTATGTTAGCAAATTGAGTGATTGAGTTGAGTTGAATTGATTTTTACTTAATTTTTCAGCCTACTCATCTCTTTCACCAACCTGTCGTGTTCGCATAACTGATCTTCCCAATCCACCATCCGTTATCAATCCAAAATTGTCGAAAAAACCCGAAATTAGCGGGCTCTTTGATTAGCATTTGATCAGCATACAGATCAAAGTTGATTAGTACTAAAAACGTTTTGAAAACTTTGAGTTTTTGAAAATTCATACAAATATTCCGCACAGATGTCAAGAATATCGGGCAAAGAGCCGTGTTTTTCCCGAAAGCACAATAGATGAGAAGATCGCCGATAATAGCAAATGGAATGGAGAAGTCCATGAGGAGTGACGCGAAGTTGATCAACGTGAAAGACATCTAAATAGAAAAAGAAGTTTAATGTGAATTTGACGGTGATAGTGACAGGCAGACAAGCAGACAGACAAGCAGACAGATAGACAGACAGATAGACAGACAGATAGACAGACAGATAGACAGACAGATAGACAGACAGATAGACAGACAGATAGACAGACAGACAAACAATACAGACAATACAGCTCAAGAAATACAGAAAGCTCAAATCAAGAAAGCTTCAAGACCTTTATGCGAAATCGAATCGCTAAAAATGAGAAAAAGAAATGAAAACTGAAGTTCAAAGAGATCAGATTGAAAATAGAGATTTCTCAAAACATTTTTATTCTTGTAGTTCAGCATTTCCAAGAAAATCACCTCATATATCTGTTTGCTAGACAAAAAAAGGCACTGACAAAATTTTCCGGGTACATATAAGGTATATAAAGTCTCCAGGGAAATCTTTTGGATAGATGTATGCATAGAAAAAGAAAACATGATTAAAGGACTTTTAAATTTCAGAATTTTAACAAGACTCAAGTCACGAATATCACCAATTAGTTGAATTTGTTTTCGTTTCCGCAATTTAGCTGATTAACGTCAAAATGTTGATAATTCTTGTATCACTGAAAAAGATACTTACTATATTTTATAAAAATAAAAAAATTTACGTGATTCTATTAGGTACGGAAAAAATTAATGTCATATTTTTTCACTAAAGTTCCAACGTTCATAAAATTTTTATTTCAAAAGCAATTTAATCAAAGTAAAAACCAGTAGAATCTATACATGATTGCTAACGTTTGGCTAACTTTTCAATTCCTAAAGTGTAGAATGCGGACCCCATTGAAACGATAAACTCCTTGATGCCATTTTCGACCTCCCCTTGAGTAGCAAAGCATTTCTCCGATAAGAAGTGATCGAGGAACTTGAAAAAGTGGAAATCTGTAGGCGACAAATCAGGAGAATATGGAGCATGAGGGAGGGCTTCAATGTGCAGCTCGTTCAATTTTTGAAGAGTCTTTAGTGAACAATGCGGGTGGGCATTGTGTTGCAATAGGATGGGACTCTTCCGATTCATTAGAGTTGGATCGATCCTTCGAATTTTTTGCATACATTTCGTTTATTTCGTGAATATACTGATCAGAATTCATCGTTTTTCCGTTTGGTAGCACTGAATAATGGATTAGACCTTTCTGCGACCACCAAACACTGAGAAGAAACTTCTTTGGGTGTAGATTGGGCTTCGGAAAGGGGTTCGATGGTTATCCTTTATCTAGCCATTCGGCTTTGCGTTTTCGGTTATCGTAGAGGACCCATTTTTCATTACAAGTTACAATTCGATCCAGAAATGGCTCCTTTTGATTACGAATCAACAATGAATACGATGTGAGGTAACGGTGCAATTTTTGATATTCGTTCAACTGATGAGGCACCCAATTTTTCCACTTTTTTACTTTTCCGATTTCCTTGAAATGGTTCCCAATTGTGCGTGGAGTGACTTCGAAGTGCGTTACTAATTCTGCCTCCGCTGTTCTGGGATCCGCTTCTACCAGCTCCTTTAATTCGTCATTGTCGAGACTATCATGGCATCCCGGCCTTCCTTGTCATTAAGATCCTCATCGCCTTCCCGTAATCGTTTGAACCAGCGCTGAACTGCTCGAACTTCAGCTTTGTTTCCCCCCAAAAACTTGATTAATGTTTTGGGTCGCTTCTGACGCATTGTGGCCAAGCTTGAACTCATACAAAAATAGAAGGCGAAAGTCTCGATTTTCCATCGATGTAAAACAACCTGAAAAAAACCATCAAGGAAGGTCTAAGCAAAAGTGTTAAACAGAAAAGAAAATTGAGAAAAAATACTCAAATACATAAAAAGACCCAAGGTCAATAAGCATTTGCAGCCGTGTAGGCAACGCCGGAAAGTGAGACCCACAAATACGACATTAATTTTTTCCGTACCTAATATTTTTTTTAATTAAAAACTTTAGAGAAGAAATTTTATTTTTTTTGTTTAAAAACCCTGGAGAAGAAATTTTATTTTATTCAAAAGCTCTCCGAAAAGGAATTTTATTCTTTATTTATCTGCCAAAAATTCGAAGATTTTAGACCAACTTCACCAAGTCAATTATTATTTACACAAAACATCTTCCTAATACAGTCGAACCTCTCTATAACGTAACTCACGGGACGGCTACAGCTTACGTTATATAGAGGTTTACGTTATATAGAGTACCGTTTTATATAGCTTAACGTCAGCCGGGACCGGTCACGCCTTACGTTATAGAGAGGTTTACGTTATATCGAGGTTCGTTATAGAGAGGTTCGACTGTACTATAGATCTAGAAAAAAAGCTTCAAAAATATAGGGGGTGGGACAAATGCGACCTTTTTTTTGCTGGAAAAGGCCTTAGGAAAGGTCGTAGAGCTTCGAAAATGTTTTCATTGAAGGGAATCGTATGCGTAGATTCCGAATTTCGACAAATCAGACCTCGCTGACACGTCAAATTTGGGCTAAAAGGCAAAAACTGCGGAAAAGCGTTAAGTTGCGTAGTTTTTGCCTTTTAACCCAAATTTGACGTGTCAGCGAGGTCTGATTTGTCGAAATTCAGAATCTACGCATACGATTCCCTTCAATGAATACATTTTTGAAGCTCTACGACCTTTCCTAAGGCCTTTTCCAGCAAAAAAAAGGTGCGCAAATGTCCAGGTGCGCAAAAAAAAGGTCGCATTTGTCCCACCCCCAAAATATAAGAAAAAAGTAACAAACTTGATTTCTTATCAAATTTATATTGGCTTGAATTTTTAAACTGGGTTTACTTATGATTTACAGTCCAATCTCTGTATAACGTGGGTCAATTTGGGCAGTCACGCAGTGAGTCGCAGTGCCAACTGCAAATTCTTTCTTATATTGCAATTATATTCAAAATCTTCTATTTCCTTGTCTATGAATGGCTAAATTCACTTCAATTCGTTAGTTTTGTTTTCGGTTTTTCATTTTTTTTCTGAAATTTTCTGTTTCAGTGGTATGAAAATGTCAACTCAACTTTGTTTCTTCCGGGATCTTGATTCATTGGAGGTGCGAACGTTTTGGAGGTCGTTCATCAAACAAAAACATTTTGTTTTGCTTATCCGCCAGATGATTCGGATGGTCGCAACTTTACTGTGAAAATGGATAAAAACGTCCACGTTATTCTACCAGAAATGACACTTGAGGTATATTTGATTTACTTTTAACCTTTTTGTGAAATTGTTATAAGCTTGATCATTCTTTAATGTACTAAAATAACGTAAACATATGAACCACAATTTTTTTACTTCATATATTCAATATATCTATGATATTATTCAATATATCTATGATATCAAGGCTAATTATATTTATTTAATTTGTGTACTTTTAGTATCAAAGCGAGGGCGTTTGGCTTGGAACTCAGGTGGTCGGTTTTTGTGCTCAATTCATCGACATGATGAAATTTGCTGCCTTTCTCACAAAACTGTCCAATATTGCCGGTTATCAGCAGGTTTTATTTTATTTTTATCTAATAAAGATATTTATTCATAATATTTATTAATTTTGGAGTGAACTAGGTTTTTTAAAAAATTAGCTATGACTAATGATGCATAAAGAAGAATATTTAGTTGATTGTATCAAATGGCAATGCATCCCCAAAAATGGAACAGGATCCCGACGTTTTCGAGCAAGAAGAGTTTGAAGACGATTCTGAAAGTGATGAATCGGATGAAAACATGTTAGTTGTATTGTTTGTTGCTTGGAATAAAATTTTGCATGCATAAATTTATCAAAACTGAGTAGGTTTGCTTGCCTAATATAGCTCGATTTGATCAAAATTTCGATTGTTTTTTGTGTATTATTCATGGCATATAGGAGTAATGGATTATTTTTAGCTCAATGTTGCCTCGATTCAGCGTCTTGCAAGACTACACTGCAGTGACTGTGACTCAACGATATATCGAGCTCGTTGTCGATGAACAAACACATCGTTTTGCACATCGACCTGGTGATCAACGCCGTGAATTCGGACGACGTGGATTGGGTAGAACTCTTCCAAAGGGCAAATGTTTCAATTGCCTCGTCCCAGGCGTGGTGCTACAGGTTATTCTTTATATATTAAGATTTCTCTTTTTTTGGCAATTTAATGCACTTATTTTATTTTCAGGGCTTGCCACCCGGAAATCAACAATACGTGGATCTCTTTCCGGTCGATATATATATTGAATTCGGCGACACTCAGCATTTGGCCGACTTTACAACGGCTCTCAAAGCTAACAACTATGTTGAAAACTAGTTAATCGTTGTTGTTAATCAATAAATCTGTTATTTACTTTCATAATTTTAAATTTTTGAAAAATTTTTTTTGCAGAAACTATTTTGATTAATATATATCCAGAAATCACAATTTTTCCCAGTAGCAAAACTCTACTTTGTGTCTTTTTTTAATGTAATACATTGTAAAATTGCTATTACAGCATTATAGCATAGTGGGAGTTAAAGCAAAGACCCGAGCTTTTAATATAGGCAAAACGAATTCAGATAGCTAAGATATTTATTCGATTTGTTCACCACAGGATTCATTGGTACATATTCGTGTTAGAAAAATCCGATAAATCCGACTAAAAAAATAAATGCTACTAGATTTTTCTGTTTAGGTGTTTGTTTATGTTTTTCATCGATTATTCGCTTCTTGTTTGTTTATTGAATTATTTTTAGATGTCGACACGTCTTTCATTCTATCTGGACTATACAACCATTCAACATGTGCGCAGTGGGTTCTTCGTATATCAAGGAGCCCCGATATACCGATTTCTCCACGATCCTATCAGACAACGCGAATATATTGTGAGATCGAAAACGGCTCAAAGAGATGAAAACCGTCTACCATCACTTCCGGCAACAAAGATGGGCGGGATACTTGTGAAGAGAGTGACCTTAGAGGTAATGACCATTAATATAGAAATAATATAGAATTTTATTATTTTATAATATAGAAATTCAATAATTGATCTGCTAAAATAAGTAGTGATTACACATGCATAATTAATTACATACACATAGATAGTAATTTTCCATAATGAGATTGTACATGACGAAATCGGCTCTAATTTATGGTGTCGACTGACTTTTAACTTCATTAATTTCATTCTAACTTTATATTTTAGGGTTTCGCTTCCGGAAGTCGGTTCGAGGTAAATGAAGTCGATTTGTTCATCGAGAAGCCGATTTTCTACAGGCGCTACAGAATGCAAATTGTACTGAAATTTAGTCAAACTATTCGTAGGTTTTTTTGGTGAAATTGTATTTGGTTTCTGCACTTATTCTAACACTTCCCCATCTGTGATTGTTAGACCTAATGTTTGTTTGTTTGTTATTCTTCCTTTACTAATCGTTCTGTTGAAATATATAAAATTTATTTTAAAAATTAGATGATAAAACACATAAATGACAGAGATTCGTAGACAGGTCTATGACGCTGAAAAACTTGTCTCGGAGAGCCATTCTCGAATTAATCAATATTATTGCCAAATAGGGTTTGATAACGTAAGTTTTTTAACACCCTGATTAAGCATTTAATTGAACATTTTTATGCTTCCCCTTTTTAGTGGTTGTGGCTTTGCCTACCCGAGCGATGATGAGGTAGAAGAACGACGTGTTGTGAGAGCTCACAAAGACCGCAAATACGATGAGCTCAAGGGACTGATCAAGAAGACGAAGAATGCAAAGAATGTCAAAGACTTTTCAAAGCTCTACGAACGTAAGGAATTTTACCGGGGCTGCTTATAATTGGATTTTATAGTCTTCAAGGAACTTGGCAAAGCTTTTGATAAAGCAAAGCCGATTCGCCGCCGCCAAAACCTTCCCATTCCATGTTTTTACGTGCGCTACTTGGCTGAATTGGAGGATTTTGTGGAAAACATTTGGAAAGATAAGGAAGCAAAACAAGTGATATTCTGATCCATTTAAATGAAACTAATATTTTACAAGCACTTTCTAAGCCAAATTCTAACGGACTTACGCGTTTACATCAACGGATACGCAAACACGCTGAGGCCAATGTGGTTCCTGGAATGGATCTTGTGCTAGAGCTCAAAAACTATTGCGATAACCCAGACCCACTTAGTTACGAAAGCCCGGAAAAGGAAGTCAAAGCTGAAGCTGAAGGCGAAAAGGATGAAAGCGATGATGTTAGTCATATTCCCCTAACATTTAAATGAATAACTTTAGGAATTTACTGGACGCGCTCCTGCTCCAGCTGCCGTTGAAGAAGAGGTTCGAACTTAAACTTTTTAGCCAATAAACAGCATTGTAGTTGGACTCCGATGCGTGGTCAACTGATACTGAAACATCAGCTTCTAAGCCGGAGATTGATTTCTCAGAACAGAAAATGGAGGAGCTTCGTAAATATTTTTTGAAGTTTGTAGTTTAACATTAATCCCTTCTAAAACTATTTTTAGGAAAGAATTCCAAGATCCAAAAAGCAAGAAGGATGACAAGCCGGGGAAAAGCAGGCTTCCTAAGGTAAGCTTCGAGTCATTAAACTTCACGCTTTATTATTACATTTATTTTAGACAAAGATCACCAAGATTGTTTCTGAAGATGAAGACGTGGAAGGTTGGACTGAAGTTGGAAAGAAAGAGGAAGATATCTCTTTCCACCAAAAACCGAAATCACGTGCGAGGTTTTGCGTAAATTAACCAATTGAATCAAACATGGCTGTAGGCACTTGTTGAAAAATTCGAAGAGAAAATGGCTATTCGTGGGCGAAAAACTACGCGCGAAAAAAAACTTCCGCGAAAACTACAGCGAAAACTATTCTTCAAGAAATCTACAATATTGCTCAAGAGGTTAGCTCAATCTACAATATTGCTCAGACTTTCAGATGCTTAAAGTATTGGGTTGGTGGGAAAATAATCGAAATAAACAAGTCCCAAACTTTGTCTTTGATTGTAAAAGTCCTTTTGCGTCATTGATACTAAACTTTTAGCTAATTGTGATTGATATACAGTGCCGCTCAAAGGTAATGACCCCCTCAAACTTTTCAGGTTTGTCATATAAAACAAATGCACAGAGTAATATGTTTAAAAACAAAATGCAGATTTTTCATAAACATGCATAAATATTTTGGTTTCAGCTCATTTTGAATGCTTTCTAAAACATGGCATAAAAAAGAAAACTTAAGGTCGCTCAAAAGTAATGGCCCCCCTAAGCGTTTGTGTTGAACAACTTTCATAAATCAATCTTTTTCTAATTTTATAGTTTTATTTCTGATTTATTTTGATTTTTTCAGTTATGGGCATAAAGTATTATCCACTTGCTGTATGCCAAATTCTTCTCGACAAGGTTTCCTCTGGATCGAGTGTCAAAAGAGCGGCAAGAAGCTTTGGAATCCCATATACTACGGCAAAGCGCTGGAATCAGGCCTACAAGAAGAAAAAGGTTTTGGAGTTCAAGCACAAGAACGGACGCAACAAAATTACTGACGAAAGATATGACAGAAGGCTCGTTCTCGAAAGTAAATCGAATCCTCGTTTAACAGCAAGAGCAATTCTGCAAAATACTCCACATCCCGATGGTGTGCAACCTTCCATTTCTACGATAAAGCGAAGACTTGTCGATTCTGGACTATTTGGTCGACATGGCTCAAAGAAGCCGCTTATCTCAAAGAAAAATCAAAAGGAGCAAAATCAGAAACCCAATTTCGGTAATTCTTGGCCCAACTTCAGCAGTTGGGCCAAGAATTACCGAAATTGGAATGTGGATGATTGGTCGACGGTTTTGTTTTCAGACGAAACGAAGGTCAACTTCTTTTCTTCTGACGGAATACAATGGATCTGACGACCAAAGAACACACGGGACGTTGAGGCGTCCAATATTCCAACAGTTAAACACGGGGGAGGCTCGGTACTTCTTTGGGGATGTTTTTCGGGTTCGGGAGTTGGTCCACTCATGCGCATAAAAGGCATCATCAACGCCGAAAAGTATGTGGATATCTTGGAAAATTATATGTTGCCTTGTGTTAAGCAAAATTTGCCTAACGGATGGACTTTTCAACAGGATCGCGACCCCAAACACACAGCCCAACGGACCAAAACTTGGTTCAATCGAAATCGCGTGTCCGTTCTTCAATGGCCTGCTCAGAGTCCCGATGCAAATCCTATTGAACATATATGGAATTACTTGAAGAAACAATGCCAAGGATATAAAGCAAAAAAATTCTGGTGATTTGTACCGGAAATTACAAGAGAGAGTGGGCAAAAATTGATACAGGAGTTATGAAAAAGCTTATTGAATCAATGCCTCGGCGAGTTGAAGCTATTGAGCTATGAAGCATTATTGATGAAAAGGTCAAAATGCAAAATATTAGTTCTTTTTCGATTTTGATTATATTTATACTGCTTTTGTTGAATAAATATCTTTAGAGCTCGAAAACTTTTACAGCATTGGCAAGGGGGGCCATTACTTTTGAGCGACCTTAAGTTTTCTTTTTTATGCCATTATTTAGAAAGCATTCAAAATGAGCTGAAACCAAAATATTTATGCATGTTTATGAAAAATCTGCATTTTGTTTTTAAACATATTACTCTGTGCATTTGTTTTATATGACAAACCTGAAAAGTTTGAGGGGGTCATTACCTTTGAGCGGCACTGTATGTTCTTCTCTTTTATGTTTTTTTTACTTTACAACCGGTCTTTATTTTGAATAAAAATTGAGTGTTTTAAGAGCGTGGATAAGGAACAATTTCGGACACTTTTTTTCTACGAGTTTAAGCTTGGCCATGCAGCAACAGAAGCGACTGGTAATATCAACAGGGCATTTGGCGAGGGAAAGGTTTCTTATGGTATGGTCGCTTTTTGGTTTCGGCGATTTCACTCGGGCGTTGAGACGTTTCATGACAAAGAACGTCAAGGAAGGCCTCCCAGAGTTGAATTGGAAAAACTGGTGGAAGGAGATTCGACCAAAACATCTCGAGAATACGCACAGGACCTTCAGGTTGATCATTCAACAATTTTGGGATTAATTCCTAGAGTCGTTTTCAAATGACTTTCTCATATTTCTGCCCTTGTTTTCTTGGTTCATCTTTTCTTGTTTTCTAGGGGAATCAATGATTTTCTAAGTGAAATGATCTTGTTTATGCAAAAGTTCTGCTTATTTCCCGAAAAAATCATTTCCTTTACACTTTTATGGGTTTTGATTGCAAGTAATTGAACTTGCTTAACTTTTCACGTTTAGCTTTTTCGTTCTGATCATGCCAGTGAATTGCTTACAATATATATCTCGAGAACATCTCGAGCAGTACGTCGACAAAAGCGTTTCACCGTGCGACAATTTTTTCGCTCATGTAAGTGAAATGTGGAATGTGAATTTCGCTGTAAATTTAATGACTTTCAAAAGATTTATGACTTAGGATTTGTGAATTGGCTTTAAAAGTGATTTCTCTTTTACACAAAGATCAGGTATGCCCAACGAATATCAGAGAAGAAGACACTCCACTTGGGCGAATCAATGGAAACTCGAAGAGATTGATGGATCTTTTAAATACATTGATCCCGATATCTGAGCTTGAGGATGAAACGGTTCTTCAGATTACTTTTACCAAATTTGAATCAACTTCAGAACATAGACTTTGTTCGAAACTTGAGACAACATCTTGCATTGATGATCTATTTAAATGTTGAAAGTTTTGTGGAAAAGTCCACGGGAAGAACTCGAGAGAATAGCTGAAACTGTTATTGCTCAGGTTAAAGTAAGTTTTTGAAAAAAATTATATAAAGAAAAAAGAACCAAAAATTCCAGGGTATTCCAAGGTATATTTTATCGGCTTTGTGGTAATATGGTTTGTTGGTTTATGATTTATGGTTTGTGAACATAGTTTTACGGTTTGTTAGTTATTAATTTATTTTTCTAGGCAGAATGTCAAGCCAAAAAGGACGGTCACTGATTTACGACTCAGATGGATTCGAATATCGAAAGGACAAAGCACTTAAATGCGGTGTACTTTGAGTTATAGGTAAGGGAAGTATAATTTATCTTGTAATACCCAGTTCTGTTTCTTTTTAGGTGTTCAAAGGCGAAATGTTATGGCCGAGCCCATCAAAACAAAGCAACCGGCATTCTTACGGTCACGAAAAATCACGACCACTTGCCGCCAGAAAGCAAAAAACAGGTAGATGATCAAGACATTGTTGCTTGTGTAATAAATGCGTTTTTAGATTCGAACTGTGTTCGAAAATGTTAAACACCAAGTAAAGATGGGTATCCCCGTCAAAGAAATTGTACGGCAGACGATAACAAACAGTCCACCCGACGTAACACGCCTACTCAATGTTTCCGGTTTGCAAAAATTGGCGAGGCGACAGCGAGTAATTCCTGGCGCAAAAATGTGGCCAAGTCCGATCGATGATGGAAAATTTCGTACGCTTTTTAAATGATTTATATAGAAATTAAAATAAAGGTACAAGGTTTCTACGTTTCGACACTTGCGATGCGTACACATCTTGGAATGAAAAGGCAATGAAAGTCTTCTGGACCGAATGGGGAAAACAACAATTATTGCAGGTTAGCTATATATTTGTAAAATTTTTTATTGTACTTTAGAATGCCATTTGGTCCTGCGACGGGACATTTGCTTCCGCGCCTGCAGAATTTAAACAAGTCTTCATTATTGGCATCGAGATTGGTTGATTTTAATAAAAGCCCAAATCTAAGAAACTTTAGCATGAACATATGTTTGTTCCGTGTGTGTATGCATTTTTGAATCGAAAGGATGCTAACACCTACAAGGAAGTCTTTGGTTATCTTCAAGCAGCTGGCATACCACCTCCGCACAAATTAAAAACGGGTTGAATTTAAATATATTTTAGTTTTATAATTTTTTGCAGGTATGGAGCTGGCGTTGTACTGTGGTTTCAATCTTGCCTATCCCCACTCTGCAACGAAAGTGCACTATTGTACTTTTCACTTGGCTGTGGCTGTGTCGTAATTGGCTGTGTTGAGTAGAAAACCCAATTCTGTTTCTACTACGGATCACTTGAAAGCTCTAGCCGTTCATGTTCATCATCGCTAGTCTTATGATGTTTCAGAGTCTCTTGGACTATTAATTTGATGCTATTTTGGTGTTTTTTATGCATCTTTTCATTGTTATCGTTTATTGTTGTTGGTCATGTTATTTTTAAATAAATTATCAAAATTAAAAGCTGTTAATAAAAAATGAATTGTACATTGTAAAAGAAAAAAGAACTCTGGTTTGCATCGGCGCTGTTTTGGGCATTATTTTCATTGGCGCTATTTTGGGTACGGCGCTATTTTGGGTGGCGCTGTTTTGGTCGGCGCTATTTTGGCGGCGCTGTCTTGGGGTAGACCCCTCATTTGCATACGATGTCTTTCGAAAAAGAACGAGAACTTATGAAGGAGCTTCATCACCTAAACATCGTCCAGTTCTACGGTTTTCACGAAGAGGAGAGCGGAGAGCTTTTATGTGATTCGTATGGAGTATTGCGAGCGGGGTTCTCGTTTGAAGGGTTTGTTGCCTTCCGAGCCAAGCCTGGAATGATAATTTTGTCAAGTCAAAGCAAATCCTTTAGTGCTAAATGATCCGACGGTAATCTATTCGATGGTGACCGTTATTTGGAGCGAGCTATTTATTTGCTGCCTTGAAATATCTGGAAGAGCACAACTTCGTGCATGTCAAACCGGACAAGTAAGCTGTGGAGTTGATAAAAACGTTTAGATAACTGTAGAGTCAAGATCTTTAAATAAAACAACCTGATGCACTTCCTTGTTAGTCTAGCTCTTGGCTGACTCTGGCAACCCAAAAATGCTTCGCAATAAACATGTTATACAATGAAAATGATGGAAGCGATGAATCAAAATGCTGAAAAGTGAGTTGAATTGTGAGCGATTTTGGGCTAAAATCCCAGGTGCCGACGTTAACGATATTTTTATATCGATACTAGATTCAAGATCTGCCATAAAGTGCGGAGAAAGTTTAGTAGCTATTAATATAAAGACTTTCTTGACAGCCTAATATACTTTTCTTTTTGTAAAAAATATTCCATTGTTTGACTGAATACTTTTACTTAAGGGGAAATTGCGCCGATCATTTATCGAGAAAAACGTTTCCTGACTTTCCTTCTCCACGCATGCTCGCGTTTTTTCAACTTTAATCTGCTTTAAAATTCTGGCTCGGTTTACTATCTTGGCCCATCAGTAGGCCCCCCATTATTGCATTGTCACGCCCTAAGTCCTAAGTTACAATGTTAGCCCTAGGTGTCGGCAGCGCTTTTCATTTTACTTCAAAAGCAGGCTTATTAGGTGAACAGTAACAGCTTCTCATAGCCTTAACCCAACTTTGGTTTCTATCATAGTGCACATCTCGTTTATCACTTATTCGTTTGTTTTTGCTCGCTTTCATTTATAGTACCGTCATAGTAAAATTGTTTCTTGCAGGCAGCCAATCTCTCAGGTACGTTACAATGTCTGACTCGCTCGCCGAACAGGTATTAATTTTGTGATGTTAACTAATTTGACTTGTATTGAAGACAATGGTTGCTCTCTGTATCAGAAGAACTATAATGATTGATGAAGTCCAGGCCCTATAAAGACATAAGTCGGTTAAAAGAATCAAGGAATTCTTATTATAAGCTGTATTTTGTGAAATTTAGCTTTCAAGCTTTTTATAATCAGTGAGATTTTAGGTTGAGCCTCATGAGGTTATAACTCGTGCGATGAAGGAAAAGGTATTGTTTTGTGATGTTAACGACTTTAACTTGTTGTAAGGAAGACACTGGTTGCTGTCTGTATTAGAACAGCTCTAATATGATTTGTGAAGTCCAGGCCCTATAAAGATGTATTTTAGGAAATTTAGCGTTCAAGCTCTTTCTAATCGGTGATATTTTAGGCTGAGTATTATGAGTTTATGGCCCGTTCCGGGAAACAAATGGTATTAATTTTGTCATGTTAACTACTTTATTTTGTTATAAGGAAGACACTGGTTGCTGTCTTGATTAGAACAGCTCTAATATGATTGGTGAAGTCCATGCCCTATAAAGACATAAGTCGGTTAAAAGATTCAAGAATTTCGTTTTTATAAGCTCTATTTTAGATAATTTAGCCTTTAAACTTTGTATAATCGGTGATATTTTAGGCTGAGCTTTTAGAGGATATGACTCGTAAGACGAAGGAAAAGGTATTGTTTTGTGATGTTAACTACTTTAACTTGTTGTAAGGGAGACACTGGTTGCTCTCTGTATTAGAACAGCTCTAATGATTTGTGAAGTTCAGGCCCTATAAAGACATAAGCCAGTTAAAATAATCAAAGAATTCTGAGTTATAAGCTGTATTTGGTGAAATGTAGCGTTCAAGCTTTTTATAATCGGTGATATTTTAGGCTGAGGATTATGAGGATTTGGCTCAAGTGGAGAAGGAACTGGTATTAATTTTGTGATGTTAACTACTTAATTGGTGTAAGGAAGACGCTGGTTGTCCACGCCCTATAAAGACATAAGTCGGTTAAAAGAACCAATAATTTCTTAGTTATAAGCTGTATTTGGTGAAATATAGCGTTCAAGCTTTTTCTAATCGATGAGATTTTAGGCTGAGCTTTTAGAGGATATGACTCGTGAGACGAAGGAAAAGGTATTGTTTTGTGATGTTAACTACTTTATTTTGTTATAAGGAAGACACTGGTTGCTGTCTGTATTAGAACAGCTCTAATATGATTTGTGAAGTCCAGGCCCTATAAAGACATAAGTCGGTTAAAAGAATCAAGGAATTCTTAGTTATAAGCTTTTTCTAATCCGTGATATTTTAGGCTGAGCGTTATCAGGATACGCCTCGTTCGATGAAGCAGCTGGTATTAATTTTGTGAAGTTAACTACTTGAACTTGTTGTAAGGAAGACACTCGCTGCTGTCTGTATTAGAACAACTATAATGATGTGTGAAGTCCAGGCCCTATAAAGACATAAGTCAGTTAAAAGAATCAAGAATTTCTTAGTTATAAGCTGTATTTTGTGAAATTTAGCGTTCAAGCTTTTTATAATCAGTGAGATTTTAGGCTGAGCTTTGTGAGGATACGACTCGTGCGATGAAGAAACTGGTATTAATTTTCTGATGCTAACTACTTTAACTTGTTGTAAGGAACATACTGGTTGCTGTCTGTTTTAGAACAACTATAATGATTCGCGAAGTACAGGCCATATAAAGACATAAGTCATTTGACAGAATCAAGGAATTCTGGGTTATAAGCTGTATTTTGTGAAATTTAGCGTTCAAGCTTTTTATAATCAGTGAGATTTTAGGCTGAGCTTTGTGAGGATTGGACTCGTGCGATGAAGAAACTGGTATTAATTTTGTGATGTTGACTGCTTGAACTTGTTATGAGGAAGACACTTGTTGCTCTCTGTTTTAGAACAACTATAATGATTTATGAAATCCAGGTCCTATAAAGATATAAGTCGGTTGAAAGAATCAAGGATTTCTTAGTTATAAGCTGTATTTTGTGAAATTTAGCGTTCAAGCTTTTTATAATCAGTGTTATTTTAGGCTTTGCGTGATGTGGATTCGGCTCGTGGGATGAAGGAACGGGTATTAATTTTGTGATGTTAACTTTTTCTAATCGGTGATTTTTTAGGCTGAGGATTATGAGGATATGGCCCATCGCATCAAGGAAGTGGTATTAATTTTGTGATGTTAACTACTTGATTTTGTTATGAGGAAGACACTGGTTGCTGTCTGTATTGGAACAGTTCTAATATGATTCGCGAAGTACAGGCCCTATTGAGATGTATTTTTGAAAATTTAACGTTTAAGCTTTTTCTAATCGGTGTTATTTAGGCTGAGTGCTATGAGGATGAGGCTCGTCAGATGAACGAACAGGTATTAATATTATGATGTTAACTACTTTATTTTGTTATAAGGAAGACACTGGTTGCTGTCTGTATTAGAACAGCTCTAATATGATTTGTCAAGTCCAGGCCCTATAAAGATGTATTTTAGAAAATTAAAAGAACCAATAATTTCTTAGTTATAAGCTGTATTTGGTTAAATATAGCGTTCAAGCTTTTGCTAATCGGTGATATTTTAGGCTGAGCAGTATGAGGATATGGCCCGTTCGAGGAAGGCAGTGGTATTAATTTTGTCATGTTAACTACTTTATTTGGTTATAAGGAAGACACTGGTTGCTGTCTGTATTAGAACAGCTCTAATATGATTTGTGAAGTTCAGGCCCTATAAAGATGTATTTTAGAAAATTTAGCTTTCAAGCTTTTTCTAATCGAAAGAAGAACAGCTTTTTGTTTTGTGATGTTAACTACTTTAACTTATTGTAAGGAAGACAATGGTTGCTCTCTGTGTTAGAACAACTATAATGATTGATGAAGTCCAGGCCCTATAAAGACATAAGTCAGTTAAAATAATCAAAGATTTCTGAGTTATAAGCTGTATTTTGTGAAATTTAGCTTTCAAGCTTTTTTATAATCGGTTATATTTTAGGCTGAGCGTTGTCAGGGTTTTGCTCAAGCGAAGAAGGAACTGGTATTAATTTTGTGATGTTTACTACTTTAACTTGTTGTAAGGGAGACACAGGTAGCTCTCTCTATTAGAACAGCTCTAATGATTTGTGAAGTTCAGGCCCTATAAAGACATAAGTCGGTTAAATGAATCAAGCATTTCTTATTATAAGCTATATTTTTGAAAATTTAGCTTTTTCTAATCGGTGATATTTTAGGCTGTGCATTATGAGGATATGGCCCGTCGCATCAAGGAAGTGGTATTAATTTTGTGATCTTAACTACTTGATTTTGTTATGAGGAAGACACTGGTTGCTGTCTGTATTGGAACAGTTCTAATATGATTCGCGAAGTACAGGCCCTATAAAGACATAGGTCGTTTGAAAGAATCAAGGATTTCTGGGTTATAAGCTGTATTTTGTGAAGCTTAACTTTCAAGCTTTTTATAATCGTTGAGATTTTAGGCTGAGCCTGGTCAAGATATGCCTCGTGCGAAGAAGGAACTGGTATTAATTTTGTGATGTTAACTACTTTAATTTGTTGTAAAGAAGACACTGGTTGATGTCTGTATTAGAAAAAGTATAATGATTTGTGAAGTTCAGGCCCTATAAAGACATAAGTCGGTTAAAAGAACCAATAATTTCTTAAACCAATGGCTGTATTTGGTGAAATATAGCGTTCAAGCTTTTTCTAATCGGTGATATTTTAGGCTGAGCAGTATGAGGATATGGCCCGTTCGAGGAAGGCAGTGGTATGAATTTTGTCAGGTTAACTACTTTATTTGGTTATAAGGAAGACACTGGTTGCTGTCTGTATTAGAACAGCTCTAATATGATTTGTGAAGTTCAGGCCCTATAAAGATATAAGTCGGTTAAAAGAATCAAGGATTTCTTATTTATAAGCTTTTTCTAATCGGTGATATTTTAGGCCGAGGGTTATGAGGATATGACTCGTTGGACGAAGGAACAGGTATTGATTTTGTGATGTTTTGTTACTTTAATTTGTTGTAAGGAGGACACTGCTTGCTCTCTGTTTTGGAACAGCTCTAATATGATTGGTGAAGTCCAGGCCTTATAGAGACATAAGTCGGTTAAAAGAACCAATAATTTCTGAGTTATAAGCTGTATTTGGTGAAATTTAGCGTTCGAGCTTTTTATAATCAGTGAGATTTTAGGCTTGGCGTGATGTGGATTTCACTCGTGCGATGGAGCAACTGGTATTAATTTTGTGATGTTAACTACTTTATTTTTTATAAGGAAGACACTCGGTGCTGTCTGTATTAGAACAACTATAATGATTTATGAAATCCAGGTCCCATAAAGATATAAGTCGTTTAAAAGATTTAAAAATTTCGTTTTTATAGGCGGTATTTTGTGAAATTTAGCATTTAAACTTTGAATAATCGGTGATATTTTAGGCTGAGCGTCGTCAGGATTGGGCTCGTGAGATGGAGGAACAGGTATTAATTTTGTGATGTTATGTTGTAAGGAAGACACTGGTTGCTGTCTGTATTAGAAAAAGTATAATGATTGTTGAGTCCGGGCCCTATAAAGACATAAGTCGGTTAAAAGAACCAATAATTTCTTAGTTATAAGCTGTATTTTGTGAAATTTAGCTTTCAAGCTTTTTATAATCGGTGATATTTTAGGCTCAGTGTGGTGAGGTTTTGGCTCGTGCGATGAAGGAACGGGTATTGATTTTGTGAAGTTAACTATATTAATTTGTTGTAAGGAAGACACTGGTTGCTGTCTGTATTAGAAAAAGTATAATGATTGGTGAGTCCAGGCCCTATAAAGACATAAATCGGTTAAAAGAACCAATAATTTCTTAGTTATAAGCTGTATTTTGTGAAATTTAGCGTTCAAGCTTTTTCTAATCGGTGATATTTTAGGCTGAGCGTGATCAAGATCGTTATCGGGTTTTGGCCCGTGAGACAAAGGAACAGGTATTGATTTTGTGATGTTAACTACTTTAACTTTTTGTAATGAAGAAACTGGCCGCTGTCTTTATTAGAACGACTGTAATGATTTGTGTAGTCCAGGCCCTATAAAGACATAAGTCAGTTAAAAGAACCAACAATTTCTTAATTATAAGCTGTATTTTGTGAAATTTAGCTTTTAAACTTTAGATAATCGGTGATATTTTAGGTTGGGCGTTGTCGGGATTTGGCTCGTTTGTTGAACACTTCGTTTTGCGTGGAGCTGATGATTCGGAAAAGAGACCTGCTGTCGGTCGCCGGGAAAAATGAGCAAGCAAAACAGCCAAAGATTGGATACGGACGCAAGATAAAATCTATTCTTAATTCTTTGTGCTTGTCCTGGTAATATCCTCTATTTTGTTCGGCTTTTTGTCTTTATCGTGCGTTGCCTCTAGTCCTTTAGATTTTTGTGTGGTGAAATTTAGTTCTTGTTTCTAATTATTGTCAAAATCTTCTACCGTTTGCAAATGTTAATTTGAAATTTTAATGCAATAAAGTTTTCGAAATCAAAAACGACTCAACGGGATTTTCTAAGTAAATATTAGGTTGGCAACTTAATAATGACGCGTCACTACTCAACATGTTTTTTGTAATTTCAAGCGCCGTTTCTTCCCTCTTTTTTGCATATATACAAAGTAAAAGATATCTGCATAAATAACATTTAGTGCTGCAAATTTCATCATTCGCTTTTTGGCAAAAAATGAAGGACAAAAAATTCCGTATTCGAGCTGCATTGTTCTACGATTTTAAACAAGGAAAATCACCAGCTGAATCTCATCGCACGATCATCACTGTTTTTGGGGAGGAAAGTATACACATTCGGCAATGTCAACGATGGTTTCAAAGATTCCAAGGCGGCGATGAAAGCCTCGTAGACGAGCCACACCAAGGACATCCTCCAGAAGTGGTCGACGATGACTTGCTTGCCTTAATTGAAGATTGCCCAACACTCACCGTTCGTGAGTTGGCAGAAATATTTGAAGTATCCCATACGACAATCAAAAACTATTTAAACAAACTTGGGAAAAGAATCGAGTTGGAAAATGGGTTCCTCACGAACTGACCCAAAGCAACAAAATGTCGCCTCAATTTTGCTACAAAAATGTAAATCAAACGACTTTTTTCACAGGGTTTTGACTTCTGACGAAACGTGGATCAACTACGAGATCATTAAACGCAAAAATCAATGGCTATCTGCTGGGTAGACCCCTCAAACCACTCCCAAACCTGATATCCATGGGAAGAAGATAATGCTCTGTTGCTGGTGGTACTTCAAGGGATTGGTGCATTATGAAGTGCTGAAACCTGGCCAAACCGTCGATGCTGATCTTTATTCGAAGCAATTAATGAGAGTTAACGAGTCTTTGAAGAAATTGGGCTCAAACCGGAGAGAGTCAGATTTTTACACGACAACGCAAAACCTCACACTGCAAAGATCACTTATAAGAAAATCGAGGAACTTGGCTGGAAATTTTTGCCCCACGCGTCTTATTCACCTGATCTGGCTCCTTCAGATTACTTTTTGTTTCGGTCGCTGAAGCACTTTTTGGAGGGAGAAAAGTTCGATGATCATGCTCAGGTCATAAAAGCAGTGAATGACTACTTCGCCTCAAAAAGTCCCAAGTTCTTCGAGAATGGGATCCGGGATTTGCGCAGAAGATGGGAAGAAGTCATAGATACTAATGGAGAATACCTTTCGAATTGAAAGCTCTTCTTTTGTGTTTTTTTGAAATAAATGATTTGTTACATAAACGCGTCATTATTAAGTTGCCAACCTAATAGTTAAATAAATAAAATAAACCAAAAGAAAAGCAAAAGCAATACATAAATTGTAGGCATAAATATGCGATATCAAAGATACCTATAGTTCCCGTAATCCTGGACAATCCTGTATCGTGATCATTTTAGTGTTTCTCTCAGAATCCTCTACCAGAAAGAGCCATACATCAGAAACGTTTGAGAAAAGCTGATGATCTCTGTCTCGAAGAAACAGGAGATAGTTTCCTTCCTCCAGATCCGACTCTTTCAACTAAAACAACTACTAAAACAAATAAAAAGGTTTATAATGCTCCAACAGAGAGTACCAAGCAACGACTTTCCGATCTATTTGAGAAAGCAAAAAGAAAAGTCAACTTTTCGAATATTTGGATCGAGAACTGCACAGAAATGACAGAACTGACAGTGGATTGTTTTAAATTTCGGTCTGTCAACTTTGGCACACTAGTAAATGTTAACGAGTTTAGGGAAAAACTAAGCCTGGAGTTCGAATCATCACTTGAGGCTGTCAAAAAGGACAAACCATCGTTTGATTTACACAATCTTCTCCCTAAAATGGAAAAATTATTGAAACAAATCTCTGAAGAACTTGAAGAATATCGGATTCATGCACGTCCTTATCAAAGTATTCTCGATGATTGGAATGACGATGTGAATGCGAAAATTTTGCAACAATTCGCAAAAATTGCTTTCTTTGACATGATCCTTCAAGAATTTTGCATTCTCTTTGCTCTTCACACTCTAAATAGCTTTAATCGAATGTCACTTTCATGGGTGGAGCTGATTGAAGTTTTCAACAAAGCCATACACAACATTGAGGAGATAGATCGTTGCTTTTGGAATCGAAAGCATTTTCCTTTGTTTTACTTGGGTGACACACGAGATGCATGGTGTGGCTACGAGTACCGTATTTTCTGTAATAGTAGTGCAGGCAGGAGGGGGGTTGAAAAAATAGTAGTGCACCCTGCTAAAATTTGCTCTGTTGTCGTTCACTTTGACTTCCTTTGTTTTAAAAGCATACTGGTAGCTAAATGAAATGCTATTATGAGATTGTGACTATTTATTTAGTACTGACTAACATATTCTGCTCGTAATTAACTTTTTGACATATTGCTACTACTTCTTCTGGCACTTATGGGTTTTACCCACCGCACATTTAAGCACTTGACTAAACAAAGGCTAAAACTATGCCTTTCTTAGTTTAGCTTAGTCTTTATCTACTATAATTTTATTTAGAAGGATAATTTAAACATAGTTTGCCCATAAAATAAATCTACTTATACTAAAATTGACATATTTTTATGATGGAAAAATATGCGGTGTCACCCAAGTAAAACAAAGGAAAATGCTTTCGATTCGTAAAGCAACGGCCTATCTCCTCAATGTTGGGTATGGCTCTGTTGAAAACTTCAATCAGTTCCACCCATGAAAGGAACCGCATCGAACCGTATCCGAACCATATTAGAACCATATTGAAATCATATTGGAACCGTATCCGAACCATGTTGGAACCGTATCCGAACCATATTGAAAGTTTTCCTTAAAATGTCGGTGTTAGAAGTTTTTCTTGAAAGTGCCAATCTTGTTTTATCTTCTAGACTCTTCAGACTTTCAGATGCTTAAAGTAGAAAGATCCAATTTCCAATCCAAATCCAATTCCTTTGTACACTCACTTGGTTGGAATTGATTGGCTTTGTTTGAATCTGTTCGAACTGATCGCATTGATCGATAGTTTATTTCACCTAATAAACATTGTGTATCAAGTGTTTTTCAATTGTTTTCAATTTTCTATAAAAAAACTAGAAAGTCAAATATTCAAATAGTTATTTAGGCTTTTAAAAAGAATCTAGAAAAAGAAGAAGTTGTTGTTGTGATGTTGTGAAGAAGCTGACAGTTCCCCCAGCATGAATCAATGCCAAAAAATAGCAAAAATAGATTTAAATCTACATTTATTACTATAAACAATGATACTATTTGTTACTATGAACAATATAAAATTAATTTAAAGCTACGAAAGTCTGACAACCGCCAGTGAAATGATTTCGGATCAAACGATGAGGAAGAGCACTGAAAAACGATTAGAAAGTGGGGAATTGAGTCATTTCTAAGAAATATAACATTATCTATGTTTCATTTTTGTATTCTAAAACTTTAGGAACAAGTTTTAGTTTTAAATAGCATTTCTTTAATGTTTTGCAGAGATGCCTACAACTCAGCCGATGTGCGACTTGAGGACGAAATGGCAAGAAGAGATGAGATGCTGTGAAAGGAGTCAAGTCACAAGTTAGAGAGGAGCTGATAATAGGTTTTTCTCATTCAATTAACACTATCAGATAAGTTATTTTAAGCTTTTAAGCAACAATTTACTTTTGGACGAAGATATGCAATGAGACAGCTATGTTGAGAGAAAATGGCCCCATCAAGGGTTCGTTCAGTGTAAACCCCTAGGAAATGGACACCCCTAGGAAATACAAATAACTCTTTTCGAATTCTAAGAAATCATTGAAAGTGCATTACTGGAGAGACCTGCGACAGGGCCCACTGATATTCGGAACACGTAACTACGGAGAAGGAAGTGTGATGTGTTGGAGAGCCTTTTGCGTCAATGGAACGCAAGTGATCGTTTATAACTCGCCAACCTAATACTATTGTTATTATTGCATGATTTGTCTATTCTTGTGTAACTGTATTCTCCCCTGTGCTTATCCTTTTCATCGCCGAGAAGGGGCGGTCCTTGGGATTGCTATTAGGAGGACCAGTGAGGCTCTCACTTGGAATCCCCCTTCCCCTTTCACTCATTTGTAATCTATTTTCAGGAAAAACTACTCCTAAGAACGAACACAATCAAAATCAGAGATTTGCGCTTCAATCATCCTGACAAAAAAGTGCTACAAAATATTTTAAACGAAAAATTTGTAAAACTTTTCGATCCAGAAAGAACGAAGCCGTTTTACGATAGAAAAGATGGAAGATAAAAAAGATAGAAAAGATTGAAGCCTCAGAACAAAGCCTCTTTGCTTTGTTTTGATAAATCGATGCAAGTCTAGGGAACAGTGATAAGGCTGAAAAGAGTCACCTCCACCCATTTCTGTTTCCATTTTCAGTTGAGGTTTCAAAATGGACAACATGGAAAACGTTGCTTTCCTTGGCAGTGGAAGCTATGGAGAAGTCTACCTATTAAAGAATCTGTGAGACTTTCATTAAAAAAAGATTACAAATTTAACTACGGTTTTCTCGAGTTTTCTCGAAATTTTATTTTCATATATATTTTCAGAAATATTGTATTGAAAGAAGTCGATAAAAACGATGAACAACAAAAAGAAATGGGCATCTTGAAAAAATTACTTCATGCTAACATTGTGGATTACCTTGATAAACCCCTTGATTTTGTTTATCCAGGAAAGAAGTGGCCACTTTACATGGAGTATTGTGAGGAAGACTCGCTCCAGAAAGGTTTTCTTACAAATTTTAGTTTTTGATTTAGAGATTCGTTCTAAACTATTCAATGTTTAGCGATCACTGACAAAACCTTAAATTATTCGGTCGCTACCATCATCAAATGGTCTACTGAGATATTCACGGCATTGTCCTATCTTAAGTCGAATTCAATTGCTCATCGAGATATCAAACCGAGCAAGTAAGTCTGCAAAAAAAAAAATGAATTTCTGTGCAAACTGAAAGCAGAAATCCGATAGTGAGTAGTGACTTTCAAGAGAAAATTCAGCCTCTTTCTCGCAGATCGTTTCATTTTGAAGATCGGTGACTTTGGAGTATTCCAAAAGTTCGACAAAGATCATGTTTTGACAAACAAAATAGCTGGTACAGAAATCTACATGACACCGGAAATTTTAGCAGGAGTAATAACAAAAGAGGTATCAAGTTTATAGCTTTTTTTAATACTTTCAATCTTTATCTTTATCTTTATCTTTATCTACTCAATTAATTTTACTAAAATAACTTTAATTTTCAGAATATTTATCAGAGTGATGTATTTGCGACGGGTTTAGTGATCTTTGAGTTGATCACGAGGAAAAACCTTACCTCCAAATTGAGTTCTTTTGATTTCCCAAAAACAAAGTCGCCGGACGTTCCAAAGTTATACGCCTTAATAAAAAAGTTCGATTTTTCTTCAAATTATTTATACCGTATTTTCTCTAATAGTAGTGTACCCGGTCGAGCCAAGTTGGTGACGAGTTTCGGGTTTCCAAGTTTTCACAGAAGCTCAACACTCAAATCCCCCACTAGATCACATCGTCAGCTACATTTTCCGACCCCACATCGATAGGTTCTGATAAGCGGTTCTCGAGATTTCGAGGAATTTAGGCGAAGCTCAGGGTGTACTACTATTAGAGAAAATATTAGGTATTCATAAATACTTTTAGTTGCTCTAGTGTAGAAATACAAATTGAAAATCGCTACGACGTTGAGAAGGCATTGGAGGAAACGAAAGAGTTAGTTGAGGTAAGAATTTTTTTCTTCAGTTAAACATTCATGCACACATTTAAATTTACATTATTATTATAGCTTGGACAGGGTTTTCCAGGATTACGGAAACAAAAGAACTTGAGGATTTAAAGACCACCATACATTAAAATGATAGGAAGACAGTAAAAATTGATTTTAATACAATAATCTAACATAAAGAGTTATTTTTTTCAAAAAGATCTCCGTTGGCGGCAACACAAGCCTGGAGGCGTTTTGGGAACGCGTCTACGATAGCGAGACGAAGGTAGGGCGTGTCCAGCTCGTCCCAAGCTTTTTGAAGAGCTTTCTTCCAAGAATCGACTTTTGGATGAGGTTTCGGGGATGCTTTTTCAGCCAACACACTCCATACAGAATAATCGAGAGGGTTGAGATCCGGGCTTGATGGTGGCCACTGGTTAAAATCGATAAAACCCGGAAAATTCTGCTTGGATCAATCTTGAACGATCCGAGCTTTATTTGCGGTTGCCCCACCCTGTTGAAAGCACGAAATCCTGTTTCCAAAATGCTTTTTAGCCCATGGATGTATTTCTTGCTTAAGTATATTCAAATAATTGGTCGCATTGACTTTGATTCCTTGTGGAACAAAAAACAGAGGAGTCTTTCCGTCAGCGGTGATACCAACCCAGGCCATCAACGATTTGGGATAAACTGCTCGTGCCACAGATTGCTTAGTTTGAATCGTAGCATGAATTTGATTGTTTTGATGGTTCACAAACTGTTCGACAGAGAAAACTTGGTGACAACGGTCGCTTTAGTTCGATGACGGACAACGGGCAAGTTCGGGACGATCAGAATTTCTTCCTAACTCTTGAAAGCATTTGATCACGTTGTAAACAAGTTGTTTGCGTATCATCAATCGCATAGAAATATCCATCGCCAGAACGTCACGCTTGTGTAGGTCGATGACCGCATTTCGGTACACTGGCCATGCTAAAAAGATACATTTTTTGAGGAAAAATTGTAAGTAAATAGTTAAATAAATAAAATAAACCAAAAGAAAAGCAAAAACAATATATAGATTGTAAGCAAAACTATGCAATATCAAAGATACCCGTAATCCTGGACAATCCTCTATCTTGATCATTTTAGTGTTTCTCTCAGAATCCTCTACCAGAAAGAGCCAGACATCAGAAATGTTTGATGAAACCTGAGGGTCTCTGTCTCGAAGAAACAAGAAATAGTATCCTGCCTCCAGATCCAACTTTTTCAACTAAAACAACTACTAAAACAAAGAAAAAGGTTAACAATGCTCCAAAAGAGAGGACCAAAAGAGAAAGAGAGGACCAGCGACTTTCCGATCTATTTGAAAAAGCAAAAAGAAAAGTCAACTTTTCGAATATTTGGATCGAGAACCGCACAGAAATGACAGAACTGACAGTGGATTGTTTTCAATTTCGGCCTGTCAACTTTGGCACACTAGTAAATGTTAACGAGTTTAGGGAAAAACTAAGCCTGGAGTTCGAATCATCACTTGAGGCTGTCAAAAAGAAAAATGATTTACACAATCTTCTCCCTAACATGGAAGAATTAAGGGAAAAAATTTCTAAAGAACTTGAAGAATTTGGGATTCATACAAATTCTTATAAAAGTATTCTCGGTGATTGGAATGACGATGTGAATTCGAAATTTTTGAAACAATTCGCAAAAATTGTTTTCTTTGATATGATCCTTCAAGAATTTTGCATTCTCTTTGCTCTTCACACTCTAATTAGCTTTAATCGAATGTCACTTTCATGGGTGGAACTGATTGAAGTTTTCAACAAAGCCATAGACAACATTGAGGAGATAGAGCATTGCTTTACGAATCGAAAGCATTTTCCTTTGTTTTACCTGGGTGACACACGAGATGCATGGTGTGGCTACGGGTATTTAGTTTTTAAAGACGATCTCACTGAAGTTCGTTTCTCAACACGACACGTTGAAGATATCTACATGAAAATGAATGGCTCGACCATTATCGATTTGCAAATGATTTGGCGATTCTTGGACAAGAAAAAAAGAGCAACTCTTAAGCATAGTATTTATGAAGCGAAAAACACTGAAAACTGGGAAATACGCTTTGAAAATCAATTGTCTTACTGGAAATTTGGGGATAAAGCAACCGATGAGCTCTTATTTCCGAGTACACTCGATCTGATCATCTATTCGTTGTGCAGAGCTAGACGAACTCGCTTTGCTGGCTATGTTTTTCTGATGAATGTGCTGCCAGTAAAGCACAGAACTGCAGTTGATGGTGGTGGTTTTTATAAAACCTCGCTAAAAGCTCTAAATCGACTTAGGTTGGAATTACAAAAAGAAAATGATCCGAAAGCAATTCAGGAATATTACTTGGAGCTAAAATACAACAGCTACTCACAACGTCATCCAACTCAATTTAAACCTGTGCTATCGAATATTCGCTGGAATTGGAGTCCCCGATTTCTAATTCGTGCCGAATGTGACTGTACACCATGTTGCGCCATTCAAGATTTTCCAGAGACAAACTCACCAGACAACGCTCCACGAGTGGCTTATTCAACATGTAGCAAATTGGATCAACTGAAATTTCTGATCGTTCATTCACTTTTCGAGAGAGCTTTTCGCTTATTAAACTATTGGGAAACAACAAATGATGAGACGGAACTCTCGTTGTTGTATCTTGCCAGCAAGCTGCTCCTTGAAATCGAGAATGAGCCGGACTCCGGATTCACATTTGTTTACGTAATACAAAAAAATCCTCATGAAATGGTTTGTATTGAATGTGGAATGAAAAAATCTTCGACATCTCCTGGACTCTTATTGGCTCTCGGTGAAAGCAACACTCCTACCTATTTAAGCCATAATTTTCAAATAAAAACAGCATGTATGCAATGTCAATACCATTTTCGTCAATTAACCTATATCAGTCTTCGCGAGATCGGCGATTTGATCAAGCCTTTGTGTCATGGAAATAGAAGTTTGTTGTTAACGTTATTGTGTGAAAAGCATAGTGTAAAGAGCTTCAGCAATTATGCTCTAAAGAGATTAAGAGAGAAAGAAAGAGAGAAAGAGAAAGAGAAAGAGAAAGAGAAAGAGAAAGAGATCTAAGACTAAATTATAGTTAAATTTTAGGGAATCACGAAGTGAAGGTAAAGATCAAAAAGTTCTGGGAAAAGCGTCGTATTGAATACAAGCGAGCAAATCCAACATCATCTAAGTCATGCAAGAAACGATTCCAACGATTCCAACAAGAACGTAAGCCAAAGCGTTGCACTTCAATACGCACATATTGCCTCCGTTATCGTAATTACCGCAAAAACTTGATTCGTGAAAAAATCTTTCAAAACCTGATTAATTGAACTCACAACCGTTTATAAGTTTTTATTGTGCCCTATTTGTTGGCTTTCCCTTCATTTATCTTCCACTATTACCGTGAATCTACTATCAACAAGTGCTCGAAAAATTATGCTAATTTATAATGGTTTAAATAGACAATAATGGTTAAAATGATAGATAGTTTGTTTAAATTTGATTCTCAAGACAATAAAAAGTTTGTATCTACAAAATACTCTGAACAGAAACAGAAAATCGTTTTCTCAAAAGAAATTTGCAGAATTGTTTAGATGTTAGATTGTTAGATTGTTCGATTGTTAGATTGTTAGATTGTTAGATTTAGATGTTAGACTCAGTATCATTTCTGTTATAATTTTGGCATCACTAAATTCTTTTCTTGCCGTATTTCTTAGAGACTGCCATATATTAGGTTGATGCAAAAGTCTTTTTCATTTTTTTCGTACTTCTTTTGAAAAATAACAAAGTCATCAATTAACCTATGGTTTGCTCTAAATGAAAAGTGTTTATTGTTGAATTTCCCATCTTTTTAAGTCAATTTGGGTTCACTTTCAAGCAAATTCGAGAGTGAAAACGGGTTTTTCATAAAAATCTATAAAAACCTCTATAAAGAAATTGGCTGAATCAATTTCTCTGAAAATCTGAAAAGATATCTAACTTTTTGTGCTCTATCTTTTATTTATTAACATCAAGATTGGTTTCCTTAGCTAAAGCGTCTAAAATGCATCATCGAGCCGTCGCCTTTTTTGACTACCCGACTTCAGGCTCTCAAAAAAAAATCTAGACATAAGACATTTTAAACTCGTTTTAATGTCATTTTGCAGAAAAATAATTGGCCTTTCGAATGCAATAAACCGTTGTTCAATTGGTGCATTTGTTACTTTTTAACGGAAGTACGAAAAAAATGAAAAAGACTTTTGCATCAACCTAATATTAAATCAAAAATGTCAAGCCAAAAACTTCTTTTTTAAAAAAAGACAAAGGAAAACATCGTTTTTTTAAACTCATCATTTGAAAAACGCTTCAATATGTCAAAAAAGATGGTTCCTGAAGAAATTCCGATAATGGGGTTGTTTTAGATCAGTGCTTGATGAGGGAAGAATTTCGGGGGAAATCTGTGTAACGAAGAGGACAAAAAGTTCTCAAATTATCCCTAAACCATTCCAATTTGCGTTTTGATTGTTTTTCATGCTCAAAGATCTATAGTTTTAGCATTAGCAAAAAACATGGATCCAACTTTTTATAAATCACTTTTTATAAATCAAAAATTTAGCCAAAAATCGATAGACAAAAGTCTTTTAACATGTGATAAAAACATAACGAAAAAAATGAAAATCAATACTTAGTAGGTCCTCCACGAGCCGCAAATACTGCTTGAATCCGTTTTGGCATCGAATCGACAAGATCGTGTAAAATTCAAGGTCTAATCGTGTTCCAGGTTTGACGAATGAAGTACCAGAGCTCAACCTTGGATCCGAATCGTTTTCCCTTCAATTTCGACTTCAAAAAAGCCCACAAATGTTCGATGACGTTGAGATCTGAGCTCTATGGTGGAGGCCAAAGCAAAAAAAGATTGAAATAACTACTTTACTCCTCAAGAAAAAGTTAAATCGAAATGGAAATGATCTGCTGTTTTTTCTTAAACCGATCGAGACATTTGAGCATTGGGACTCTTTGGAGACAAGTTAGAACGTAGTGACGATATGGTTGAGTTAAAAAAAGTAATGCAATCGATGCATACGTTCCATGAGAGCTGAGAATTGAAAAAAAGAAGTTGTTTAAAGCTGAAATTTGAAAAAGAAAAAGCTATGTAAAGCTTGGAAAACAGACGTTGATTGATCATATCAATTTGCGAGGCGATTAGGTAGCCAAAGAAGTACCATGGGATGCCAATTGAGAGCAATGGGATCATTCGCTGAACGATAATGTTCTCAAAGAATGTTTGTAAAGGTTGATTTTTGTTTCAAAAACGACTTGGCTTGTTTAGTGCCTTTAGTTTTTAACACCTTTACAAAAAGAGAGCAAAAATTGTCAGGTAAAATTTAGAGCTTTCTTCAAACTGCTAGCTTTTCCCAGAGCTTTGGGGACTCTCCAGACTTTCAGATGCTTAAAGTAGAAAGATCTAGTTTCTATTTAAAACAAAAATCATTCTATTTGGTTCCAATATGGTTCGGATACGGTTCCAATATGGTTCTAATATGGTTCCAATATGGTTCCAATATGGTTCCAATATGGTTCCAATATGGTTCCAATATGGTTCCAATATGGTTCCAATATGGTTCGGATACGGTTCGATACGGTTCCAACATGGTTCGGATACGGTTCCAATATGGTTCCAATATGGTTCCAATATGGTTCGGATACGGTTCCAACATGGTTCGGATACGGTTCCAATATGGTTCCAATATGGTTCCAATATGGTTCGGATACGGTTCCAACATGGTTCGGACATGGTTCGGATACGGTTCCAATATGGTTCTAATATGGTTCCAATATGGTTCCAATAGGGTTCGGATACGGTTCGGATATGGCTCCAATATGGTTCCAATATGGTTCTAAAACTGATTAAAGCTCTAAAAAACATTTAGCTCAAAATGTCAGTGTTAGAAGTTTTTCTGAAAGTTTTCCTTAAAATGCCAGTGTTAGAAGTTCTTCTTGAAAGTACCAATTTTGCTTTATCTTCTAGACTCTTCAGACTTCCAGATGCTTAAATTAGAAAGATCCAATTTCCAATCCAAATCCAATTCCTTTGTACACTCACTTGGATGCAAATAGCTGTAAAGAACTGTTTCTGTTGTCTTCTCGTCGCTTTACTTCTCTGAAATCCGCCACTATCAAGTAATCGTAGCGTGAAGACGAGAAAAAAGTTATCCTAAAGATAAATTTTGTGAAAAGTACTCAATAACTGACAAAGATGAAGACATTGATCGAACAAGCGAAGATCCCAACGACAAGCAGCATGATGGCACTGAAATTGATGTACGGTGGATAGATTGGAGTGATGCTGGCCACATAAAGATCGGGAACGTCGTGGAGGTAGACGAATGATGGATGATCCTAAAGGATTATAAAAAAACGTTTATACCAATAAAATACACGAATCATTTCCTGAAAATAATCATTGTTTGTCCCTTTTTCGATGGGTAAAAGCTCGAAGCTGAGGAAATGCCAAATCGGATAAAACGAGTAGAGAAAGAATAAATACGCTGATTTCCCACGATTTTGAAGTCTGTTAAAAAGTTTTTGTTTTGAAACTAAAAGCAAATTAACTTAAAAGGACTCTCCGGTTCGAGGAGACTTTGAAATTTGAAGAAAAGCAACTGATTGGTTGATGCGACGGTGAGCGAAGCGAGAAAAGCGCCGACACTCTGAAATATTGTGTTAATCACCTCACTTAGAGGTGATTTCTAGTTAGAACCCACAGTTAGAGAGCTTCTTTAGAAGGAACCACTCTGGCCACTCTATTTAGAGGAAACTAGGGACTGGTTAGAGCCAGGGACTGGTTAGAGCCAGGGACTGGTTAGAGCCAGGGACTGGTTAGAGCCAGGGACTGGTTAGAGCCAGGGACTGGTTAGAGCCAGGGACTGGTTAGAGCCAGGGACTGGTTAGAGCCAGGGACTGGTTAGAGCCAGGGACTGGTTAGAGCCAGGGACTGGTTAGAGCCAGGGACTGGTTAGAGCCAGGGACTGGTTAGAGCCAGGGACTGGTTAGAGCCAGGGACTGGTTAGAGCCAGGGACTGGTTAGAGCCAGGGACTGGTTAGAGCCAGGGACTGGTTAGAGCCAGGGACTGGTTAGAGCCAGGGACTGGTTAGAGCCAGGGACTGGTTAGATATTGATTTTGATATTGACCTACTAAGATTGATTTTCAATTGTTTGCAAATTGATCGGATTTGGATCAAGATATAGGAAAAATAAACTTCTGAAAACCAACATTAGAAGCCTTTTGTCCATGACTGTATCAGTGTTTCAGATCCACAAGACTTTCTCAATTTCTACTAGAAACATTTAATCCCACCAGTGCATGCTTGGCTCCAAAACCAAAAACCGTTTCCCATGGACCGAAAACGCGGCCCGATATCGCTGGAAAGTTCAACTCGGGTTTGATAGAAAGTAACACAAATTCAAGTAGAATGGTGAAGCTCTGAAAAAATGATTTGGCTTTATTTGAAGAGTTTGAAGAGGAACTATAAAGGAACTCTAAAGGAACTTTAAAGGAACCAAATAGGAACTATAAAGGAACTATAAAGGAACTATAAAGGAACTTTAAAGGAACCAAATAGGAACTATAAAGGAACTAAATAGGAACTATAAAGGAACTCTAAAGGAACTTTAAAGGAACTAAATAGGAACTATAAAGGAACTATAAAGGAACTTTAAAGGAACCAAATAGGAACTATAAAGGAGCTATAAAGGAACTTCAGTGAAAAGTAAACTAACTTCAGGGTTTGCCAAATATAGGAATGCTATGTAAGTTTAGAGTTTTGCCTGATAGATAGCCAAATGGCCAAAGTACCTGATAGATAGGCCAAAATGGCTAAAGTACCTGATAGGTAGCCAAATGAATTTTGTATTCTCTCATCTCTCGCGAGGTTTCCTTCAAAATGCAATACAAAGTGAAGAGATTGACGAAAATCGAGACAACAGACGAGACATTTCCATACCAAATATACAAATACGGGAATTCATAGGAATCCATTTTGGTAGAAAGCAATTTATGAAAATTGATGCGAGAACTGAAAAGTTGAAAAAGAAAAGTTGAAAAAGAAAAGTTGAAACAGAAAAGCTGTAGTTGGGAACTGTAAATTGATGGGTGACGGAAATTGAGGATTCTGTGTAGTTCAAAGCCCATCATTAACATTAACAAAAGTTCAGAAAACACCCTTTAAATTCTGATTGAAGGAAAGAAGAAATTCGTAGGTTAACTGTTGAAGATTTGAAGTTCGTAGGTTTGAAATTTTCCTCGTAATCATTTTATTCACTCTCGAGTGTCGTTCATTGCTTTACGGTTGGCATCTCTATTTCGATCGATAGTCGATTTCAAACAATCGATAGTCACAATAATAACTGACTAAAATGTAGGTCAAATTGGCCGGATTGTCGGATTGTCGGATTGTCGGATTGTCCATACAAATGGCCGGATTATCGAAGATAGTTTGAATACTCAAAGCATGACTCAGTCTTTGCCATCAGCTACTCAAAAATGCAGAATCAAATTGATTTTTGAGTGGCTGATGTCAAAGACTGAGCCATGCTTAGATCCAAACTATTCAGAGTTGTTTCTCTGTCACTTTTTGTCAGTTTTTTTGTCAAAACCACTTTTTCTGGGGTGCTTTTATGCGTAGATTCCGAAAAATACAACGAGAGCTTGGGAAAATGCGTTTTAAGCCGAGTGTCAGGGCTTCAAAATGCGCGCTCATACAGTGTGATGAGAGGGGAAGAGGGAAGGGAAAAGACATGGGGAAGACGTCTAAAAATGAACTCTAAAACATTTTTTGAAACCAAAAACACTTCTTCTGGCATAATTTAGCCCACTGATTACGTTTCTGATCAAATCGGAGCAAAATAAAAAATTTTAAGCGTAAGCGTAATCGATTTTTTATAAGCGTATAAGGTAGCGTATAAGGTTTATAAGGTAAGCGATGTCTTTGTCGTTAATATCTTCTGTTTTTAGGACCTGCTTGACAAACACTTGATTGGAAAGGCCGAGAACGTTGAAAGCAAGGTTTTCTACCTGAAGATGCAAGGAGACTACTACCGTTATTTGGCCGAAGCTGCAGCGGGAGACGAGCGTCGTGGTATGCTTAATGCGAGTGACGCTTGATATTTATTTTTAGGTGTTGTTGAAAAGTCTGAGCAATCCTACCAAAAGGCACTCGAATTGGCCAGGGAACAAATGCAACCAACTCATCCAATTCGCCTCGGACTTGCGCTTAACTTCTCCGTCTTCTTCTACGAAATTCTGAATGCTCCTGACAAGGCGTGCGTACTGGCAAAACAGGTGCTTCATTTTATTGCGATAGACTCTCACGAATTGATCCAACCGATCGGGAATCTTGCTAATGTTAACTTGGTTTAGGCCTTTGACGAAGCCATTGCTGAACTGGATTCGCTGAACGAAGATTCGTACAAAGACTCGACTCTCATCATGCAGCTTCTTCGCGACAACCTTACTCTTTGGACGAACGATGATGACCAGTTGGAGCAAGCAGAACAGCCAAACGTTGAATGAGGACACAAGATGAAATTCATTCTTGATTATTTTTACTTGTCCTGGCAGTATCGTCTATTTTTTCGCTTTTTGTCTTTATTGTGCCTTGTCTCAAGTCCTTGATTTTTGGGTTGTAGGGTCTAATTCTTGCCAAAATATTCTGCCCTTTGCAAATGTTAGTTTAAAATTTTGAGGCAATAAAGTTTTCAAAATCAAAGGCAGCTTAGCGGGATTACTGTTTGAGATAGAAGATTCGGCCAAAGTAAACTACAAAGATCTGAACGGGTACTGAAACTCAGAGGCGCAATTTACACAAAGTTATCTGATTTTGGAACTTCGTAGTACCGTTTATTAACAGCTCCAGTTTTTGCGTTGAAAACAAAGCGTTATTGAACTTTTATTAGAAACATCATTTATTTCCACGAATCAAGGGCAAAATGGAATGGATCGGATGAATTCTTCGTCCTTTCTTTTCAGTGCTTCTCGGTTTTGTTAAGCGATGCTGAAAAAAGAAAAGATAATTCTAGTTGAATATCGAAATCGATTAATAAGTTAAAATCGAAAGTGTTATGCTACAAAGTATCTTCATGAAAGCAGAAGTCCTCGAATACCTGTTGATTGTGCTCGCTTGAAGTCTAGTGATTCCATGCGCTTCTCATCATCTTTCTTGATTCTCTCGCTGACATAGTTGTTGATGATTTCGTGCTTTCTTTTTGTGGATGCTAGGTAAAGTCCGATCCCTCCTCCGCATACACAGCACAGCAGCAGACAACATACTAAAATAGATAGATAGGTAAACTCTAGTGCGATAATAGAATCAGGATAGCCATAGGTATGCATAAAAACAAACTGATGGCATTCACGAGCACGAAGCTGCCGACGACCACAAGCCCGCTGTAGCTGAAATTAAAATTCAGGGAGTTGGCGCTTGAAAGTCGACATATTCAATATTTGTAAAGAACTCACATGGTGTTTTGATCACGTTTCCCGCGAATCGGCAAGGACTTCTAAAAGGGAGTTGTGGAAGAAAAAGCAAATTCACTTTAGTAAACTCAGTATAAGAACTTCGGATTTTAATCACTGTAAGTTCTACTTCAAATAAAACTTACAGATCCTTGCAAATTTCCCTCGAATCGCTCGTATTCGTGTAACTCGGCGAGAATTGAGACCGAAATGGAGAAGAGAACGAGAAGGGCGAAAAGCGTCTTGGACATCATTTTTGAGAAGAGGCAAAAATGATAAAATGAGACGAGTGCTTTGTTTTAAATATGCTAATTTTTCGATTTCGTCTGTAAATTATGAATAACTAGTGAATTACCATTTAAGCGTTATTTATAAGTAATCTCATCAGTCTCATTTTATCATCATTGTCACCTCTTCTCAAAATTGGATCAAAATCGAAATTGGAAGAGATGCCGTTATGGTTAGTTATTGATTAGGTGGTAATTAAGTTGCTAAATTAGTAAGAAACATGTATAGAACGTGTTACCAAACAAAAATTTTATGTTTTGTATCGGAGCGGTGGGTGGAGTGCTCATCTTTTGTTGCATTACATTCCTCGTGATTTGCTCAATCGTTCTTCTAAGTAAGAGTTTTGTTATAAGATCCATTAAGTCTACTATCTTATGTAGCTTACAAAGATGATGCTTGACGATTGTATTGGGTGCTTTTAGTTGTCATCTATTCGCCACGTCGTGAACCCGCTGATGTCAAAGACTGAGCCATGCAGAGAGCCAAACTATTCAGTTGTTTTTCTGTGGATTATGTATCTCTAAAGAGGGTCGTTGGGTTCAGGTTCGTTAATATCTTCTGTTTTTAGGACCTGCTTGACAAACACTTGATTGGAAAGGCCGAGAACGTTGAAAGCAAGGTTTTCTACCTGAAGATGCAAGGAGACTACTACCGTTATTTGGCTGAAGCTGCAGCGGGAGACGAGCGTCGTGGTATGCTTAAATCGAGTGACGCTTGATATTTATTTTTAGGTGTTGTTGAAAAGTCTGAGCAATCCTACCAAAAGGCACTCGAATTGGCCAGGGAACAAATGCAACCAACTCATCCAATTCGCCTCGGACTTGCGCTTAACTTCTCCGTCTTCTTCTACGAAATTCTGAATGCTCCTGACAAGGCGTGCGTACTGGCAAAACAGGTGCTTCATTTTATTGCGATAGACTCTCACGAATTGATCCAACCGATCGGGAATCTTGCTAATGTTAACTTGGTTTAGGCCTTTGACGAAGCCATTGCTGAACTGGATTCGCTGAACGAAGATTCGTACAAAGACTCGACTCTCATCATGCAGCTTCTTCGCGACAACCTTACTCTTTGGACGAACGATGATGACCAGTTGGAGCAAGCAGAACAGCCAAACGTTGAATGAGGACACAAGATGAAATTCATTCTTGATTATTTTTACTTGTCCTGGCAGTATCGTCTATTTTTTCGCTTTTTGTCTTTATTGTGCCTTGTCTCAAGTCCTTGATTTTTGGGTTGTAGGGTCTAATTCGTGCCAAAATATTCTGCCCTTTGCAAATGTTAGTTTAAAATTTTGAGGCAATAAAGTTTTCAAAATCAAAGGCAGCTTAGCGGGATTACTGTTAGAGATAGAAGATTCAGCCAAAGTAAACTACAAAGATCTGAACGGGTACTGAAACTCAGAGGCGCAATTTACACAAAGTTATCTGATTTTGGAACTTCGTAGTACCGTTTATTAACAGCTCCAGTTTTTCCGACGAAAGAAAGCGATATTGAGCTTTTATGAGAAACACATAATTTCTTTCCACAAATCAAGACCAAAATGGAATGGATCGGATGAATTCTTCGTCCTTTCTTTTCAGTGCTTCTCGGTTTTGTTAAGCGATGCTGAAAAAAAGAAAAGATAATTCTAGGTGAATATCGAAATCGATTAATAAGTTAAAATCGAAAGTGTTATGCTACAAAATATCTCTATGAAAGCAGAAGTCCTCGAATACCTGTTGATTGTGCTCGCTTGAAGTCTAGTGATTCCATGCGCTTCTCATCATCTTTCTTGATTCTCTCGCTGACATAGTTGTTGATGATTTGGTGCTTTCTTTTTGTGGATGCTAGGTAAAGTCCGATCCCTCCTCCGCATACACAGCACAGCAGCAGACAACATACTAAAATAGATAGATAGGTAAACTCTAGTGCGATAATAGAATCAGGATAGCCATAGGTATGCATAAAAACGAACTGATGGCATTCACGAGCACGAAGCTGCCGACGACCACAAGCCCGCTGTAGCTGAAATTAAAATTCAGGGAGTTGGCGCTTGAAAGTCGACATATTCAATATATGTAAGGAACTCACATGGCGTTTTGATCACGTTTCCCGCGAATCGGCAAGGACTTCTAAAAGAGAGTTGTGGAAGAAAAAGCAAATTCACTTTAGTAAACTCAGTATAAAAACTTCGGATTTCGATCACTGTAAGTTCTACTTCAAATAAAACTTACAGATCCTTGCAAATTTCCCTCGAATCGCTCGTATTCATATGACTCGGCGAGAATTGAGACGGAAATGGAGAAGAGAACGAGAAGGGCGAAAAGCGTCTTGGACGTCATTTTTGATGAACAGGTGCATGATAAAATGAGACGAGTGCTTTGTTTTAAATATGCTAATTTTTCGATTTCGTCTGTAAATTATGAATAACTAGTGAATTACCATTTAAGCGTTATTTATAAGTAATCTCATCAGTCTCATTTTATCATCATTGTCACCTCTTCTCAAAATTGGATCAAAATCGAAATTGGAAGAGATGCCGTTATGGTTAGTTATTGATTAGGTGGTAATTAAGTTGCTAAATTAGTAAGAAACATGTATAGAACGTGTTACCAAACAAAAATTTTATGTTTTGTATCGGAGCGGTGGGTGGAGCGCTCATCTTTTGTTGCATTACATTCTACGTGATTCGCTCAATCGTTCTTCTAAGTAAGAGTTTTGTTATAAGATCCATTAAGTCTTGTGTAGCTTACAAAGATGATGTTTGACGATTGTATTCAGTGCTTTTAGTTGTCATCTATTCGCCACGTCGTGAACCCGCTGATGTCAAAGACTGAGCCATGCAGAGAGCCAAACTATTCAGTTGTTTTTCTGTGGATTATGTATCTCTAAAGAGGGTCGTTGGGTTCAGGTTCTAATTGTTTCAAAAATCCATTTGGATTAACTTTTGAATTATTTTAGGTGAAAGCTTTCAAAGTATCTCCCTCTCTCTCACCAAATTGGCATAACCGTCGTATTGATCGCTGGACATGATTGTGAAAGCGGGTCTGTTGAAAAATTCATAAGAAGTCCAAAAGGAAAAGCAAATCACCGGGTCTTTGTCCCGAAAGAAAGCCAGTCGTCATTTGCCTATATTTTTGTGTTTCCACATTTAAAAATGGTTTGTTAATTGAAAAATCTCATTCAAAACCATCTTAGAAAACGAGATCGAGTTCTCGAAAAAGATCGCTCTCAAAATCGGAGCAACATGTTCGATTTTCGGCGAAACGAGACTCGAAAGAAGATGTGCATCACGAGCTTCCGAAAACACCATTGCCTGGAGTATGCTTTTAATATGGAATATAAATGGATAATAAATCTTCCAAAAGCACTATCTCAAACTAGAAAAATCTCCGCTAGATTAGCTAGGGAAACTTTCTTTTTTAAACCAAAAAAGATTAAGCCAAAAACGGGAGTTTAGAGATAAAAAGCTGCCTTTGGTATAGCTGCTTTTGCTTTATGTCACAGGCTTAGGCTTAGGCTTAGGCTTGGGCTCAGGCTTAGGCTCAGGCTTAGGCTTAGGCTCAGGCTTAGACTTAGGCTCAGGCTTAGGTTTAGGCTCAGGCTTAGGCCCAGGCTTAGGCTTAGGAAACTTAGCTTTTGCAGATTTTCTTTTCTTAACTCGATAAACAAAGTGACTCTTACAGCAATCACGAGATAAACCAGTTCAATTTCACATTGCCACCGATGTGCCCAAAGAGTTGAAAGCTGCCCACATCCAAATCACCGCGAAGAAAGGAATACTCAAAATTTTCGCTCAAATGCCTACTAAAAAAAGCGAAAGACAGGTTGTTTAGAATTTCGAAACGAATAAAGTCAAAGCAAATAATAAAAACCTTTTTGGCGTGACACATTCTGTTCTATTGCCTTTCCCCATCTTGTTCTTATTGCCAAGAATCCATGCCGCCAATTGTGTGCTAACGATCGATAGAAAAATATTTAGGAAAATTTGAACAGAAGTTTGGAAGCCTAGTGAAAAACTGTTTTAGACTAGCTAGGTCTCGTAATTAAACCCCCACTATGAACCTTGATAAGTGTCCGATCAAAAATGCCTGCCAGGGAGCGAGGCTAGAAATTCGGAATGGTATTTCTTTTTTTGTAAATAGTAAACCGAAACTAGCATGATGCGTTTAAAATGATAAGATGCGTTTAAACTAGAATAAATTTAACAAAGATTTAAAGCCAGAAAAGAAAGAAAAAAACCTAGTTTTTTTTTTGCTTTATTGGTATTGGTATTGAGAAATGAAATGGCGGAGGAAGAGGGGGAGGGGAGGGGGCGAGGGGGGTTACGGTATCTGTCTGTCTTTCTGTCTGTCTGTCTGCCTTACTGTGCGGGCATTTTTTCAGCCGTATTTTGACCAATATTTCATTTTGCATGAATATTATATTTTAAGTTGTTTTTGGTGTCATTCGATGCGTAATTTCATTCTGCATCAAATGATCGTTAAAATAGTCAATATATTGGGTTGGTGAATTGAAAACTGCGGGCCATTGTCATATGTCCCTTTTTGAGCACTTTCTTCAAAAGAAACCCATTTTGGTGTCAATGGGAAAGTTGTAGAGAATCAAAAATCAAGCTTATATCCAAATTTTCAGAACGATTCAAAAACTGGTTTTGAAGAAATGCTAAATTTACGAATTTTCACAAAACTTGCATTTTAAGCGAAACTACTTAGTGTATCTTTTTGGAAATTTGGCTATAAGCCTAATTTTTGATTCTCTACAACTTTTCTAGTGACACCAAAATGGGTTTCTTTTGAAGAAAGTGCTCAAACTGGGACATTGGACATCTCCAGTCCTCCATTTTTGACTCTCACACTTGTCTCACACACAAACCAAAATCCTACTACGAAAGAGGAATCCGCAAATTGCCTGTAAAATGGCCAGAAGTCGTCAATAATAATGGAAATTATTTGGAATGAATTGATGGCTTTATGTTGAATAAATTTTAGTTCAAAGTCCGGCAGTTTTCAATTCACCAACCCAATAATTGTAAACACAAAGAACGATCACTGAAGGCTTTTCTATTTTTGTGTTCGCTAATCCAAAGAATCTTCAGCTACCCTCCGCATTCACAACATCCTACTCGTGGGCACACGAGATACCACACGGGGTAGATCTCGAAAAATTAGTGGCGACGCGGACGAAAGGCCATCAACTACTCGTTGGCACCGAAAAACCAAAAGAAAAAGGCGAAAACGTTCCGATTGTTTTACACTAATCGATTCAATAAATGACTTTCTTATGTCCTTTTATTAGCATATCTTTTAGCATATCTTTTTGGCTTACATTTACTTGGTTCAAACTGTCACCACGTGTTGAATTGGTTACTTTACAAATACGAAGACCAAGAGATGCAAATGGAAGCATCGAGTTTTAAAGTCTTATTTTATTATCAGTCAAAAGCGGACGCGAAGTGATTTACTGCAGAAATGGTTGATGTTAAGGATGATTTAAGGCCATAATACATTCTCGAGCATTTAAAAGGCATTCACGAAAAAGGATGAGAACAAGAAGTCAAACCAATTCATTAAGAATATAGCCAGATCATTTCCAATCGTACTTGACGAGCATTCGAATTCTCCTCATAGTTCTCATCCAAAAGAAAAATGAAATCGCGATGCTCGTCGAACGGTTGACGAATGGCAAACGAGCGCACAGCGTAGAATTTCTTTCCAAGCGATTTAAAAGTCTCATGAAAGTTTTCGCTGATTTCTTTGGTGTCGCTGCCGAGGAACGGACCCTTTCTCGCAATCATCTCCATAAACATAGACATTTGCCCACCGTTCGGAGCAATCGGTGTCGAAGCTTTGAAAAGCGATCACCGGATCTTCGTACTGGCTGGGGATTCCCTCCCACAGCATGAACGCGAAGCCGTCGCGGAGCCGTCTTCATTCAGATCGCGAAGTCGTCTTTATTCAGATCCGTGCTTTCAAGTTTTTGAAACTACCATGCGACCATTTCCACCGCTTCTTATAATCTGATAGACTGAAGGGCCCTTATAATCTGGCTCGATATGTTTTTTACAAAGTACGTGCTCAAAAAAATTTGGATCGATCAGTCAAATTTTTCTATATGGCCGGTACTCTTTACAGCTCTATGAAAACTCTATTAGTCGAAAGTGATGGTGAACTTACAGAGCCAGAAGATGACCTTTAAATGGTTGCTGGCTTTTGGTTGTGTTGTTGTTGTTCTATTTATAAATACACATTATAAGGGCTCAGGATTAAAATGTCTTAACAAGTTCACCAAACTTCATTCACACAACTCAAACCGTCTAAAAGCTCCATCAAGAGCAATGTTGAAGTTTAATGCATGCAAATTCGCATTTAAAAAGCAAAATCCCTAAAAAAACATAATTTTTTAAACAAAAAATTTGAAGAAATAACGATTTTCTTAATTTTCAAAAAATTCGGGCGTACATTTCAATCCAATTGACGATTTCTTTGGTCGCTGTGCCAGATGACGCGCGATTGTGTGCGCTCGGTGAACACCTAGGGGTGTACTGTAAAACCATAGTATTGTGGCGTAGTGGGTGTCAATAGTATTTTACTGTACAGTACGTCAATAGCACCGTATCGCGGTTGCTTGACCCAGGGGAACCTAGAATCTCAATCTTATCACTAACAAACAATGACTTTCAGCAGAATGTTTATTTCACTGGTTAAAAGCAAGCACGGATTTTTTGAAGACAAACGTCCACCAAATATTATCCAGTTTACCCATGCCTCATCCAAATGAACCAGAAGACTAAATACAAACAAAGACTTTCAAAGGGTAACGCCAAAATAAAGAGAAATTATGACTGCATTTGTTACGAGTGCATTGTTCCTTGGCGGCGTGTTAAAGTTTGGTGAGAAGGAGCTTTGCTTCGGCGATTTGTTCGGCATCCACAGCATCTTCAGCATTTAAAGCGATCACCTAAACAAAAAGAATATTTTATCAACCAATATATTTCTTTACTCTTACCCAAAGATCATTTAATTATATTTCACTTCCAGTTTATCAAAAGCAACAAGATTTTACCATTCAATACAAATACCTTGTTTAGATATTCCCGCGCCTTTTTCTTGTCTCCCTTTCCTTTGTAAGATTTTCCGATGTAGAGTAGATTGTCAATAGCTGATGGAAGATTCGAATCAGCCTAAAAAATTGTAAACATTAGATTTAAACCAAGCGCACCGGCCTTCAGTAAATCCTCAAGCGCCAGATCGTAGCTTGCCTCGGGCAGTTTACCGAATAACACCCTTGCCGCCTTCCTAAAGAACTATTGAATGCTTCAACCATTCTTTACACTCACTTTTCAACCCAGCTGAGCTCGGCCAGTTGCAACAAGAAACGACCTCTCATGTGTAAAAGCGCAAAATGGTTCGGGTTCTTGACCAAAGCCGCATCCAGATATACCTAAAATAACATTATAGATGACACAAGAAACTGAGGTTTAATTTCTTAAAATAGTAAACCAAACCTTGCATTGAAATCCGAGCTTCACTTTGTCCTTGACACCGCTATTCTCAGCGAGAGTTCCAGTAAGTACAGCGCATTGCGTGAGCACATCGAAATGATCTTTATCCAATTGGTAGGCCCTCTCCACTGCTTCCAAACCTAGAAAGATAATTGCAATTTTTGACCAACATATCTAACAACAAGCAGCAGAACAAAAAAAGCTCTTACCACGACGAATCAACTCCAATCGTTCAGCCTGTTTCTTCTCTTCGGACCATTGATTAAAGCGAATATAGCAGGCTTGAGCGAAACGATACGAGAAGGCCACCCAACGATTGTCATCCACAGTTGGTTGTATCTAAAGACAGAATGTAACTCAAAAAATGTAGCAGCTTAATAGCCGATGCACATTCAGGCTGAAATCATTATATACAACATAAAAAAATAAAGCCAACCTCTGTAAGCCGCTTGAAAGCTTCCTCTCCCTCGTAGTCGTCAATCAATGTATCGATGCTGGCCATCTAAACAAAAGAAAACATTCAAAAACCTGATAAGCGCATAAAAACCATCTTTAGAGTAAAATAATTCTTCAATTTTTATGAAATGACAAAGGCAAACCTTCATATCGAATGAATCACATTCGTTGGCGGTGGAAGGGGTGGGTGAATGGGATGAACATGACGATGAGGAAGCAGTTGAGAAAGAAGAACAGCCACTCATTGCCGCGAATTGTGAAGAAATAATGAGGATGGCTCAGAAGAGGAAATCCTGAAAAGAGAAGAATTAATTTGAATGGAAATCTTAAGAAATTTAAATAAACAGGTGCATCGTTATTGCCCCGGGGAGACGTTATTGACTCAAATTTCAATTTACTTTCCAAATATACCCTCGGCATTCAGAACATACACCGGCATAGATTATAAAATTCGCACAGACATTGAAACTGTCATTTAACGATCAAATTTTCTGGCTTAAACCACCACCTTCCCAGACAGAACCTCGACGTTCTACGCAAAAACATAATACAATATCAATAACGCACGCAATACTCCAGTCCATTGAACTGTAAAAAGATAAAACATAAAAACAAGGTAAAGATTTAGATATGGAGCCCAAGCTATCGACTATTGGGGCAGTTTCAAGGCCAAAACTAGAGCCAAAACAATATTTAACCACTAAATCTTCATTTTCTAACTTAAATTGACTCGTAGAGGCAAAAGAAATTTTAAAAAAAATTTATTTTGCTCCATTTTGATCAGAAATGTAATCAGTGGGTTAAATTATGCCAGAAGAAGTGTTTTTGGTTTCAAAAAATGTTTTTGAGAGAACATTTCCCTATGTGTATTCCTAAAGACACTGTATAAGCGCGCACTTTGAAGCCCGAGACTTGACCTAAAACTTGCCCTAGTGCTAACATTATAACTTAACCTAGAACTTAGAGCGCGACATTGTAATAGCTGGGTGCCTACTAATGTGCCAAGATAGTAAAGGGAGTTAGAATTTTAAAGCAGATTAAAGTTGAAAAAACGCAAGCAGACGTGGAGGACGAAAATTAACAAACGATTTTCTTGAGAAATGATCGGCCTAGTTTTCCCTTAAAAGTAAAAGTATTGAGTTAAACAATTGAATATCTTTATTCAAAAAGAAAAGAGTATATAGAGAAGGTTTTTTCAAAGCGCCCGTACTTTCAAAAAATGCGTCTTTGGTATCAAAAAATAGCTGAAATTCAGGGCTATTTTTTGATACCTAAGCGCGCATTGTAGCATAAACCAGTGTCGAGAAACACTCGTTCAAAGCTAGACTACGCAACACTCTGCACCGTCATTATAGCGGTGGGGTACTATTACAGTATTTACGGTAGGCTTTTTTCACGTTTCTTTCTTTCTTTCTTTCGTTTTAGCCACAATTTCGTGAAAAGAAATTGTCTCTGCGAAATGATAAAATACAATTTATTAAATAAAAAGCATATATCACAAACAAAGGTTCTATACAAATCAAATAGCACAATCAAACTCAAAAGAATATGCGATCAAGTATAAACAACACGAGAAAAAAGCAGATTATTTTGGATAAAACACGATCATACACGCAGAATACACCAGAAAAAAAAATGAAATGGCTGCTTTGGTTCCTTTTCTCTACAGATTTGGTTCCTTTTCTCTACAGATTTGATTCCTTTTCTCTACAGATTTGATTCCTTTTCTCTACAGATTTGAGGATAACTTTGTGGCATAGATCCACCATATTACATCTGACCGCTGAATGGTCAGTAGCAGCTAGTAGCAGGTAGCTTCCAGTAGCAGCACTTCCATAGGTAAGCATCAAGGGTTGATCCACTGAAAATAAAAGTTCATTGATAGTTTACGAGATCTAAAGTTATCTTTTGCCTGTAGTCGGGAATTGGTCGACTTAATTGACTTCAAAATTCTTAAAAATGATCAAATTTACAAGAGATTCCATATCTTATTTACGTTTTTGTCAAATTGATTTCAAAAGTCAAAACAAACTGACGCAGCCCATCATTTCATTTTCTCCCGCAAGACCAAATGGCAAACGGAAACGTTTCTCTATTTTCTTCCACCAACAAAAATCAACATTCTCAAAAGGCGGGCAAATATTTGAATGCCCAAAAGAAAGAGGACTCTATTTCTGAAAAGATTTCTGTGAAAGTTTCCATTTGATACAATACTCGTTTGCAATGCTAAAATTCACACTTTATTGCCTATTTTTCTGTGGTTTGGCAAAATCGAATCGAAGAATCGGTGATCCATCATCATCAAATTTTGCCAATCCAACTTTTGACGATTATTATGTTGATTCGATGGAATTGCCCGAGAAATGGACACCAAGAATGAGAATTTCGACGATATATCCAGGGAGTGGAAGTGATGAACTACAGACAACGATGAAATCACTCGGTGATTCGGGCACAGGTTGGCTGGGCTTGAATAACGCGTTTTCTGAACGTTCGAATTGGTCAACTTTCGAAGAAAAGTAGAAGAAGACTTGTAGAAACTTGTAGAAAATCGAAGCTAGTTTTGTTTTGGTTTTGAAGGCAGTTTTGAAAGCCTTTTTGTCAGCTTTGAAAGCCTTTCACTATTCGACGTTTTCGAGTTTCGAAAACTCATTTTGAAGGGATCTTTATTTACTTTTTGAAAGAGTAGAAATGATCACGGGAAATGGCTAACTTAAATAGCTTATTGCTAGTCTCGAGGTGCACTTTGTGCTCAAAAATGTAAACACAACCATTCTGGTGTAAACACAACCATTCTGTTGAAAACACAACCAGCGCACCATTTCTCATAGTGTGTCACGAAGGAAATGAAGATGGATGGATGTGTTTACACATTTCCAGCACAATAGTAACACTCACTATAGCAGAATAGTAACACTTACTTTAGCACAATAGTAACACTTACTAGGTCTCTTCTGTAATACTTGAAAGCGTACTTACTATATTTTTGTAGATTAATGTAATCGGAGCAAAGAATATCATAGAATTTCAGTAAATCAATTAGGATATCTCAAAATTATGGAGCGGAAATTCGATCATTGATCTTTTTCCAAGAAATCTAATGATCTAATTTCCAAGAAATCTCTATAGAGACCTTGAAAAACATTTAAAAATCATTGAACTAAACAAAAATATAAAAAAGAACTAAACGTGGACATTACCAGCGGAAAAACGCTCACTAATGTCCACGTTTTCCACGTAATCTAAGCCCCGCACCTTTTTGCCAATGGCTACGCACAGACGGACAGACGTCTCTTCTGCTTTATATAGTAGATTCTTCAAAGTGACCTCCTTTAGCTTGAATACGTAATCGTAATCGTTTCGGAAAGTCATCCATGGCCTTTTTGGTGCCTCCATACCAATGTAGCTTTCTCCAAATCCTTCTTCAAAGACGGAATTGATGTGTCAGACTTGAAGGCTGTGCTTATATTGAAGGCTATGCTTATATTGAAGGCTATGCTTATATTGAAGGCTATGCTTATATTGAAGGCTGTACTTCTATTGAAGACTGTACTTCTATTGAAGACTGTGCTTGTATTAGAATAGTGCTTTGCATACTTCCACCATGCTTGAAAACAAAAGCAAAAAAGTTTGGAACAGACGAGAATCGAACACGACACCCCCGTAGGGCAGCCATTTTGTAGACGAAACGCTAATCACCTCGGCCATGCCCTCCCAGTATAGGTGCTTTGAAGGGTATCAGGGTTGGTCCCGATATTGCTTTGAAGGATTAAGAGATAGATCCAGTATTGTTACAGTTGTTACAGGGGTCTCGGAGGGGGCGAGAAGAGGAGCGGATGGCAAACGTATAATTTGATCTCCTAGATGACTTAGATGATGATCTAAGTCATCTAAGAGATCAAATTCTACGTTTGCTCTAAAACAGCCAGCTAGAAAAACCCGTTGTTAGGCGGGTAATGCCATATAGCTAGCTGGTAATGCCATATAGCTAGAACTTGCAGATGGGATGACTTTTAACGATTTCGTCGAGGCAAACATCTGTAAAGCGAACATCGCCCGACTTTGTTTTGACGATGCCGACAAAAATGGTAATGTGAAAGTCAAATCTCTTATGTGATATTATATTTTAAAAGTGATTCAGGTGACGGAATTGTGACCAATGAAGAGTTGAGGAATTATCAACGAGAAGCAATGAATCGAGCAGACAACCTCTACAGCGAGTTTCAAAGACACAACTTTGCGGTAAGTAAAAAATTTATTCTCAAAATTACTGATTTGGATGAATGATATAGCTGAATTGGATAATATAGCTGAATTACTTTAGACTAGCTAATAATTTCGCTTATCAACACTCGAATCAAGTTTAGCTGGCCGATTTGAATGGCGATGGGGAAATCTCGAGGAATGAGGCAGCGAAATTCGCACAAAATGAGCTAAAGGTTTGAAAAATGAATGGTCGAATGATTATGAATAAATAAGTGAACGGCTGTCTTATATACGCGCCTTTACGGCCATAAACGGCCATAAATGGCTGCCTTATATACGCGCCTTTACGGCCATAAACGGCCATAAACGGCTGCCTTATATACGCGCCTTTACGGCCATAAACGGCCATAAACGGCTGCCTTATATACGCGCCTTTACGGCCATAAACGGCTGCCTTATATACGCGCCCTTTCCGCCGCCAACGGCCGCCCTTTTTTCCCCCCCTTTCCCGCCGCCGGCGGCCCGCCCTTTATACACCCCCCCCCCCCCCAACCCCCCCCCCCCCCCCCCCCCCCCCCCCCCCCCCCCCCCCCCCCCCCCCCCCCCCCCCCCCCCCCCCCCCCCCCCCCCCCCCCCCCCACGGCCATAAACGGCTGCCTTATATACGCGCCTTTAACGGCTGTCTTATATACGACCGCCATAAACGGTTGCCTTATATGAATAAATAAATGAATAAATAGAAATTTCATATGATATTCAGTTATAGGGCTGAATCGAAACTTGTAAATTGAATTTTAGTCCGAAATTTCTATTAAAAGACATTCAGTTATGTTTATCAATTTTTTAATAATTTTAGATCAATGCTGACGCTGATTTCGAGAGATTTTTCCAAAAAATGGACAAGAATGGAGATGAAATGCTGGATAGAAACGGTTTTTTTTCAAGATTTTAAATACTATTTGATATATAAGTACTATTTGGTATACAAGTACTATTTGATATACAAGTACTATTTGGTATTTAAGTACTATTTGGTTTCCCTATAAAGCAAAAGAGATCAAAAGCAAAAGAGATTTGCTTGGTGGGTATGACTTGGCACGTTTTTTAAAAGAAAATCTTCTTCATTTAACAACTTTCATTGTTTTTGCAAGAGTGAATGTTCACTTATTTTCTGCAAACTCCTCTCCCTCATTTTTGGTTCGATCTCTAGAATTTAATTTGAAAAAAGTGCCAAGTCATACTCACCAACCCAATAGCTTGCTTTTGTAAGCCTGAGTTGCTGATTTGTTGAGTTGTTGAGTTGCTGAGTTGTTGAGTTGCTTAACGATTGCATAAACGATACATAAAGATGCTTAACGATGATTCGAATATGATTCGCTTAATGATAAGGTGAGCCAAGATCTGGCTAGCTTTGCCTAGTTAGATCTAGCTCTGCCTAGCTAGATCTAGCTTTGCCTAGCTAGATCTAGCTTTGACTAGCCTCTAGCTTTGTTAGATCTAGCTTTGCCTAGCCTCTAGCTTTGCCTAGCTAGATCTAGCTTTGACTAGCCTCTAGCTTTGTTAGATCTAGCTTTGCCTAGCCTCTAGCTTTGCCTAGCTAGATCTAGCTTTGACTAGCCTCTAGCTTTGTTAGATCTAGCTTTGCCTAGCCTCTAGCTTTGTTAGATCTAGCTTTGCCTAGCCTCTAGCTTTGCTAGATCTAGCTTTGACTAGCCTCTAGCTTTGTTAGATCTAGCTTTGCCTAGCCTCTAGCTTTGTTAGATCTAGCTTTGCCTAGCCTCTAGCTTTGCCTAGCTAGATCTAGCTTTGCCTAGTTAGATCTAGCTTTGCCTAGCCTCTAGCTTTGTTAGATCTAGCTTTGCCTAGCCTCTAGCTTTGCCTAGCTAGATCTAGCTTTGCCTAGCTAGATCTAGCTTTGCCTGTTAGATCTAGCTTTGCCTAGCCTCTAGCTTTGTTAGAACTAGCTTTGCCTAGCCTCTAGATTTGCCCTATTGCCTTTAGAACAAATCTATTCGTTACTGGTGCCAAAAACAGTCATAAATAGAGTAATTTCATTGCAAAAGATGTAAACCTATTCAGAGTTCTATGACTTTTTGGATAACTGGTACCGAAATGATTCGAATCTCCATGTGAATTTCAACGATTACACTGAGACGACAACGGAAATGGGTAAATTGCCTGCATAAGAGACAAACTTGCACGCTTGTACTGTGCTTTCTGGCACACTGAATTTCACCGTTTTGTGTGCTAGACGTGTGCTAGACGTTGTGCATTTCTCGAAGCTCAAAGCTCAAAGAACTTTTAGCATGAAAGAGCAAATTTAGATACCATTTCAACCGACGAAACCCCAGAAGAGACACCAATCGAATATGATCAGTGAATATGAATCCGTGTCCATTTCTAACAATTGTAAATACTATTTATCAAATAAATCTTCAACGAAATAAGGGATTTGGAGCCGTCTTGCAAACAAAATTCGGATAAACAACCTCACTCCGCTCGAATGGACTAAATTTGAGTTAACTAAGTTAAGTTAGGTTAACTGTATGCAAAGCTACTACCTCGTTCCCCAATTTCCCTCCGCACAATCCCAGCACGTTGTTGGATAAGCACCCATCTAAAAAAGTTATTAACTAAATACTTTTAGGACACTTTATGACTAGTACAGTCCTCTCGGCTAATCTGTTTCCGAAAAGGCATTTATTTTCGAAAACTACCGGTTTGAGTACGGTTTTTAGAAACTACCATAAATACTGTAATAGTACCCCATTGCTCCGTCGTACAGCCGCGTAGTCGCAATGGTTTTTTAGTATTTCATTGTTTTTCAAAACACCCGTACCCTGTAACTGTACCCTGTAACTGTACCCTGTAACTGTGCCCTGTAACTGTGCCCTGTAACTGTGCCCTGTAACTGTACCCTGTAACTGTGCCCTGTAACTGTGCCCTGTAACTGTGCCCTGTAACTGTGCCCTGTAACTGTGCCCTGTAACTGTGCCCTGTAACTGTGCCCTGTAACTGTGCCCTGTAACTGTGCCCTGTAACTGTGCCCTGTAACTGTGCCCTGTAACTGTGCGCCCAAAGCGCCACTGAGCGGACCCTCTTCTCCATCATTTGTCTTAAATAGTGTTGCACTTATAAATTAACCAGAAACGTTTTCTAAATCAGTTTTTCGCGAGGAATTCGAATTCCTTACTTTTAAAATCGTATCTTTTATCTAAATTTACCAAAAATGCAAAAAATACAAGTACGGGAACTTTTGGCGCACCTGTATAGGTAATATTAATTTTTTTTCTTGTTAATTTAGGGTTGCGCTCGATTTTTCGTTATCCCTTTTAAGTGCCATTCTAATATAGGATTTACGGTAATACAGTGAGATTTCTAGCGGATAATTAGACTAGATAATATAGAGCTAGCTAAGTGATCTAGCTAGCTAAGCTAACTCAAGCTTTACACAAAAAAAACCGTCACCAATATCGTGTTCCCATCCGGCCCACTCCCCACATTGCAAAGGGTTCTCGTGTAATTCGTTGGAGATCCATCCGTCCAATAATCCGTTAAATTTGCTGAATTCGTCTTTTTTTTAAATTATTAAGGCTTGTTAGCACAAATGTTATTATTTCAATACCGTACTTCGATCGTAAATCTGACCACCGAGAATCGTGGTGCCGAAAAACCAGTTAGCATCGTTTCGATCACAAGATGTGTTGTAGGTGAGACCTGTACTTTGTTACGTACCCTTCCTGGTGCACTAAATCATTCATTTTCTCGCAGAACGATTTGTTGGGGATTCAGTGTACCAGAAAGAGTGCGTTTACAAGGAACTTTGAGCACAAAGTACACTTCTTGAGCCTTGAAGCCTTGTCTTTATGCCTGTACTTTCTGCCTGTACTTTGTGCCTTTATTTTGCGCTCAAAATTGTAAACGCATCCTTTCTGGTGCACTGAAGTCTATATTTTCTAACAGTAACGCTTCGAATAGAGATTTCAATGCACCAGAAAAGATTTATTTTCACTTTTTAGCCCAAAAGCACTTTTAAAATCGTTTTTTTTACTCACTTTTGATGAAATCGTTCTCCTCATCACTGTGCACTGATGCCAAATGTCCTCCAAACGTAATACAATATGCTTCAGCGTCATCGAATGTCATTTCTTGTCCCGCTCCGTAACACATCCCAGTTTTGTTCCAGAATTTCCACCCGTCTGGGCAAAGGGCTAAACTTTAAGTGATAGCTTTGAGACTTGGGCTTTAAAGGATAAAGAAGGCTTCAAGAATACTGTAAATCAGGTTGTAAATAAGGTTGTAAATCAGGCTGTGAATCAGGCTGCAAATCAGGCTGTAAATCAGGCTGTAAATAAGGCTGTAAATCAGGCCATAACGCTTGCGACAGGCTAATACTAGACTTGCTAATTGTTAATATGGATTACGGTAGACTATCCAGCTTATTCGTGTTTTCTATTCTGCACTAAATTTAGTACCGTTAGCAAGGTTGTTGAAAAAGTGATTTTTTCAGAAGATAGATTTTGAGCTAGCTCTGGCCTTGCCTGCCTGTCCCTAGGGCCCACATTCTGTTAGGTTTACTGTAGTATTTACAATAAGACAATAAGGTTAGCATTTGGTAGTTTTATTACCTGAAACACTACCAAATTTGTAACACAAGTTTCTTTAAAAAAAGATTTCATTGAAGCTACAAATAGTCAGCTTTGAGGGATTCTTTTTGGCTCACTTTTATATTGGCTTGAATCAAAAGAGGATTTAGAATCTTGAAACCACCTGAAAGACTATTAAATTAGAAAAAGACTACTTAGAGAACTTAGAGAACTTAGAGAACTTAGAAGTACTTAGAAGTACTTAGAAGTTAGAAAAAGCCATTGTTAGTTCTATCGTCTTGTTCTTACTCGTTGCTCTTGTTGTCGATGGGCCCGGTGAAGTTGGGATCAATTCTAAAATTTCTTTTATGATATCTAGGGATGAGCCCGCTTTCTTCCGTCTAATTCGTTTTCGAAAACATTTCAACTTCAATCCGATTTCTTTAAAAGATATTCAGCTGTTTAACTGTTTTGGTGGCAAATTCCCTTCAAATGTAAAGATATTCAATTTACGCGGCGTGTAAAGAGGATTACTCGTAGTTGCTCGACCAAAAACGTCGATTAATCGAGTAAAAATTACTCCTGCAGATTTTACTCGAGTAATTACTTGACTTACTCGACTTACTCGACTTACTCGCGAGAAACGCACTCTAGAAAGTGACATATTTCAGAAAACATCGAACTTACGATCAAATTTGCAAATGTAAGCCGCCTTCAGCGTGCAATCAACGGTCCGCCACGCCATCTCGGTTACATCCAATATGACGCAGTTCTGTTGAGCCGGTTGACCTGAATATCGTAAGATTAAAGGAATTTTGCATTACAATAATAAGAAAAATCTGGTATTCTGTCAATAAACACAAACCCGATGCCCATTTATAATATCCGACAGACATTGTGTCAGTCCAAGCCCATTGAGCGCCCGCAGATTGCCGAGAAAGTCCGATATAAGCCTGACCAGCTTTCAAGTCTAAAAACCTCGATAATCTATTTTCTGAATTTCTCCATGTTCGACCTTTCATTCCATAACTCGCGACAATATTATTCTCGAAAGCATTCGACAATGAGACCAAATGACCCCCATAAACCTTGCAGATCTCTTCAGCGCCTTGGAAAGTTATTTCTGAAATTTGGCTTTTTTACTGGGTACTTGTTACTGGTTTAATACTTCAACATGTTAGGGATGTTCAAAGGATCTAACCATGACAGGACAAAACCTGCTAGAAGCCAAGTCTATCTCTGGCGAGCTCACAGACTTTTTACGAGCCAAACTTGCAATAGCCTGGGTTGGCCTGGTGTTGGCCTTGTCTTGGCCTGATCTTGGCCTTGTCTTGGCCTGACATTGCCTTGACTGGCTGGCTGGCTGGACTGGCATTGCTGGCTTGCAAGACCTTGACCTAGGAAAAGGCACCAGGTGAAAATGGCCTTTTTAACCCAGTTGAATCCTTTTTGGCCCAATGTATTTGAACCCAATTGGTCAGAGTCCTGGTCTGACTTTCAATCTTGCCTAGCAAACCTAAATTTGCTGTAGATTCAATCTAAAACAAGGCTAAATACCAATAAGATTAGCCTGGGCTTCACTAGGGAAAGGCACCAGTTCCAGGTGGATTTTTGATGATTTTTTCATCAGGCTTTTGATGGGCATTTAATGCATTTGATAAAGCTTTCAATGAGGATTCCGAATCTGCTTTTTGTTTTTCCAATCGAGCTCTGTATCGCAAGACATCTGGTATCAAAGTTTAGGCCGATTTCTCATGTTTAAAACCCAAAATCCCAGTATTTCAGTTCAATTCCCTCACTAGATGATAACAGTGATCTAGAATACCAATGTAATACCAATAAAAACTTCAAAAAACCGAACTAAACTTTGATGCCAGATTTCTTGCGATACAGAGCTCCATTGGAAAAAGTAAAAACAGATTCGGAATCCTCATTTAAAACTCTATCAAATGCACTGGGTGCGCACCAAAACCTGATGAAAAAAGCATCAAAAATCCACCTGGTGCCTTTCCCTAGTGAAGCCCAGACTGACCTTATTGGTATTTAGCCTTGCTTTAGGTTAAATCTACAACAAATTTAGGTTTGCTAGGCAAGATTGAAAGTCAGGTCAGGTCTCCGACCAATTCTGGTCTTACAAAAATTCCCTTTAGACGAACCCTGGCCATTTGGATACCCCGCAATTTGTGCACTCTCAAAAAAATGAGGAAAAGGTACAAATCTTTGAAAACTTAGAAGTAATATTCAAGGAAAATGAAATGAAAATCCCCAGCATATAGCTGAAATAATATTCTATTAGGTTGTTAACCCAAAAAGGGCGCTTTTTGTGCATGAAGGTTTTTGGAATAATTACAAAGATCGCATTCAAGATTTTCTTTGTTTTTCTTGTTTTTCTAATAACTTTTTACAATTTTTAATCAAATATTTTGGTTTAGATTTCCATTCTCGGGAGCAATGCCAACAACAAATCGACCCACCCCGGAAGTATGGCACAAGGATTTGCACCATCGCTATCAACAACACAAATCTGCCGCCGAATCAGCTCGGGAAATCAACGATTTTTATGGATTCAAAGTTGTGACTACTCGCACAGCCCAAAAATGGTTTCAAAAGTTTCGGAACAAACATGAAGAGGAAGAGTGGAAGCGGAGGCCACAACAAGATTAATCGTCGTATTCTTTGGCAACGACTACGGCAAAATCCTGAAGGTACGGCACGACAACTTGATGCGGGTCTTTTTTCGCACGTAAACATGTGGAAATATTTGAAAAAAAACCGGGCGCAAGTGGAGAAAGCAACAACAAATTCCTCACCGACTGACTCCAGCAATCAAAGCCAAACGAGCTCTTCTGTGCGGCCGCCTCTTGAGCAAATATCGTCATGGACGGCTTCCATTGGATACAATAGTAACACACGATCAAAGCTGAGTCTTTTATGATGGAAGAGTCATTCGAAAACAATGGTTGAAACCTGGGCAAACTGGAGCTGCGGTCCCAAAACGCGATGTTCATGGGAAGAAACAGATGTTATGTATGTACTGGTGTTCGCGAGGACCATTGTTTTGGCAGCTACTCCCAATCGGTCAAACATTTACCGCTGACGTTTATATTCGTCATATGCAAAGAGTTGAAAATGGATTGGTGACTATGCGCGCAAATGGACAATGGATTGGTCCAGTCAATCTCCTCGAAGACAATGCTCGCCCACATCGTGCCACAAAATCGACTCAGTTTGTGCAAAATACTCTGGGATGGGATCGTTTGGATCATCCCCCTTACAGCCCAGACGTTGCACCGTCGGATTTTCATCTTTTTCTCTCATTGAAAAACTTTTTACGGGGAAAAAGTTTCAAGACCGAAGCTGAGGTACGGGACGCTATCGACGACTTTTTGGTTTCAAAAAATGCCGATTTTTTCGAGAAAGGACTTAAGAAACTTCCAAAAAGATGGATGAATGTCAAAACCAAACGCGGAGTTTACATTGTTTAATTATATGTTGTTGAAATAAATTGTTATAGTTTTAAAACAGTCATACGCAAAAAGCGCCCTTTTTGGGTTAACAACCTAATAGTAAAATGAAAATTTAACCACATCGATAGCGTCTTGAGCGTCTTTAAGCGGCTTGAGTATTTGATTTTTCTCAGATAAAGCTCACCACTGTCACTGTAGAGTAGACAGGCATTCAAGCCGTCGATGTAATCCGAATTCTCAGGACAATATGCAAATATTGTTCCTAATAATAGCCAAAAATCGAAGAGAAAATAGAAATTATGCATTTTGAAAAGAGAAAAGAGAAAAAAAAGCTCCTAGTTAGCCATATCTCGTGCATTTTTTGATCAGCTTTTTTGTGGGAAACTTATAGATAAGAGCCGTGTGTTCAATGATTTCTCTTTTGATTTGTGATCAACAAATTTGCAATGACAATGCGATGACAATGCGATGACAATGCAATGACAATGAAATGACAATGCGATGACAATGCAATGACAATGAAATGACAATGAAATGACAATGAAATGACAATGCGATGACAATGCAATGACAATGCAATGACAATGCGATGAAAATGCAATGAAAATGCAATGACAACGCAATGAAAATGCAATGATAATTCAATGACAATGCAATGAAAATTCAATGACAATGCAATGACAATTCAATGACAATGCAATCATAATTCAATGACAATTCAATGATAATTCAATGACAATTCAATGAAAATGCAATGACAAATGAAACTAAGAATGTAATTGAATAACTGAATAACTAAAAGCTTTGATTGGGTTTAAAGTTCAGAGTTTAAAAAGTTCAAAAATTTCATCAGCTCATTCGATAATCTCGATTTTGAGGCTTTGCTTTGCAGACGAAATCCGGATAGACTTCTTGATAGCGTTCGAATGGACTGAAAGGATTTATAGAAGATTTATAGATCTATAGAAGATTTATAGATTTATAGAAGATTTATAGATTTATAGAACAGCGCCAGGATGGTTATGTTTACAAATTTGAGCACAAAGTATGCCAAGAAATCTTTAATGGCAGATGTACTTTGTACTCAAAAGTGGAAAACACTGCACTGAATTCTTTGCTTTGTCACAGAAGCAATCAAGAAAAGGCTTATTGTGAGTAAATTGAGTGCGCCAGAAAGGGAGTATTTACCAGAGACTTTGAGCACAAAGTACACTCAAAAAAGCCTGTTCAAATACCTTGTACCCCAGGCTCCATCAGCACACGAAAAGCACCCAGTTGGAAAGGCTCTCATCTAAAATTGAAGAATTCAATCGATCAATCGAATTTTGCTGAACTTTTGACAATTAAAATGTGTCCAGTAATCTTTTCTGGATGACTAATGCAAAAGTAATCTTGAGTAGGGTCATTCTACGAGACCTGGTCTTATAAGCGATAGATTATGTTCCTCTCGAGCAAGTAATTACTTGAATAAATTCGAAAACGAAACTTTTTAAACGATTACTTAAGTAAATCTCAAGTAATTTTATTCTAAAAAGGTTTTTTTCAATTGTTCAGATAGGCGGTTTTATTATTTCTCTATTTGAAAGTTAATAATTTTATTACTTTGGAAGTTATAACTTTTGTAATTCTTAACTAAAACCCTCTAAATCGATCTAGCAAAGAACGAAAAATTCCTTAATGAAAAAGGGCAAGAAATTTGACTCGAGCGGGAGTCGAACTTGCCGACTAAAAGCTATTCGCTTTAGAAGCGAGCAAGCCACTCGGCCAGCGGTTTAGCAAGTTCTTCCCTTTGAAGAGGGCTTTAGAAAGGATCACGATCACTCGAAAGGAACACACTCTAATAAGCCATCCAGAACCGGCCAGAAGCCAGGTCTCGTTTCTGGCGGTTTCTGGCAAACCCAGCTATGTCAAACCAGGACCTTAACCCTGGCTTCACCGGCAAGAGTAGGGTAGTTTCGGGTACAGTAGACAAGTCGCGACCTTTTTCCGAGAAAATCCTGTGTTGGCGCTTTAAAGCGTGATAAAACTATTGTACCCCTCCAATTTGCGGGAAATTTCTTTTTTTATTCTTCTTGCGTTTTTTTTCGACATTTCAGCGTTTTTAACTAAACAGTCACAAAAACAAAGCTTCCATAATAGAAAATGATAAAAACCACTTAAATTAACATTAGTTGGCATCAAGTTCGTGGAGTAGATCGTCGGGAAGCAAGTAGGTCTAAAAAACTCTACAAACAAAGCTTCCATTATAGAAAATGATAAAAACCACTTAAATTAACATTAGTTGGCATCTAGTTCGTGGAGTAGATCGTCGGGAAGCAAGTAGGTCTAAAAAAACTCTACAAACAAAGCTTCCGCCAAAGGAAAACTCTACAAACAAAGCTTCCATAATAGAAAATGATAAAAACCATTTAAATTAACATTAGTTGGCATCAAGTTCGTGGAGTAGATCGTCGGGAAGCAAGTAAGTCTAAAAAACTCTACAAACAAAGCTCCCAAAATAGAAAATGATAAAAACCATTTAAATTAACATTAGTTGGCATCAAGTTCGTGGAGTAGATCGTCGGGAAGCAAGTAAGTCTAAAAAACTCTACAAACAAAGCTTCCGCCACAGAAAATGCTGTTAAAAGCGTAACTTAGCTTTATCCTCTTTGTTTCCTGCAAAAAGAAACGCGATCACATAAAAAAAAATGCGAAAAGAATAAAATGAAATGAACAAAAATGAAAAAAATGAAAAAACTGAAATTTCGCACTGTCTTGTATTGGAGGGGTACGGTAGTTTTACCACGTTTTAAAGCGCCAACCCAGGATAACCCAGACGCAGAATATTTTAACAGTAACCGTGGTCAAATTTTGGACAAATTAAGATGAAAACCAAAGCACCGTACTCCTTTGTATTTACCCAATGATAAAAGAACTTAAAATTATCGTGTTCCCGTTTGCCCCACTTCCCGTACTGCACAACATCTGCGTGTAATCGGTGTCCGATCCATCAGTCCACCAATCGGTCAAATTCGCTAAAACGCTTAATATAATCCCGTCAATCGACTGATTTCAATATTTTAAATCTAAATTTTTAAAACTTTTCAACTTTACAAACTGTTATCATTGATTTGTCCGCCAAGTATCGTCGCTCCGTACATCCAATGGAAATCATTTCGATCGCAAGATGTGTTGTAAGCCAAATCTGGAAAGATAAAAGATAAGTGATAAGTTTAAAGCTTTTTCTTTCACTTTTCACAAATTCATTTTCGGCATCACTGTGAATTGAGGCTAAATGCCCGTGATTTTCTTGACAAAAAGCCTCCGCATCATAGAAAGTCGACTCTTTTCCGTGCTGAAAGTTGAAAATCTTTAAAGGCTCACCTTCCAGACCAATTTTTCTTCTTTTACTAGAGTTTTTTTTCTCTGCTGAGTCTGAATCTTGCTATTTTATAAGTTAAAAACTAGTTTCCTCAACTAAAAATTGAGTTGCTAGGCCTAATTTTTTAATTTTGATTGATTTGATGGGTTTTCCTCACAAATGAAGATGTTGAGGGTGTCTCCCGGCTTCCAAACTTTGCCAAATCGTTTTTTTTCCGCAATAAAATACAATAATAAACTGTTTTAGATAACAAAATTTGAAAAAAAGGACAAAAAAATTTTTTGACTAAAAATCATGTGGGGGACCACATGGATTTTTTCAAAAAAAATCAAAATTTGTAAATTTTTAAAAATTCGTTCTAAAAACTCAAAACCCGGCTTTGAGATGTCGATTTTTGTAATCTACGTATAAAATTACTTCGGAAAAACAGGTTTTGTAAACCTTTGGCTTGGGGTAATCTTAGTCTTAAATTCTAAGATCCATTCCAGTGTTCTTACTAAAATAAGTCTACTCTATTCGTAAAAGTAAATGGTAGACGCTATTAAACGTTATCGAACGTGAATAGTTATCGATTAAAGTCAGGGTTATCGTTCGAAGTTAGGTCTAGTGAAGCTAGGCTTTACTGCAAGCTTGGCCAAGAAATACTCCTTGAATCTAACACAGTAAGTTTATAGCCGTTTACGAAATATGTCGTAGCCGTTTACGAAATATGTCGTAGCCGTTTACGAAATATGTCGTAGCCGTTTACGAAATTCAGCTGAACTCGGTCGCTGTTTTCACATTTGAGAATTGCCCTGAATTTGTTCCTCGCCCTCTTTCTCCTACTTTCAACGACAAATTGTTTTAGATGGCTTTACTTTAAGAATCTACATCAAATTGGCTACAAAATGAGCTATTAGGCAAGTTTTTTGGCTGAGTGGAAAATTTTTTATAGCCATTTTAGGGCATTTTTGAACCTAAACTTTGGGGGCTCGAAAAAAATTTTCTACTGAACCAAATGAGCTAATTTCAAAATTTTATTATAAAATATATGTATTGTGAACATTTTTTATGTGGGTCACTTTTTGATTGGATGCCCGGAAATACCCTCATTCGTTAGCGGCTGAATTTCGTAAACGGCTACGACATATACCGGTTTTCGCTGAGCTAGTTTACTTGAACGAGCTTTTACCGTACTTTCCAATCATAGCGTAGGAATTTGACTTTTAAAAACGAACATAATAACACATATCGGTCACATCGAAGTACTTCCATCCATCAAAGCAAACACCTGAATGTTCAAATTCGAATTTCTGAATGAATAAGTTAACTATTCGGATCGGGAGTGGTTGAGTGTGGAGTGGTCGTTTGAATCTCTAAATTACATAAAACTAGATACGACTTATGGATTGGGGACAAAAGTATGAACGGGATTCGAACCCGCTTCTTACCAGTCCGCTTTTTACCAGCCGAACACACTACGAATGAGCTATACCGACGAATGAGCTATACCGACGAATGAGCTATACAAATAAGGTATCAGCGCGAAACAAGATAAAAAAAAAAACGTTTTCTAATGTAATTTCTTTTAATATTAGGTTGTCCAGTTATAAATGCGCGTTTTTAAGATAACAACTCTTTATTTTAAAACCAACAGTTTAACAGCTCAATCAACAATATATTCACCATTTGTTAACATTATTTGTTTCCATCTTCCATGCAAAGAATGAGTTCCCTCCGCGTAAAAATTGGCTTGTTTTGAGGCAAAGAAGTCGGCTATCCATTTTTCGACCTCTTGAACTTCTGTGAACTTGTTTCCGGCCAAATGGCTTCGCATTGAGCGAAATAAATGGTAATCCGAAGGAGAAATATCCGGAGAATATGGCGGATGCGGGAGAGTTTCCCAGCTCAACTCTTCGAGTTTTTCCTGAACAATCTTTGCAACGTGTGGACGAGCGTTATCTTGAATGAACTTTATGTTTGAAGGATCAAGGCCTTTTTGTAGCAATACATTGTTCACTCGTTCCAATTGTTGTGCATACGTTTCACCCGTGATTGTTCGTCCAGGGTTAAGCAGCTCAAAATAAACAATGCCTTGGGAATTCCACCAGACAGTAAGCATTACTTTCTTGCCATGGAAGTCGGGTTTTGGTGTTGGTATTGGCTCCACACCAGGTTCTAGCCATTGCCGTTTTCGTGTAGAATTATCATATTGAATCCATTTTTCATCGCAAGTAAGGATTTCGTCGTAAAACCCAGTATTTTTTGCCAAACGAAGAAGAATACCCGCCATAGTGACACGAGTAGCTTTATTGGCATTGCTGAGAAGATGAGGAACCCATTTCCCTTGTCGGCTTGTTTTCCCCAATTGATTTAAATGCTCGGAAATGATTTGAGGGCTTACTCTAAATATTTCTGCAAGTTCACGCGTCGTTTGTCGAGGATCCATTTCTATCGCCTGCTTCAGTACTGCATTATCGATCGCAGGAGGTCGTCGTTGGTGGTCTTCGTTTTCCAAAGATTCATTTCCTTCTCGAAATCGTTGAAACCATCGGCGACCGAAATAGCATCTTCGCCAAATACTTTGCAGCGATCTCGATGGGATTCAACGGCATTTTTGCCCAATTTGAAGTCATACCAAAGACTGGCACGAAGACGAAACTTCGTCTCGGTCATTTAAACACGGAAATTAAATCAAAAATGAATTAGCTTAACGTCAAAAAAACGAAAAGTTGTAATAAATAAGAAATCTTGAACAGCATATAGAGAATAGGGTTTGATAAAATTGTATAGCCCTAAGGTACGTTGTTCAAGAGCAGGCGCGCATTCATAACTGGACAACCTAATATATACCATTTGACGGAGAATTTTGTGTTGATTTCAAAAAAATGGTAATGATGGTAATGAAATCTGTTTGATTTTTTCGTTTTTTTTAAAATTAGCTTTTTTATGAAAGCTGATTTGAGCTAAATATTGAAAATTTTATATTTTCAAGTTTATAAAAGAAAAATCTTCCTATAATCTTAAAAATATCTGAATCAACTAACCTGAGAAACGACAAATAAATGGTAGAGAAAGTGAGCAATCGATCGTTCGCCAAATCATCTCATCAATTTTCAATGATGAGCAATTACCGGCCGATGGTTGACCTGTACTTTGTGCTCAAAAAATTGTAAACGCATTACTTCTAGCGTAAAATTGAGTGCATCAGGAAACGTGTTGTACAAATTGTTATACAAATTTGAGTACTTTGCGCTCAAACACACACCTTCTGGCACAGAATACAAACTTGCTTTGAACTTTGCCAGAACTTTGCCAGAAACGTCCTCTTTCTGGCATACTCGTCTTTTTCTACTATAAGCTCAAAAATAAGGGATCTAGTGTGCCAGAGAGGGTGCGTTTTTCCGGGCACAAAGTACAAGATGCTTCAGTGCACCAGAAAAGCTGTGTTTCCACTTTAGCCAGCCAGCTTTGTGCACTGGCCAGCTTTGTGCACTAGCCAACTTTGTGCACTAGCCAGCTTTGTGCACTAGCCAGCTTTGTGCACTAGCCAGCTTCAAACCTTGTCCCCATTTAAAATATTCAACATTCGATCCATCAACCCATTGCCATTTCAAATCCGGATCGTTTCTGTTTAAGCCAATGATTGCTTGAGTGCTACCAAGGGCTAAAAAATCATTGTAATCATTGTAATTAAATTTTCAAACTCTTTTTAACCTTTTAAGGCATAACTCGCGATCACTCCATTCTCGAAAGCATTGTGAATCGCTGTGAGATGTCCACCGTAAAGCCGACAAATTTGCTCGGCATCTTCGGCTTTGCTGCCTAAAATGTACTTTGTACTCTCGTAAACGCAAGCCCTCTAGCACACTCGATTCCCCAAGGATTCTTTTGACGCCAAATGTGTCAGAGACTATGTGTTTGCTAGAGCACAAATTACCCCAAATTTGCGTTGAGTATAAACGCACACTCTCTGGCATTCCTCATTTTTTCGCATTTTAAAGAATGTGTTTACACCAGAAAGCGTGTGTTTACACTTCTTGAGCACAAAGTACAACACTTACCTAAATCGCTGTAAAGAAAACAATCGCCGAGATCCGAAACGAGAAAACTTCCCTCAGGACAATACAAATCAACACAAATCCAGACTGAAACGAAGAAAAGCGAAAAGCGCATCGTTTTTCTGAGAAAAAGCTTATCTTTTCCCTTCTCTGTGGTTTTTGAGCGCAAAAGAATCCCTTTAAAGTCTGTTGCTTGATCAGTGAAATGGCTTCGAGTAGGCACTAAAGCGTGACTCGGCTACCGTACTCTGAACCTAGTTAGTCGATTTACAGTGACCCAATTAGTTGATGCTTACCGTTGACGTCTCTAAGACAGTTGATTTTAATCAATTGTCTTAGAGATAGCAAAGATTTATAAAAATCAAGGTTATTTTATTGAGATTTACTAGGGATGCTTTTCGATTTACACCTCGCTTTTGAGCCTAGATTTTTAGTTTAGTTTTTTTCATAATTTTTCTGGTACAGTTTTTTTGCGCTGTTTTCGAATATCTAGATCGTTTGAGAACGTGTTGATATTCAGAATTCAGCTCTAAAGCTCTAAAGCGCAAGATGTTCAGCTCTAAAGTTTACACCGAATTTTTGAGCATGACTTTTTTCGACCATAGATAGTCAAATTGCTTTTGCGCAGCTCTGAAAGCTCGTGACCTACTGGTTAGTGTCTTTGCCTTCAGTTTTCAACCTCGCGACCTACTGGTTAGTGTCTTTGCCTTCAGTTTTCAACCTCACGGGTTCGAACCCGCTTGCAAACATTTCTTTGTTTTTTTGTGTTTAGTGATGTAGAAACCCTGACTAAACAATTTTAGGGTATTTTACTTTTATTTAATATAAAATAATTTTCGTGTTTTTCCTTCAGCAGATCAGAAAAAGCTTGAGTAAAAAGTTATTGTTTAGTTGTTTTTGTTGTTTTTGTTGTTTTTGTTCTTTTTGTCTTTTTGTTCATTCGTTACCAATTTTCTAGAAGTTCAAAATAACAAAGGGGATGCAAGAAAATTTTAAGATCCATGACTTACAAGGGAATAGTCAGAAGTGACTGTGAGATTTCGGCAGCAAAATGAGATGCAAACACCTATCGAATACGGCTTTACGGCGAGTACGATAGTGCTTTCGAATTTTGCTAGAGAGCGCTAGTTTTCGAAAACGCTTTGAAAATTTGGCGTCTACTCGAAAACGAGATATGCTTCTACAAAAGGACTTTCGGGTTTTTTTTGCTTTTTTACAAACTTTGTATTTTATATATTTCAAGGATTATAAAACTTTAAAACTTAGTTTTTTTCGGCATTGTTCAACAACTTTATCCATAAATCCAGAAACCAACACAACAAACTAACCACAAATATCACTATCGGGAACTTGCAACTTGCCCTTGTTATGCAATTCTCGAGTTAGAGTTTGACACCTTTGTTCAATACAACATATGCGGTTGTATGGATCCATGGTGTAGCAAATCCCAGAACAAGGGATATCCTTCTCTATGGAAAAGGGGTGAGCGTTTGACCTAGATCTATAAATCGAGTCGACGTATAGCAGCAAACCAAGATGAATTCGATATTTGATAGAGGACACAGTAGCCGGTTTCAGCTGTTAGAGTGGTAAAAGAAAAGAATAAGCAACTGTAAAGAAGCAACCGTTACAAGATTTCACTCATCCCAACAAGTTTTATTCACCAAACACAAAGAAAAGAGCAAGAACGTTGAGCCCTCCAAAAACCAATGACTTAATTTTGAAATGTTAGGCGAAAAAGAAACGCAAAAAAGCGAGAGAGAAAAGAGTAGTACATTACAAAAGCACACAAAAAGACTAGAAACATTTTGAGTAACAGTTTGAAGAACATTTGATCCGTCCTCTTTTCATTCGTTTTGTCTCAACATTAATTTTGAAGTAGAAGAGAATGGGATGAAGGTAACACGATAAAAGATGAGCAGAGATGAGCAAAAGAGAGTTTAATGAACCGTCAATCCGTTTAACTACTTCAGCATGCTGTCGAGAGCGTAGAGGATGATGTAGGTGGCACGCGAGACGGTCACCTAAACGAAGAAAACTTTGATAACGCCTAAATATTAGTTTATTATAACTAATTAATTAATTACAAATGCTAATCATTTTAAAAAAAATAGCACTCACCGCTGCACAGCAACTGTTACGGCCGGGTCGATGACGTGCACAGAAAAGCTCTCCGTTGTTGCGCTCCCATGGTGTTATGAGCTAAAAACAAAGCGTTACATATTGAAAGGTTCACTGATTATTGAATAGGATAAACTGTCACAAATGTTAGATGTTCAAGAATATTTTACTCATAAAAACTCACTTCACGAGGCAACGGCATTCCCAATCCAAGCAACCATCCCGAGTACTCCTTGAGTGGATTTCCTTTGAGCAGAACCGCGAGCGCATCAACCAAAGCATCGGCCAACACAAAATCATCGCTCACCATTGGAACACCTAAAGTAACAAATAACAAATAACAAATAACAAGCAACAAACAAATATAGCTAAATACTTACCATCATAGTGCAAGCCGACTTCATTCTTGAGATGTTTAAACGAGGCCTGAATGTAGTGAAACTCTTGACGAAGGCATACAACAAAACGACGCTTTTCCCGATGCTCAACGTGATAGTATCCTGAAGATTCAAAGTTAAACCGTAAATCGTAAATCGTGAGTGTAATCGAGATCGTGAGGCTTACTCGTAACGAGTAAGCCAGTAAAAGTCTTACCACGAGATTCGTCGTCTATTTCGTGATGATACAATCCGATTCGTACTCCTTGCTTGGCGGCTAGCTTTGGTTCGGTACGTCCTAACACTTCGAGGATGGCAGCCGTCTTGTCAACAGTTCCACGCCCTTCCAAAGGAATCCCGTGAGTCTCATTTGAGTGAAAAGTTGAGCGGCTACGCTGCACATCGTTACTCACTTCCCATGGGCCAATGATCGACGAAAACTAAAATGATCATTTACTTCCATTTCGCAACTTTATCAAGAAACCTTGTCAAGAATTCCCTCGGTGAGATCAAACTCGCAAAGACCCATTTCAGCAGGAATGCAGATTCCATCAACGTAGCCAAAAGTTTGCATCGAACAGAGGATCCAGCGAATTTTCTAAAGAGTATTTATCGTTGCACCAATTAGAAAAACCATCAAACCTTGATCTTATCAGGACATCCATTTGTCTTTTTCTTCACCAACTTGATGATTCGTTCCATGTCCCGGTTATACTTCTCATTAAGGACCGATTCAAACGCCTTCTCATCTAAAATTCAAGCATAAACAACTTTTATAAATAAGTTACCCAATTCAGTGCTCACTTCAGGTGCTCCAACTCCCCATTCATCCTCTTCATCAATCTAAAAAGATATTTTTTTAAACCATTCAAATCAATTTACTTCCATATAGTTGCTTTTCGTCATCGGTTGCAGCTTCTTTGTGTTTCGCTTGTTCTCGAAAACGTGGTAGCGATTAACGGGTGTGGTATTCCTGAAAAAAAAAATATACGAGCAACCACAATGGTGATCAACCGATAATCTTTTCCGTTATAAAAGCGCATATGAGGCGATCCGTTGGAGAAGTAGCCATCGTTAGCCGGGGTCTGCTAAAAAATAAGATAAATGTTGCAAATAGAAATCTAAAAATTAGATAATATACCAAAAGCTCATTACATTTTTGTTTGGAGATCGATAGAAGAAAGGACTCGTGGCACTTGGATAATTCTCAATCGAACCGCGGAAAACATTTTGCGGAGTCGTTCCAGTACATGGTTCCATCATATTGTAGCGCTTGTGAGGCTAAAACAACTGATGACTATCAACATATTGATGTCTATCAACGAAATAATGTACCTGATGATGTTCAGAACGTTGAAGACCACGTGCACGATTCGTCCATAACTACAAAAAACAAATCTTGTTAGTTTAAGAATAAAAACTACCTGTTTATCCTCGGCCCTCAACTTTTTCCATCCGGGAATCGCTGCCTCGCTGAAATTTATTGGTTAGTAAGCAACAAAAATAACCATTCATAACAACAAGACAAAAAAATCCTACTAAGCTGTGGCTCCAAATGGATGACGACCGCCAATCTTTTGACGCAAGTTCTGAAATGAATCGCTAAAGTCAACGATGAAAATAACTCCAAGCTGTAAAGCGGCTATAAGCTGTAAAGCAGCTATAATTTGTAAAGTGGCGATAAGCTGTAAAGCAGCTATAAGCTGTAAAGTGGCGATAAGCTGTAAAGTAGCGGAAAACTATTTAAAGCAAAAGTTTTACCTGTGCATAAAGAGTGAAACCACAATTCTCGTCATTCATCGCCGTCAAATTCGACAAAAGCCGTCGTTTTGAAAAGCTAAATGAATAAATTAAAATGATGGTAAAGTTAAACTCGGGAGATAACTGATAAACTAAGTTTAAGCCAACAAATAAGACTATTAAAATAACAAATTTAAAGTTAAGATTATCAAAAAAGCAACCTTGATGAGAAACGATGAGCGAGTGATAAAATTTTTACCAGAAATTCCTTTATAAGAAAAGTATAAATTCAAATTTCGATTTTGCAAATGTAAATATTGGAACTTAAGGCGTTATCTTGAATGATTGAATTAGTACTTACCGTAAATACTGTAATAGCACCCCAGCCCCCCTCGTACAGTCGCGTAGTGGCAAAAGTTTTTTAGTATTTCATTGTTTTTCAAAGCACCCGTACTTTCAAAAAATACGTTTTTGGCATCAAAAAATAGGCCTGAATTTCAGCTATTTTTTGATACCAAAGCGAACATTGTAGCATAAACCAGTGTCGAGAAAAACTCGTTCAAAGCTAGACTACGCAACACTCCGCACCGTCATTATGGGGGTGGGGTACTATTACAGTATTTACGGTAAGTTTCTAGCTCAAAACTTTTTCAGACCAACTTTCCCTCATTCATTTGCAGACTTTGCCAACAACTTTAGGTGGCTGCGACACAGATTTTCATCGTATTTTCACTGCTATTGTACGATATCCACTATTGTCTTTTGAAGTCTTTTGATGCATTTATACGTTTTCCAGTGATAGAATGCTAAGTTTTAAAAGTTTTGTTTGTTCTTTGGGTTTTTTCCACAGTTCTTTTGCTAAAAAGAATGAAACAAAGCTAGGATTTTCGAATCAAATCATTATTTGGACTTATCCCATTTCTCGTAAAGTGAATAAACCTTTTATGCGTTTTGTAAATTGATTTCTAACTTTATATTTTGATTCAGGTCTTGGAAAAGTGATGAATGCAACAAGAATGAGTGGTTTCTTTGCGTCTCTTGTTGTTTCGCCAATCTCTCGTTTCTGGCGGTTGAATCAATTTCCAACAAACACTCGCAAAAAGGCGGAACACTCACACATTTTTGCAAATCCACGTGCTAAAATGGAATCTAGTAACGGTTCCAATACGGTTCTTTTTTTGATCTAATACGATTCCAATACGGTTCCTTTTTTGATCTAATACGATTCCAATACGGTTCCTTTTTTGATCTAATACGATTCCAATACGGTTCCTTTTTTGATCTAATACGATTCCAATACGGTTCTTTTTTTGATCTAATACGATTCCAATACAATTCCAATACGGTTCTTTTTTTGATCTAACAAAAATTTGTACTAGATTTCAATTTTTAAATTTTTGACAGTATAACATGTTTTTTTCTAGCTAGTTTTAAACTAAATTGCGATACCAGTTTGATAAAAATTATCACATTTTATTGTTAGCCAAGTCTTTCCAATGATACAGTTTTTAACAATATGCCAATTATTCCTTTTCAATAAATTTCCTACCAATTCCTTTCATATCTGTGCCCCATTGAATGGGAAATTGTTTGTTCTGTGAGTTATCGCTTTTCTTTCCAGAAAGCCTCCTGTTTTCAGAAAACGTTTTATATTACGATTAGACTGTTTCCGCTCCGTTTGTTTTCTATAATGCGCGTTTAGGAAAAAAGCTACTGTAATCCCGTTGTCTTTTTGGCTGAAGCTAGTCTTTTGACTTAAATTTAAGGGGCTGAACAAATGCGATCTTTTTTTCGCTGAAAAAGGCCTTAGGAAAGGCCGTAGAGCTTCAAAAATGTTTGCATACCAGGGAATCGTATGCGTAGATTCCGAATTTTGACAAATCAGACCTCGCTGACACCGAAATTTGGGCTAAAAGGCAAAAACTACGCAACTTAACGCTTTTCCACAGTTTTTGCCTTTTAGCTCAAATTTGGCGTGTCAGCGAGTACTGATTTGTCAAAATTCGGAATCTACGCAAATTTAGAGAGATAAGGAACCAAATTTAGAGAGACAAGGAACCAAATTTAGAGAGATAAGGAACGATTCCCTGTATGGAAACATTTTTGAAGCTTTACGACCTTTCCTAAGGCCTTTTTCAGCGAAAAAGGTGCACTTTTTTGTCGGGTACGCAAAAAAAGTCGCATTTGCCTCATCCCTAAATTTAATGGCGACCTGACTACGGTAGTTTTTTTTCTGATGAACAGTTTTTAAAAAGATTGTTTATGATTGAATATCTTTAGCTTTTGATTCAAATGGAAGCGAAATTCGAGGAGATTTATGGTGTCAAGCCGGTTTATCGAGTGAAATGTCCGGGAAGAGTGAATTTAATTGGTAAATTTTTAAAAATTAAGTTCAATTCTTTTGTAGCAGACTTGCGATTTGAAAATTTGTGCAAAATAGGAACTGGGTTACGGTAGAAGATTCAAAAAGTAGAATCTAAATAGAAATTGTTCAGGTGAGCACATCGACTATAATGGTTACGGAGTGTTGCCGATGGCCATCGAGTTGGGAACAGAGCTTCTTGTGGCGCCCATAAATGAGTCGAAGATCGAGATGAGAAATGTGGAGATCGAGAAATACGAGTGAGTCGATGAGTCGAGCTAGTGGTAAAAAAAGAACTAAAAAGTTCATTTTATAAAAAGTGTAAAAAGTTTCTTTTTGGTGCACCAGATTCCTCGTTTTTCTTGTGGCTCCGAGAAAATAGTGATACTTTACGAAAAACGCAGCCTTTTTCGGGAGTGGACAAATGCTACCTTTTTTTTGCGCACCCGGAGATTTCCGCACCTTGCCCATTAGCGCACCTTTTTTCGCGTTTTAAAAAAGCTCTAAAAAGCTAATATTAACCAATTTCTATTCCAAAAGTTGTTTTTCTAGGTAATTTTAGGGCGTAGAATCGAAATTTTGACATAACAGAGCGTGTGGAACCAATTTGAAAGACAAAACGACTAGATCAAATTACAGAAAATTGTCGATCTTTCTCTTTGTATAACTCCGTCCGTTTGTTTCCACAAGCTCGGATATGTCAAAATTTGAATTCTACACCCTCAAATTACCTAGAAAAACAACTTTTTGAATAGAAATTGGTTAATATTAGCTTTTTAGAGCTTTTTTAAAACGCGAAAAAAGGTGCGCTAATGAGCAAGGTGCGGAAAAAAGGTGCGCAAATGTCCGGGTGCGCAAAAAAAGGTCGCATTTGTCCCACTCCCGATACTTTGCGAAAAACGCAGCCTTTTTCAACTTTTTAACCAAAATTTTGTATTACTCAAGCGCGAACTGAATATTTTTAATCGCGTCGCAAAGTACCGTAATTTCGGTCACAAACTGTCTCTAAAAGCACACTTGGGCGAGAAAATTAATCATTTCTCTCATTGTTCCCAAAGTTAATCGATTATTTTTTCCTAGATTTTATTATCTTTCTATTTCTATTAATATTATCTTTCTATTTCTATTACCGTAAATACTGTTATTGAACGGCACCCCTACGCAAGTGTACAAATTGCGTTTTAAATGTAAACATTTTTATTTTTTCTTGAAAATTACTTCCCTCTAGCATCTTTTTAGCATACATTTTGTTGTTTTTATCTTTTCCTACTTATTATATTATTATTATTATTATAAGTACTAATTTTATTATTTTTAGATGTAGATCTCGATGGGAACCTGTTAGATGGAATGGGGGAATTTCGGGCTCGTCGCGAACATGAGGAAAACGAGGGATTCTTCAGGGAAACGTGTGATGAGCTCACCGAGCAAGATGCCAGTGAAAAATTGGTCAACGCTGGACCTGAGGGATCTTCAAGTAAAGCGGATGAGCCACCTACAAAGAAAAAAGAGGAAAGTCATTGATTGAAGACAAAACTGGCTACTACAAAGATTGCCAGGGATTTTTCGATCATGGCAGCGGCAAGATATTTCAAGGTTTCAAGCTTCATCGAATCTTACGTCAAACAAGCGGCCGAGTTCAAGAAGATTCACGAAAAACGCAAGGGACTTGATAGAGCTAGGCGCCACTTGAACTCGAAGGGATTGATGTCGGTTTGGCTGAATGGGTTCGAGAACGTCGAGCCGAAAAGAAACGAGTAAATCGTCAAATCATTTGGAATGAGACGGCGAATCGATTTGCTGAGGAATCGATTCCTTTCAAGAGAAGAGTCACTCTTGAAACGACGAAGAAATGACCGAGAAGAAAATGCTGAATCCATTGATTCTGATGTTTCTATTGATTGCAATAGTTGAATTGTTAATTTTTTTGTAACCACTTGTTGTTACAAATTCAATAAAGTTTAAAGAAAAGTTTGATTTTATCGGAAAATTATCTGAATGCATCCGGCTTTGGCAACTTGGAATATTGGTAAAAATTGAACGGCACCCTCTAATAGAGCGGCAGGGCATTTTTAGGTGATGCCTACCTACGGGAATCTTTGTCAATTTGATGAGAAGGCAGCAATTCGTTGTTTAGAATTCCATAATGTGATCTCGCCCGAACTTGTCTTCAAGAACACACCATGTCGTTGCAAATCAGGCAAAAGGGAGTCTTTCACAGGGAGTACTGCTTTTGCTCAAAGAATAAAGCGACCACAAAAGGCTCAACCAAAGGGAGCAGGGATGGGAATTGGTCAATGGCGAGCTGTCTTCCTGTACTGTCTATTGTGAAATTTATTCGTCCCGAGGCGGACGATCAAGCGTCGAACAAATATACGATGCAGAAGCTCAAAATAGACAAGGAAACGGTCGTCGAATGGAATCAATACAAGATCGAGCGCAGACAAAACAATCAAGATCTTCAACACCAAATTTCCAATTCCAAATTAAAAAGTTTAAAAAAGGCTGACCCTGATTAAGTGCGCCAGAAAGAATGGATTTGTGCACTAAGTACACCAAGTAGCAAAGATATACTTAGAGTTCAGGATAGCGCAATGCTGATGTTAAAGATTATAGTAAATTTAAATTTACCGTATCTTTCAGCCCTTTCACAATGTCGCTTCCATCGACTTGGTCAGGAGCATCACCCCCAAATTGGTTCGATTACGTTTTGTGTGGATGGAGGGGAATCCTTGACTCGATTCAACAAGCCGATCAACAAAAGGGAATGCTGATCTTGATGAAAGGTTTAAAGCTTTAGATTAGGTCTTCACTATCAGGGTAAGCTAAAGCGTAGTTCAACTACCGTAACCTGTAACGAGTTGTACAGTAACCCTAAGGAATTGAAGACCGAAGTCTAGGTATGGTAACTGACAAGGGAATGACACCAGCTCGAAGTTGAGAATCGCTTCGTGACCGAATGCACCTCATAGAATCGGCTATGCTGGTCCTGAATCTGTAAAAATTAGCTGCAAACACCAACGATTGGAGTCTGGCAACTCCGCGATCGACTAACAGTCCGTGATCGCAAGGAGTCTGCCATAGAAAATTCCTCTTAACTTTCGAACTCTTCATGGGGCCTAATTTTTACAGAATCAGCCGATTCTATGAGATGCACTCGGTCACGAAGCGATTCTCAACTTCGAGCTGGTGTCACTCCCTTGTGAGCACCTAAACGAGTAGGTGTTCGTAAAAGTTCGCAAGTGCCATGTTCCGAGTCACGTTTAAACAGTCCAGTCATCCAGGCACAATCCCTCCATCGTCGGGCCTCTCCTCTTCGTCGAGTCTCGTCTGCGCAGCCGCTCTTTCCACCCTTGCCATCCATACTGGGCATGGGTTCACTGAGAAATACACCCGGTTAGTCTTCATCTTTATTTGAAAGTTAGGTTAGTGTTAGACTTGCTATTAGGCCCGGATCCAGACTGGAGAGGCGAGCATGGGCCCAGGTCCAGACTGGAGAGGCAAGCCTGGACCCGGGTCCAGACTTCGCTAGATCTAGCAAAATTTTCCCAAGATTCTCCCAAGATTCCCCCAAGGTTGCGTATTTTGGGGTGAAACTAGTAAAGTTTGCTAGATCTAGCGAAGTCTGGAAAGCCAGTGTAAGATTCGAAAAAGGCTTGTATCAACAATACTTGAATGGTACGAGTGCTGGTACCTGGGTTAAGTCAAGCACAAGTTGGACACCTTACAATTGAATTGTTTTCCAGAGAGTGGCTGGCCGATCTTTGTGCGAAAGCCGAGCAAATGATTGGCACTTGTGGCGGTGGAATGGATCAGGCTAGTGAGGTAAACGATAAAGAGATTTGCAAAATGAGGGATTTGTAGACTATTCATAATCTGTTTTGAGCTAGAAACTTACCGTAAATACTGTAATAGTACCGCACCCTCATAATGACGGTGCGGAGTGTTGCGTAGTCTAGCTTTGAGCGTGTTTTTCTCGAGACTGGTTTATGCTACAATGTTCGTTTTGGTTTCAAAAAATAGCTGAAATTCAGGGCTATTTTTTGATGCCAAAAACATATTTTTTGAAAGTACGAGTGCTTTGAAAAACAATGAAATACTAACAAAACTACGCCTACGACGTTTGTGACTACGCGACTGTACGAGGGGCAGTGGGGTACTATTACAGTATTTACGGTATTCATAGTCTAATGGAATCAAGTAATCTATTTTCCAAAAATTTCTCAAGTTTATTTGTTTCTTTATTGTTTCCTTTATTTTCCAGATTCTTTCCCCGAAAGGAGCCGCTCTTCGAATCGATTTTAATCCGTTAAAATCAAAGCCGGTTCATTTACCCAACGATGCGCTCTTTGTTGTGCTACACTCAGGTGAAACTCATCAAATGACATTTAAGTCTTGAAGATATACAATAAAAGATAAAGTAAACATTAACTGTAAAAATCCTAGGTGATACCCTAAATAAAGCAGCCTCTTCGCATTATAATGAGCGGGTGATCGAGTGTCGCATCGCTGCTCAGGTATAAAGTTTTGAATTTTTTAAATCTTTCATTAAAAATACAGTTATCTAGTACTTTTTTTTAAAATTCAGATCCTTGGAAAGCATTTGAATCTCCCGGAATGGACGAATTTCCGTAAACTGAAAGAAGTGCAGGATAAATCGGGGAAAGATCTTGCTGAACTATTGGAATTGGTGAGAGGAAAAAGAAAAAATGATCTCTCTTAAAATGATCTCTTTCTTAAAATGATCTCTTTCTTAAAATGATCTCTCTGTATCCTATTCAAAGATTGTCGAATGTTGAAGTTTGGATTCGAGCTGCGTTCTGTCCGTGATTCATTAGAGCCAAGAATCTGGGAATTAGTGGGTTCGGATCCTGATCCTGACTAGGATCCTGACGCTGACCAGGTTCCTGACGCTGACCAGGTTCCTGACGCTGACCAGGTTCCTGACGCTGACCAGGATCCTGACGCTGACCGGGATCCTGACGCTGACCAGGATCCTGACGCTGACCAGGATCCTGACGCTGATCGGGATCCTGACGCTGACCGGGATCCTGACGCTGATCGGGATCCTGACGCTGACCAGGATTCTGACGCTGACCGGGATCCTGATACTGACCAGGATCCTGATCCCAATCAGCCAATGAGATTCTTGTTCTTGAGTTTTAAATGAATCCGAATCTAAATCTGAATCCAAAATCCCGGATTTCTGAATTATGCCCAGCCCTGATTCTCTCAATCTCAACCGGCGCAGGCCAGGCCTGATTTCTGATTGGCCTAGGTTTTGTAGATCAGATCAAGGCCATTTAACCTGGTCTACCAAGCAAAGTGATTTGGAGTTTTGTACTGTACATTTCAGGTGGAGAGTGTGGTGCCGGTGAATCCGACAGTCGATGAAGTGATCGCTTTGATTGGCAAAGAGAACCTCGACGCTTTACTATCAGACAACACAAGACACAGTTGGATTTTGTTGTGAAAAGAAATTTGCAAAAGAAATTTTCAGTGAAAGAGTTCAAAGCGCAGGCACGAGCTTGGCATTGCTACGGAGAAGCGAAAAGAGTCGCCGACTTTGAGGAAGCCTGCAAGAATGGAGATCTGATTGCAATGGGGAAATTGATGAATCAAAGTCATGACAGGTTTGAGATAAAACTGGAGAAGTAATTTTAGCTCTAGTAATATCTAGTAATAGCTAGTAATAGCTAGTAATGTCTAACAATTTTCAGCCTGAAAGAGAGATACGATTGCAGCAGTCCGGGACTGGATAAATTGGTCAATGAGTGCAGGTTAAAAGCATGATTACAGTAACTGTTTAAGGTTTAAATAAAAAGTACTCATTATATACTCAGAAATTTCAGAAAAGCTGGCGTTTTGGGCGCTCGTTTAACGGGAGCTGGCTGGGGTGGTTGCGCAGTCGTTTTGGTTGATAAAAAGCATCCGGTAAGTGAAATAGAAGTGAATTTTGGGCGCTGAATTCTGGGCGCAATCCTTTTTCCTAAAAGATGTCAACTTTCTCTTTCTACCGTCTTTAATTTTTATCAAATCTGCTTGAAAACTGCTAAAAGCTACAGGGCTGAGCAAAATCACCCGGACAACTTTTTGTAAAAGTCGTTTTCGCATGCTTAATTTATTTCAAAGTGTCAAGTGTTATATAGAGAATTGTAGCCCTTAATCTTGGCTACATTTATCTACTAAAAACTTCCCAATAGGATTCATGCAACTCATTTAACAAGTCCTTGAATGAGCACTAGTCGATCCCCTATCCGGCTGCCATTTTTGACGATTTTCTATGAGGTACTACGAAAAATAACTGCGTGTTAACTCAATAACTCAACTTCAATCATCATAAATTTTTTATTTAAACACTAATTACCGTATTTTCTCTCATGGTAGTGCACCCTGAGCGTCGCCTAAATTCCTCGAAATCTCGAGAGCCGCTTATCAGAACCTATCGATGTGGGGTCGGAAAATGTAGCTGACGATGAGATCTACTTGGGAATTTGAGTGTTGAGCTTCTACGAAAGCTTTGGAAGCCGTAAATAGTCATCAACTCGGCTCGCCTGGGCGCACTACTATTAGAGAGAATACGGTACTCAAAATAAAATCCATTACAATCAATGCACTTTTGCCAGCAGGCGGCAAGCTTTTCGATTCCATGTTAAAAGTTAAATGAGTTGCATAGATTCGATTGGGAATCTTTTAGTAAATTGAAGTTGAGCGTGAAAAACGCAGTTATTTTCCGTAGTACCTCATAGAAAATTGTCAAAAATGGCAGCCGGATAGGGGATCGACTAGTGCTCATTCAAGGCCTTGTTAAATGAGTTGCATGAATCCTATTGGGAAGTTTTTAGTAGATAAATGTAGCCAAGATTAAGGGCTACAATTGTCTATATAACACTTGACACTTTGAAATAAATTAAGCATGCGAAAACGACTTTTACAAAAAGTTGTCCGGATGATTTTACTCCGCTTTATCCAATCTATCCACATTTGGTCTGGCTTTGTGAGAAAAGATATTGAAGTGAAGTGAATAATAGATTGGAAAGTGAATCATAGATTGGAAAGTGAATAATAGATTGGATAAAAATGTGAGACAAGATTACGGTAGAAAGAGTAAGGTGGCAAGAGAAAGGTGGTAAGTTTTAGGAAATGCACTTTAACTATATCATTTTAGACTGATTTATCTCATCTGCATGTCCTTTTCGAGTCATCGCCTTGTGAAGGGATTACCCTGGAAAAGTTTTAATGATCATTTTTTTAACAAAAATCGTCTGAAATCGTCTGAAATCTTAAAAGAACATTGAATTTGATTGCCTATTCGATTGCCGATTGACTATTCGATTGCCTATTGCCTATTCAATCATTTTTTAATTAAATTAAATAAATTAATCTTGATTTAAATCTTGATACGATTTCTGTGATCACAAATTTCACTTACAAATGTGATCTTTGGGTTTAACGTTTTCTTTTTCGTATGATAAATTGTTTATTGCTTTAAAATCTTTAATGTACACGTTGATACGCTAGTTTTCTATAGAAATTGATCGAAAAAAAACAGAGCTCTCTGATTTTCAATTGATCTTGCAGATTTCAAGCACACGATCGCACACCTGAGCGTCACGGGCACCAGACTAAAACAAAATTTAGATAATAAATTTGGATAATCTTTGATTGTCTTTGATTGCCTTTGATTAGACCAGATATCTCTACCGTAAATACTGTAATAGTACCCCACTCCCATAATGACGGTGCGGAGAATTGCGTAGTCTAGCTTTGGACACGTTTTTCTCGACACTGGTTTATGCTACAATGCTCGTTTTGGTATCAAAAAATAGCCCTGAATTTCAGCTATTTTTTGATACCAAAGCGAGCATTATAGCATAAACCAGTGTCGAGAAACACTCGTCCAAAGCGGACTACGCAACACTCCGCACCGTCATTATGGGGGTGGGGTACTATTACAGTATTTACAGCATTTAATTCGTGTTTAAAATTCTAAATAAACCCTTAGAAAACGATTGAAATGAACTGAATATGGAAAAGCCTTTGCAAAAATCGAAATATCGAAAAATTGACTCCATTTAACTTACCGCGATCTCTTGTTGCAATCGGTACACAACATTTGGTGTCAAGAAATATAGAGAACAAAACTAAAACAAAAGATATTTCGATCATAAACGTAAAAGTATCAATCTTAAATTTTATAGTATTACTTTTTATAGTAGTATAAACTTTCAAAATCCTCCGTTGTAAACAGATTAGCCCTTTGTTTATAGACTTTTTCAAATTTAAACCGCGGTCAGGGCCCAGAAGTGGCTCATTCCTTTTGCAAATTCCCTTTGCTTCCAATGCCTCTTTATCAAATTCATTTCCCGTTAGAGCCGCTAGATTATGGAACTTGCTCGACATACGAGAAATTCAGTCGCTTTTCATATTCAAGAAACGTATCGATGCTTTAGATCTAGTGGCTCTTTGCCGTAAGTAATTGGCTTATTGATTTCAGTATGTATTGTATGATTAAGTATCACTGTGCATTTCTCTATGATTTCTTTCACTTTATCGTTTGAATAAAGTATTATTATTATTATTATTATTATTTTACTATATTGTGGCTAACAACAATTTAGCAATAAACAGCAACAAACAGCAACAAACAACAAACAACAACAAACAACAACAACAGACAACAACAAACTAACAGTTTGGCAGTGATTAATAACTAATTTTTACATCATTGGAATCAGCGTTGAATTCTGCGTCAAATGGTCTATATATTATCGGAAAATGCCACGGGAACCAATCATCCTTCCCCTTGTAAGTGTGATAAAATCTTCAAATCTCACCTTGTTCCCATGTGAACATCGGATGTAGGACTCAAAGCAAATGTGTTGAACGTACTAAAAATTTCATTCTAAATAAATAAATCATTTCCTAAAACGTGTCGTTTCTCTTTCTACCGTAATCTATTTTCTAGCCAATCTATTCACTTTTTGTCTAATTTTGTGAAGGGTTATATCTACTCTTAAAAATATAAAAGGGTTATATATAAAAGGACTAAGAATTCTGCTTGTCTGTCTGTTTGTCTGTCTGTTTGTTTGTCCGTCAGTTTGTCTGTCAGTTTGTCTCTCTGTCTGTCTGTTTGTCTGTCTGTTTGTCTGTCAGTTTGTCCGTCAGTTTGTCTGTCAGTTTGTCTCTCTGTCTGTCTGTTTGTCTGTCTGTCTGTTTGTTTGTTGGTCTGTCTGTCTGTTTGTCTGTCTGTCTGTTTGTTTGTTGGTCTGTCTGTCTGTTTGTCTGTCAATTTGTCTGTCAGTTTGTCTGTCAGTTTGTCTCTCTGTCGGTCTGTCAGTTTGTCTGTCAGTTTGTCTCTCTGTCTGTCTGTCTGTTTGTCTGTTTGTCTGTTTCTCTGTGCGCACTACTCCTCCGCGCCCAGTGGGCCGTTTCAAATAACTTATAGTTAGTTTGGCTTTTTGTCAAAAGATATAAAAAGGGCATAGATTGGATAAAAAATAGAGCGAAGATTATGGTATTTTGAAAGTTGCTGCTTTAGAAAATGCTTTAGAAAATAGATTGATTCATTTTTTCATTTTGCGGTTTATTTTTTCACTCACCGATTGCGCCCAGTGTTCGTTGGGAATCGAGCGCAATTTTTGCACCATTTTCACGCATCTATCGCAAATCTCGTCGAATTGAAGAGCTGTTGTAGTGGATATCAATAAAATGGCAATGAAAAGCTTCATCATTTGTTGCTGAAGGATTTGCTAAAGTTGAGTTTTGACAATATTGTATACAAATCTTGAGATAGGTTAAAGAAAAAGATATTTAAAAAAGATATTTAAATAAATATATATTATAATTTATATAATAGGACAGTATGTACAGTAAAAATTCCTCTAATTTTTTCAATTCTGCAGCTAAAAGTTGTTTTAACTGAAACCAAAGTTGATTGTTGAAAGAAACAAATTGAAAACAGATGGGATAAGATTAGAAAAAAGTGTTTTTTTTGAGCTTGAGCTTAATATTCATTGAATTGTAGACAAAATAGACAAATTAGTATAGTAGGATTTAGATAGAACGGAGGAAATGTGCAAAGGAGCGGCTTTTGGACAAAAATTTTGACATAAAACGCTGACAAAAAAAGGCCGACAAAAAAACTTGTAAAGGAATTGTAAAGAAACTATAAAGGAACTATAAAGGAACTCTTAAGGAACTATACAGGGACTTTAAAGGAATTGTAAAGGAACTCTGAGGAATTAATAAGGAACTATAAAGGAAGTATTAAGGAAGTATAAAGGAACTATAAAGGAACTATAAAGGAAATATAAAGGAAATATAAAGGAACTATAAAAGAACTATAAAGGAACTTTAAAAGAACTATAAAGGAACCAGAAAGGAACTATACAGGGAACTATAGAGGAACTATAAAGGAAGTATTAAGGAACTATAAAGGAAATATAAAGGAACTCTAAAGGGACTATAAAGGAACGATAAAAGAACTATAAAGGAACTTTAAAGGAACTTTAAAGGAATTGTAAAGGAACTCTAAAGGAATTAATAAGGAACTATAAAGGAACTATAAAGAGAACTATAAAGGAACTCTAAAGGGACTCTAAAGGAACGATAAAAGAACTATAAAGGAACTATAAAGGAACTATCAAGGAATTATAAAGGAATTGTAAAGAAACTATAAAGGAACTATAAAGGAACTCTTAAGTCCATTGTTGAAAGAAACAAATTGAAAACAGATGGGATAGGATTACAAAAAAAGTGTTTTTTTTAAAACTTGAACTTAACAACTTATTCATTGAATTGTAGACAAATTAGTATAGTAGGATTTGGATAGAACGGAGAAAATGTGCAAAGGAACGGCTTTTGGACAAAAATTTTGACAAAAAACGCTGACAAAAAAAGGCGGACAAAAAAGGCGGACAAAAAAACTTTTTCCCGCTTCTCCGGCCACAGCTGGGCCATATGTTGAGTGGAAAAAGTGATTGAAATGTGAAAAGAAAAGGAAAGAAAAATGGACGATCAATCTCGATCTCATAAATATCAAAAAGTCTCCAGAAATGCTTTCCTGTGCTGCTTTCTTGCTTTTTAACGGTGAATCGAAAGGGTGGTCAATTTGGAAAAGTTACCGTGATCTTTTCTTTAGATTTGTTCTTTGTTCTTTTCTTTGTTCTACTTAATTTTGATCCCTTTCGATTCACCGTTTGATTCTTCATCAAATGGCATCAAAATTAAGTAAATCGGACAAAAACAAAGGACAAATTAGTATAGTAGTTAGAGTTATTAATAATTACGGTAATTTTCCAAATTGGCCACCTTTTAGGAAATGGATTACTTGCAAGGAAAGAACTCGAGATAACGATTTCCTCAATATAACGACTCTCGAGATAACGATTTCCTCGATATAACGTCATACTTACGGTCTCGGCCAAGTCCTTAACAAAATACATTAAGTCGACTCTCGATATAACGATTTTCGATATAACGGTTGCCTCGATGCAACGGCTTTCTTGATATAACGATATTTTTAATAACTTTTCCATTAACTTTTGATTTGATATAACGATTTTGTGACTAAAACGGGATGTTGTTCATAGCACCAATGCTTATATCCTTACCTTGTCTCCTTCCTTGCCAACGATACTACTTCAACTACAGGCGTCGGTGAGGCTGTCGAGAAAGAGGCTGTCGGTGGAAGTAGGACCAAGCGATGTCAAGACCAAAGACAAAATCGAAGGAACAAGTTCTGAAGTCACAAACGGTAATGGCCTGGCAAACCGGAATGGCCTGGCAAACGGGAATGGCCTAGCAAACCGGAATGACCTCGCAAACCGGACAGACAGCAGCAGACGGTTCCAATACGGTTCTTATTTTGATCTAATACGGTTCCAATACGGTTCTTATTTTGATCTGATATAAGAAACCGAAATGGCCTGGCAAACCGGAATGACCTCGCAAACGGGACAGACAGCAGCAGATCGATCGGAGACGCAAATACAAGGTGAATCTTTGGGTGGCATAGAATTCCTAGCAAAATCGTAGATATCGTCAAACGGATAATGATAGCGAAGAAAGGCTTTCTTTTCTCGACGAGAATTTCTTGATCAACCGGGTAAAAAGACTAGTGGAGACGAGGTAGCTGATTCAAAAAAAATTATAAAGATGAGCTGAAGTTTTCAAGCCTACAGTCAACTATACAGAATAGCCATATTGTAAGTAGTATTCAACGCATTTAAAGCTTTTACTTGATCTAATTTTCTTAAAATTTGCCAAAATGTGTTGTAAATGACAAGGCATCATCTAAATCATTTTGTGGATGATGGATGACTTTTAATGGATGACTGGATGACTTTTAATGACAGAATGACTCATGGATGACTCATGGATGACTTTTAATATGACAGAATGACTCATGGATGACTTTTCATATCCTGTCAAAAGAGTAAACTTGACTTGTTTGACGATATCACGAAAAAACATCTAAATGCCTCATTTTTTATGTGAGTGCAAGTAAATGTTTCTTCAAATCTTTCCCTATTGTTGTAACTGAATTGTTTTGACGTTTTGACTACTGATAACTTAGTGAAAATCGGAAGAACGTTTCTTTAACGTGCAATGGTAGCTTCAATTTGAATTTTCTCAAATTAGCATAAATGAGCCCTCAACGTTTTAGTGTCTCCTTCAAAAATCATTATTTTGTCTAACATGGTCGCTTTAAAGTTGTTCTTCCTCTTCCACATGGCACTTCTCGGCACGGTCTTGAGTGAAAAGGTGAGGGATTTTAATGTTGAGCTGAATTTGAATATTATCTCAGTAAACTTTTTGATTTCAGGTGTCGATGAGAGCCTTTCGAGTACGACAAAAACGAGTGAGATTTTAGTACTCATAATGTTAAGGTAGAACTGGCTAGCTTAGCTTTGGCTAGCTTAGCTTTGGCTAGCTTAGCTTTGGCTAGCTTAGCTTTGGCTAGCTTAGCTTTGGCTAGCTTAGCTTTGGCTACCTTAGCTTAGGTAGAACTGGCTAGCTTAGTTGCATCTATAATTTAAGCTGAAGATGAGCTTTGTTATGAATTACTTTACTTCTTTAGATGATGATAGATAGATTAGATGAACTTTTTATCAAGAGTTTGTCAATCACTTAGTAGCCGAGAGATTTTTGTACTAATGAAGAATTTATTCGGTAGATTATAATCATATAATCATTTCATCATATAATCATTTTTGTTTTCAGGACACCGAATCTCTCGGAACGGGTGGCTTGGTGGCGATTGTCTTGGGGATTTGCATGGCGTGCTGCAGCTCCAGTGAGCCATTTAAAGTAGAACTTAAACATTTTTAGCTTGTAGCATTTTAGCTTTTTAGCTTTTAGCATTTTAGCTTTTTAGCTTTTTAGCTTTTTAGCTAATCTTCACTCTTTACACCATTCAACAAATTTCTTTAGGTTGCTGTATCGCGTGTTATTGGCTTATCGCAAGGCAACGGCATAGAATGGAATGGCGCCTTCCTGCAGATTATAATGTGGGTTTCATATCATTTCATTTTTGTCGTAATCCAGTTCATCAGTTTAACGGTCTGCAGCCTATAAGTGCGTGCAATTTCTCTACAAAATTTCCTTTTTAGTTACAAAACCCACCGATTTACCCAAGTCTACCACCGATGTTGGGCGTGGATTTGTTGTCGGCACCCGATCAAACGCACGAATCGAGCACGTACCCATCAAAAAAAGATTGACCTCAAGCGAATGTCCAATCTATCAACCCCATCCAATAAATCAACCTCATCCAATACATCAACTTGCCATCGTTTTTTTTGTTCTCTCAAATTATCCTCTCTTTGTTTCTTTTTTATTGATTTTGTGCTGAGTATTTGTGACTCATATACTCATATGGTTTGTATAAATGTGGAGGCTTTGAATGTTGGAAAAAAAATTTGGCAAAGGAGCGGTTGTTTTGTGTCACAATTACAAGGATTTTTCAAGAATTTACAAGAACATCGCAATTTTTTCCGCTGGAAAAGGCCTTAGGAAATGTCGCAAAGCTTCAAAAATATTTTCATACAAGGGAATCGTATGCGTAGATTCCGAATTTCGACAAATCAGACCTCGCTGACACGTCAAATTTGGGCTAAAAGGCAAAAACTACGCAACTTAACGCTTTTCCACAGTTTTTGCGAAATTCGGAATCTACGCATACGATTCCCTTATCTGAAAACATTTTTGAAGCTCTATGGCCTTTCCTAAGGCCTTTTCCAGCGAAAAAAGGTGCGCAAATGTCCAGGTGCGCAAAAAAGGTAGCATTTGTCCCACCCCCTATTTTTGTCATAAATTCTATATGCGGAAATTTGGCGCTTTGGTTAGCACCTCGGGTTATGGCTGATGATATAGTCAACACCGTAATTTCAGGAATTTTAAACCGTTAGCTGAATACCTCTTTGTACAAAAAACAGCTATAAAAGTCCGCGAGAACGAAAATTTTGCATTTCCCCTCCGTTCCCTCCTTTTATTCTACGAAACTTTTTGAATTCGTTTCTTAAAAGTTTTGGGTCCTTTTGTTTGCTTTCGGTGATAAAGATATTAGAAGGGGCTAATGTAAACTACGTAACCCTAATCAATCCAGAAGTTCTTACGTTCCGTAGCACATTTGAATCTCTGCATTACATTATTTCCTTCAGTCCTTTTTTTTGTTCTCGAAGTAAAACCTTTTTGTGAAATCAACTTTCTAATTTAGAGTTAAGCAATATGGCTCGAACTCGCAGAGCAGCTCAAAAGGCGATCAATGAGTAAGTTTTTCTTCCTATTTAGTTTTAGAAAAGCGTTGTTCTACATCTCAATTCTTTTTAATTTTAGGGAAGCACCTGAAGCAAAAATGGACATCGAAGTGATGGAGCAAGAGCCGGCAAACGACCCGCCGAAGAGATCCCCTCGCAAGCGCCGAGAAATAAAGAAAGTTTACAAGGATGTTGAGGTAATTTATGCGGTCGGTTTTAAAGCCGATTTGCACGAGAACTTGCTTAATTTGGAGTTGTTTGTTGAAGCTACTTGTAGTTGAAAAGAATCAGGCCAATGCTAAAGTTTAGAAAGTTGCTTCTCCACCAAAAAAAGCCGTTCGTGGCCGCGCTCGGAAGGGATCAAAGCCCGGAGCGAAAGCGGAGATGGAGGAAAAGGAAGTCGTTGCGCCAAAAAGAAAGCTAAAAGATGTGGATGTCAAGCGTGATCGGTTTATTGTTGACCATGATGTTGGCTTCTCTCCTGTCCAGGCTGACGAACCTGGTATTTTACAGAGTTAGTTGAATAATACCTTTTTCTAGAAATCCTGCATGCTGGAAACAGCGAACGAGAAAGTGACTACCTCTCGGCTGATGAAAATTTAGGTTACATAACTTTATCTTTTTGTGAAAATCATCTTTTAGTTGACTCAAGGCCTAGCAGTCGAACATCACATGCAACTTTCACGATTGAAGCAAATATTGCCGAGTAGGGCTTTTTTTAATGATTATTATAAGGCTTTTTAGAAAAGCCGAAGAAAAAGCCATTAAAAGAAAAGGATTGCCAGCACGTGGACACAAGGAAGAAGAAACTGTTGTACCAGGTTGAAAGTTTCGTTTACTTGTTGGTAGAATAATTTTAGCTCCATCACTTGCTGAATCGGACGAGTCGCGTGCCACTTTTGTTATGGAAGCAAATAGGTTTGTTTTTTATGCATTACAGGAAAGTTAGCAATTTAAGGGACAAGGAAAACTTTAACGAGAAGAAGGCCAAGCTGACCAAAAAGAAAGCCGGACCAATGCCACCTGGTTACCTAAAAGACTTTACTATATAATGTGACTTTTTAGGGGAACGCTTTCGTAATGCTCACGCAAAATTGACGGCAGCCGGTGAATTTATTGGAGACCGTCTCGATCGCATTGCAAAGCACCGCGAAGTTTACGTAAACGATTCTAGAGGAGTATTCGAAGTAAGTAATCTGCGCTCTTTGCACGAAACTTACTTACTTGCTTAGCGTTTGGCTACACCGAAAGCAGTTGTGAAGCGTGTAGGACGACGAGCGGCCAATGATGCACCTGGGTAAAGTTGTTGCGTTGTTTATCAATATAAATGAATTTTTTAGATATGACTTTGGTGACGGGAAACAACGGCCATCGTTGGACTTCGGATCCCAAGGAACTGTTTTCTCGGCTGGAACAAGGGTTGGTTTATATGGTTTTTGTAGTAAACCAAGTTTTAGGATCAGTCAACAACAGCTACAAGGCCTGCAACACCTCGACCAATTAAGCGGAATGTCGATGTGAAAAAGCTCACGAAACAGTCGAGGATTCCATTGGCAGTCCGTAGAGAAACAAGTGAGCTCTAGGTTTTTCAACTTTTACTTATGGTATTATTTCAGAAGCAATCGAGCAAGCGGAGGTACGCGATGAAATTCATTTCATCAATCGCAAGATCATGACTCCAGTGTTAACCGTGCCCACCACGAACCAAACGATCAGTCGCTTGGCCACTCCTAAGTCGGAACTTCAAAGAGGTTTGAATCGGCTCGTCCTTCTGAAATTATCTTTAAATTTTAGGTGAAGCAACTAGACGAGCCAAAGAAGGACGTGTGTTTGCGAAGTTGCGTCAAGTGCATGTAGGTTATTTCCTACAAGGTTCTAATTAGAATCATTTAGCCGCTTATTGATACGACGAACCTCAGCGATAAGCTCTACCGCCAAGCCGTCGAACTAGGACTTATCAGCAAAGTCAATGGACAAATGGCCTTGTAAGTACTACAAATTATTTTACTGGTTTCCTAAAGATTTTGGTATATGATTGTAATTCCCTTGTTTTAGCCACGACGAAATTTATCACGAGCTGTTGGAGAACGCGTCCGGCAAACGCGAAACTCTTTTACTGAACGATATCTACGCAAAAATTCAGAAGAAATAAAACCATTTATTGTTATACCATGCGACGTTTATTATTTTGTATTTCCTTTACATATAGTATCTGCGATTTTGATTTATTTGATTATTGATTTGATTGGCTTATATAAAGTATTAATTACAAAACTCCTGTTTGCAATAATCACGTTTGTTGCCTGGTTGTGAAAAAGAGACAGGTTGGATTAGGTCGATGGGTTTTAACCGATTCACAGTTTAGTGCTACCAAGTTAGCTAACTCTTTGTAGAGCTTTGCCTTTATTTTCCATAACCTTAATTTTTAGATCATCGATTTTAACGCTAACACCCAAAAGAGGAAAGTAATCGTTGAGCGGAAGGACTTGAACACCGTTTGGATGGCGTTGTCGATTTACCGAAAAACAGCTGAACGAAAAATTGCTTTTCTTAACGAGGTAAATCTTTTGGTTGCTCTATGCTCAAAAATACACAAAGCATAAATTATTATTAGCATATTCTAATTTCACAAAAACTTTCAGAATCGTTACCAAACAGTGATTGATTTGGCTGTTTTTAGATTACTGCCAACGCTCACAAAGAACCACTCTACAGCCACTCTCACTCTGAGTTTTTCAAATAAAACAGCTGAGTTTTTGGATAGTCTAGGATGGTTTATTTTTAGAAGTCATCGAGATGTTTCATAATGTCGCACTACTCATCGGTGATATCATCGACTCTGGGGCTTCATCGAGATTTAGAAAAGCTGGATGGTAATTCAAGATCAGCATGTCGCCATAAATTAAAAGGAAATCTTTCAATATAGCTTTTTTTTGATGATTTATCATTAAAATGTTGCATTTATCATTACTGTCAAAGGGTCAAACTCCGCGAGCAAAAAGCAAAGGAAAAGGTGTAAGTTTTTAAAGAGTTTTAGTTTCAAATCGAAAGTGATTGGTATTCTTTTGCTTTAGAAGGCGGAAAGCTTCAAGAAAGAAGAGCGCGGCGACGAGTAAAACCGGCAAATCGACAAAAGCATCTTCGCAGGGAGCTCAAGTTGAAGCGTAGAGGTAGATTTTTTGAATGTTAAATACATTTTTAACTATAACTAAAGTTGAAATGTTAGCTACGCAATCAATTTTTAAAAGAAACAAATTTTTGAAATAAAGTTAAAGTTGTAACTACTGATCAATCTTTCGTCTTCAGTCACCACTTCGGTCATCGATGAGTGGAATGTGTGTTGTTCTTTGCTCGAAAATCTCCGCGATTTGAAGAATAAAGAATAAATATTTGATTGGATTCGAAAATAAATGTTTTTTTAAAGTTTACTGTATGATTTCAAAGCTCGTAGTGCTCAAAGTTGATTACTGATTACTATTACTGATTTTGTGCATAGAACAAAAAGAAAATCTCAGTTTATTCGAATGTTGCGTTCAATTCTTGGTTCTCAGTGTGTGTCGGGGATAGCCTTGAGGGTCAATGCGGGAAAAAAAGGCGCAAAGGTTTGGGGATTGCACGTATGGTTTGGGGAAAGTGAAAAAGATTGAGAGGGAAAGAATTGACTTGTTCTTTAGATGCACTTTGTGCTTAAAAATTGTCAACTGACGCACTAAATTTCTCATTCTCCCTTCTGGCGCACTAAATTTCTCATTCTCCCTTCTGGCGCACTAAATTTCTCATTCTCCCTTTTGGCGCACTAAATTTCTCATTTTCTCGCTACACCACAGCGTTTTTTCAAGAAAATTAGAGAATTGAGTGCGCCAGAAACTTGTGTTTACAAGTTTGAGCACCAAGTACAGTTTCTACATAAAATAGGTGAGGATTCCATGGTTATTGTTACACCAGAACATGAGCTAGTTTTAATCCAGGACTCTAGATCCTAATCTGACCAGGATTCTAGATTCTAATTCAATTTACAAGTTTATATGTTCCGAACATGATCTCGAGAAGAGAAATCAGAGAAAAATAGAGAAGCAACAGATAGGGAAAAGAAAGATGGAGAAGTTGCCTGGGAAAGTGTTTGGGATCACCGGTTAGCGCTGATGAAAGGAGAGGAAATAGAGAGAGATATAGGGTTAGCGGAGAAGAGATTTTAGGTCTGTACTCTCGAGAAGTGAAAGAGAGGAGACGGCAGGTCAACGCGGGGGAATCATTGGAATGTGGCCTTCCCCAGGCTCCCCCCTCCTCAGCCTCTTTAGTTCCCCTGTACCCCGCCAGCCTTACCCCCTTCCCCCTTCCCCCCTGCGGTCTCCAATCGATTCGGATCACGGGAAAAGGTCTTAGACCCCTTACCCCTTGAATTCTTCTCTTTTTCTTGAATTGTATCAACTCTCCATCCATTCCCTGCTATTTCTATTCACTTCTCGATCGTTTCCCCAACGTTTTCTTGAACTTTCTTGTGTCTCACCGCCCCTTTCCCGTTTCCGAAACCCCTCCCGGGTGTGTGCTCGTCCTTTCTTCTTTCTCGGCCAACTACCCTCCTCTCGTTGGAGGTGGATTTTTACGTATTTTTCCATCACACACACACTAACCGACTCTCTTTTGTCAATATGTTAGATCGGACACCGATCAGAGTACTCTTTTTGTTTTTTTGTTTTAATCTATTTTTCTACAGCATTGCGCACAATTATGGAAAGTCGATTTTTCGACTGTAAATCGATACCTAAATTTTTCAATTTCTCTAATTTCATATTTATATGAAATTTCAAGTTAATTTCTGCGATCAATTTCAATTTTAATTTCAGAAACACAGTGTTACGCACTTTTATAGTACTTTGAAGTTCAGAGGTGCTAACCTATGGCTAACCTATAGCTAACCTAAAAATTAGGCATCGAGTCGAAAAATCGAGTTTCCATAATTGTGCGCCACTCTCTCTATATTCGATTGCTCCATTTTGGTCTTGTTAACCTTTTTTATTAATTATAATTATATAAACTTATATAATTAAATTTATATAAGTCTATATAATTATAGAAATTAATTATAATTATATATGTCGTAGCCGATTATGAATGAGTGGGTCTAGGAGCGTCCAACCATCAAGTATTTAGTATCATTCAACGCAGAATCATTAATAACTATGTTAAATTTTTAAAATTAGAAAGATTGGATAAAAAGTAAAAAAAATAAGAGCAAAAAAACTGTTTGTTCAAGAGGAAACTTTGAGGCGCCATAATTTTTTTTCTTTTTATCAAATCTTTCTAATTTTAAAAATTTAACATAATTATTAATGATTCTGCGTTGAATGATACCAAATACTTGGTGGTTGGACGCTCCTAGACCCACTCATTTATAATCGGCTGAAATTCATAATCGGCTACGGGGGTACCGCCGATTTTGAATGAAACGTTGTAGCGCCGGCAATTTTGGTGCCTTTTTTCTAAACTACGAATTGGTTCCGTATTTCTCTAAATTTGGTTCTTTATCTCTCTAAATTTGGTTCCTTATCTCTCTGAATTTGGTTCCTTATCTCTCTAAACTCGTGTCCGGGCCCTCATAATCGGCTACGGGGATCCCGCCGATTTTGAATGAAACGTTGTAGCGCCGGAAATTTTTAACCTAAACTCACAAATTTGGTACCAACGACGCAGAATTGAATTCGCCAGGATGATATAATATTGTCCCATACATTAAAGGGTTGCTCTACTAGAAAGATTTACATTCATTCATAACGGCACGGGGTCCCGCCGATTTGAATGAAACGTTGTAGCGTCGGCAATTTTGGTTCCTTTTATCTACAAATTGGTTCCTTTTTTCTAAACTACGAATTGGTTCCGTATTTCTCTAAATTTGGTTGCTTATCTCTCTAAATTTGGTTCCTTCTCTCGCTAAATTTGGTTCCATATTACTCAAGATTAGTTCCTTATCTCTCTAAATTTGGTTCCTTTTTTCTAAACTACGAATTGGTTCCGTATCTCTCTAAATTTGGTTCCTTATCTCGCTAAACTCGTGTCCGGGCCCTCATTCATAATCGGCTACGGGGGTCCCGCCGATTTTGAATGAAACGTTGTAGCGCCGGAAATTTTTAACCTAAACTCACAAATTTGGTACCAATCGACGCAGAATTGAATTCGCTACAGGATGATATAATATTGTCCTCATACATTAAAGGGTTGCTCTAGTTGCTTTGCCAAAAAATTTCATTCATAATCGGCTACGACATATAAGCTAATTGCTAAAATTGGATGCATGTAGATTGGCAAATTGAATCTTCTTTGTCATCCCTTTACAAACGACTTTCACTTTATCATAGAAAATTTAGTTTAAGCTTATTTCTTTTTAGCTAATTTTGTGTGGTATCAATTTCCTTAAAAATTCCCCCCTTTGCAATCTGTTTCTCTGAAAATTTCTTTGCCACATTGAGAAACACGTTTTTTTTCTTTTTCTTTTTTGTTTCGGGCGCATTTTTTTCGCAAAGAATCACCTCTGATCACCTCTGAATCATTTCGATGAAAGAAAAAATGAAACTGGACAAAAATTATCAAAGATTTTGATTGATTTTGTTAAAAATCACAACAAAAACATATAGTTTATCATTTTTTAAAGCAATAAAAACTTCATTTTTCTGAAAAGGAACCAAATTTGTATTAGAGAAAGGTAGAGAAGAGTAACCAAATTTAGAGAGATAAGGGACCAAATTTAGAGAGATAAGGAACCAAATTTGTAGAGAAAAGGAATCAAAGCGGTCATTTTATGTCATTTTTTTTTTCTGGTGTATTTTTCTGGTGTAGCAAGAAGTTCAAGCTTCATTTTGATACCTAATACGTACTGTTAGAAGAGCAATGCATCTCAAAAAACCTATAAGGGATCGATCATCGATATCAATAGCATTGATAGCAGATCGATTAGGTTATTAGAGCTGCGTTTTACATGCTCTTCTAAGTATTAGTCGGAAAGGAACCAAATTTGTAGAGAAAAGAGGCCAAACTTGTAGAGAAAAGGAGACCAAATTTGTAGAGAAGAGGAACCAAATTTGTAGAGAAGAGGAACCAAATTTGTAGAGAAAAAAGACCATCAGCAAGTGCAGGTTTAGCTAAACGTTACGAAATGAGTAATGGTTTTGATAAAATAAATGGTTTTAAGAATACTGTAAGTCACTTAACATACAGTATGCCGGAAGAAAAGAGATTTAGCTGATGATATTGAATAGCTTAACAAGTGTATTATATTTTATTGATTTCACTGATAATGTACATCTTAACAAGATCATAATGTACATTTTGTGTTTTGCTTGATCGAACAGATCTAACTGCTACCTAAACGTGCTATATCAATGTCGAAAATCATATTAGTTACCCTATCAGTATCAAAGCTAGTTCTAGAACCAAATTCCTAGGCTAGACCGGGATTAAGGTTTTCACTTACTTACAAGGGATGGTAAACTGGCTGAGCCGACTATGCGACTATACCATTTGACGCAGAATTTGATGCTGATTCCGAATCTCTATTCCGTTTTTGCTAAACGACAATCTGCCAAGAGTTATAAGCGTCTAAAGTTTTCTTCTTCTTTTCTTTTTCTAAAGGACTCTAAAAATGTAGTCACTTGGGTTTTAGCGGCCTCCTCGCGGGCTCAATTCGACACAGCTTTGGCCGAGTGGTACGCCGTTCGTTTCCAGAGCGAGACCTCGCAAATTCGATCCTCACTTTCGATTCTTCTTTTGCTTTTTTTTCAAGAAGCGCTGACTAGTGTTCTTTGTGCGCGAGCATATTTCTTGTTGTAAAAAACATAACTTCAAAAATTAAATCGTCTATTAAACAAAGTAGAGATCGAACTTGTGAGGTCTGCGCTGGAAATGAACACTGTATCACCAGGCCAAAGCTGCGCCGAATTTCGTCCGCAAGGAGACCGCTAAAACCCAAATGACTACATTTTTAGAGTCCTAACAACACTTTAAACGTTTATAATCCTTGGCAGATTGTCATTTAGAAAAAACGGAATGGAGATTCAGAATCAGCATAAAATTCTGCGTCGAATGGTATGGTTCGCATAGCATTTGACCAAGCCAGCTGACCTTCCATTGTTAGTTAGATCCGAAACTTATGACCTGCTTTTGATCTGACTTGA